GCAATTGAAAAAGGAAGTATACAGCTAAGAACTCTCAAAAACTTCTCACAATTAGAAATGCTGGGACCAAGGTTCCTTTTATTTACAAGCAAATTAAAAGGCAGTTAAAAAACCAAAAAAAAAAAAAAAGAAAAAAAAATGCTTATCCAGCTTGTACTGAATCTTATTTTCATCATGGCCTAAGCTTTTCTTAAAACAAAGGAGCAAATAAAGTGGGCCCCCACTTGGTCAAAATTTATAGCTTTCCATAGGTTTAAGCTTGGTTTTGATTTCTAACAGCACATTACTGCAAATGATTCACATGTTGTTGAAATTGGTGAAAATATTTTTATTTCGAAGTAAGGACATTACCTCCAAAATCAATATGATGTACGCTCAGCAATATTGGTAGATATTCAGCTTACTTTCTCTTCCCTCTAGGAGTAGGAGAAAAACACCAGATCCTATAAAACGAGCAGAAAGGTTGGTGGCAATAGATCAGAGATTTTTTTAATCAATTCAGTACTACAAGCACCAAATGGTTTAAATTACTAAACCTGTCCACACGTAGAGGAGGCCTGAAGTACAGCAGGCCAAGAACAATCAATCCTGAAAATGTAAGATTTTATCATATAATAACAGATTCAACTATTTGTTAAATGTCAAAAAAAAAAATATCTGGGCAAGGTAAATGTGCTCTGATAATTAGTTGAATCAAATGCAGATCTTATTGAAGAGCAGGATGGTTTTTGCCTGTTTGTTTGATAACATCAGAAGATGAAAGCGGTCCAGAAAAGAAGTCCTATCCAAAATATGAAATCAGAATACGTGCATACACGATGAGAAAATATTTTGCGCTTGTGGCTTTTGGAAATCCATTCTTCACAAACGCCAAACATCTACTTCATGCTTACATATATACACCATTCAGCTTTTACATTCAAAGTATAGATACACGTATTCATTATGGCATAGAATAGGGCACTTCTACTGAAGAACTTCTTTCCATTGGCTTGAGGCTTCTCTCAGTAAGCAACCCTAAAACAGCAGCATCTATGATCATCTTGACCAGTAAGAACACGTAGAATACTGCACCTGTAGGTTTCCTAAGCAACAAAAGTATGCCTAACAGATGTTAGTGTCACATCATGTTATTATCCAATTACCACAAAAGAACATATCCACCTTCCAGACACCAGAGAGTGTAAAAAAAAAGTTCATTTGATTGTAGTAAAGAATATCACTATGTCAGAAATCAAAGTATTTAAGCACTTTGTATAAGCCGATTCTAATGTTACTTTGGATTTCTGGGTAAATATCAAAACAGGTACTTGTTCAGAAGTTGAATTAGAGATGATTTTCAAAAAAAAAATTACCAGATTTTTAACTTAAAAAAGTTATCAAAGTTGTTTCATAATCCACAATCTGAAGCATTCTATATCTGACATAAGCTAGATAGGAAAAAGCGGAAGAAACAAAAGATAGCTAGGACGCCAGTTTGTAGTGACTTGATGTGTTGAGCTATTTGGTTGAGGACATCCAAGTCAAAAGTTTACAAGGTTGATTCTTATTTCCCATCGTGCTTATAACATTGAGCCAACTTTCTTCTCTGGTTATGAGTGACATTCTAAGCCTGTTTTGCATGGATGTTTTTCTAGTTGCCTTGTTTGAGTGACTTCTTATTTTCTTTAGCAAATAATCACGTTAACTAGCCTGCTAAAAGTTCAAGCATATAGGAAATTCAATTGTTACTTAGAAACTTCATCAGATTGTTAAAGCCTTCAAATTACCTGATCATGAATTGACAGTACATGTAGAAACAGCAGCGTCCGAAATAGTCTGCAACTGGATCCTTTCAACATAATGTAATTTGTACATTTAAACCCTTCTACCCTAAACATTACGAAGAACAAAAAACGAGAACTTTATTTTATAAAGTCTGTTTCAAGAAAGATTTAAATTTCTGCTATGAAGTAAACAAGTGGCTTCCAGATAGATATTAGCAATAACAGCAACACAATTGCCATTACACAATACCTCACTGATAGAATTCAGGCCTCTTTCGTGGACGTAACCTCATCTACTTCAATCGCTCGGCTCGCCTTTTGCTGGATTACAACAAATTAAAAAAAATATTTAGATATCAGATGGCTGTCAACCATTACTTGTTGTATGGACAATGAAATGTTGGAAAAACAAGTTCAGAGGTCAGCCAAGACGCGTAGCTGCGGGGGGGGGGGCACGGGCCGGCGGCCCCCCAACAAAAAAAAAATCTTTCAAAATGCGATTAAAAGCAGATAAATGCGAACGCGAAAGAGTTTTAATGTGTTGGCAATCCGCAGATTCAAATTAAGATTCTATCGCAAGACACTATTCAAACATACACTTCATGTGACCGGTAAAGTTTTTTTTGCAAAATGTACATGAAATGAGTTTCTCCCAAAATTCTACATGGTAACACCAAAAAAACCAAGGAATTTTTGCAGTTTAAAACATGAAACTTTGCCCATTTGTATAAAACCTTGAAAATTTTCAAACTCATGCTAGAAATAATCAAATCATAGTTTATTTAGTGGAACATCAACAGCAGAAATAGTCCAGTTTAAGGGCAAACAGCCATTGTTTTGAAATTCAGAAAGGCATTTAAGTTTAATTTGAAAATCTAACGAGAATTATAATATTTTGAATAGAATTCCATAACAAAGAGTTACACTAGAACTACAAGCACGATCATCAAAGGAAGAATAAAATACTCCACGCTTTGTGCAAAATCTGAAAACAAGAAATACCTGCGCTAGGAAGAAAAGCTGCCATAGATTATAGTTCAATTGTAGGCAGATAGCTTTATCAAACGCAGCTCAGGTCTGTCGTCGCTGGATCTTTAAGTTGAAATTATGAAATGCGTTAAAAAAAGTGCAAACACAATTGAAGTTTGACAAAATTGTTTATTTATTAAATGACAGATTTCGCATGGATACTTAAACTTTTTACCTTTTTCAGCCGAGAGCCAACAAGAATATCAGTCGAAATAAGACCTTTTCATGAGGCCTCATCAACCGGATTATGACACTGGATTAATGTTAGGTTTATGCACAAGGTTAAGTTTACACCAATTGGAGGAAAAAATACAAACTTTTAAAAATATATAAGAGGGCTGAAGCGAAAGTGTGAGAGGTCCATGGCATATTCAAATAATAATGAGCACCAAAGTAACCCTAAAAGCCTATTAAAAAAACAAACTCCTTGTTATTCATGATCAAACAAAATACTTTGTGAACTGCCCAATCAAAGCATGCTTCACCATTAATCAATTGGACCAATTCAGCTCTTCATGGCCTAATTGATGTTAATTAAGCATTCCATACGCAGTTGCAGCAGGCTGTATGTTAGCTAGTTAACAAGCACTTCCAATAAGTTGGCTATAGTAGAAATTATGTTTCTATCTAAAAGGAGCATATTGGAAGTAAATGAGAAATATAGTACCAAAATCAATGTGGCACGACCCAAATTATCTCTAAATCATAAATTAATACCTTACTTGGGTCAAAAAGTGACATCCACTCATTCTCTTTAGTAAAACCCCATTCTGTGAGAAATTTTAATCCTTTGTTAAGCCCTGCGACTGCAAGAAAAGATAACTTGAGCATTCATAATGCCAGAGCAGAACCAAAAAGGGTCACATGTATTGCATAGATAGTCCATTTTAATGCGCATCAGATTAACCAAAATCACAGTAATATAATGCCAGCAATTGTATTAAGGTATTCGCTTAGCAACAATGAATTCTAAGAATGCTAAAACAGGGGATAAAAACTTGAGAATATTAAAGGAAAAAAAAAAATAGTTTTTTTGGGGTGTTCTTTTTTTCCCAACTGAATTTTGTAAGATCCCTCAAATCGGGAATTGATGTAGCCCAACTCCTCTCCCAATGCCTAAACCCCCATCTCTTCAGCCACCCTTAAGCCAAACTGCCTGATCATCAGTGTTCAAGATATTTGATTGTAAGACATATAATAGAACAAAAACCAAAAACCACCATATAAACTTGGTTAGTAAATTGGAGAATTAATATTAAGAAAAAACCAGGATGATCATAAATTTACTAATGAACTTGAAGATGCTTAATGTTGTTGCGTCCAAAGATAATAGTTATGCATTTCTTCAACAATGGGGGCAAAAATATTTTGCTGTTTTTATGATGATATGATTCTTACTAAGGCGCATAGAATTACAACATCATTCTTTTCAAGAATTGAATATCGATGAGCTTATTGGAAGATCACTTATATTAACATTTTCAAACATTTTGAGTTTCATACCTTTCTGCTTAGATGGTAGGTTAGATTTCTTTGTAACAATTAATTCTAAAGTAAGATTCACATGATGTTCCTAACTCATAAAAACAACTCAAAGTGAACCAAAACATGTATATGTGCAGGAGGCGAACAGAAATGGAATTTAAAAAGCAGGTAGTTCAGAGGTCAAGGAAAGCACCTGGACTGCAATCGTTCTGGTTGGTTGCAAGCTATGATACGTTCCACCATCAGGCCCAACCTGCTTCTTTAAGGGTACTGTAATGTAGTTTCAACGATAGCAATAATTTACCAATTGAGTGTGTTATTGCCACTCATAAACAAATTCCAAAAGGACTAACACAACATCTTAGTTGGCGAAGATTTAGAACTTTTTTTGGTGATTCAAAAGATATAAACATTTAAGACAATCAAGATAAAACGCCAAGATGGAGAAAGCTTGTAAATTGGTAGCTAACTCTCTCTGCCATTCAAAAGAGATCAATATACATCACACTTTCAAAACAAAATAAACAGCAAGAATAGCACTTGACTTAACTCGAAAAAGGTAGAAGCCATAAATACAACAATGAACGAGACTGTAATTAGGCTATCACATTCCGAAAATGAACTTTTGTAGAGTTAAAACGATCAATTGAAAAGCTGAGAAGCTAAAATAACCTGAGACATGCTAAAATAACCTGAGGAATCTGTGTGGTTTTGCCGCTGCCAGTCTCACCGACAATAATGGTAGTGCCGTGAGTCTCCACCAAATACAAAATTTCCGTTCTGTACTTGTACACAGGCAATCTCTGTCTCTGCTTTTCAATACTCGCATATCCATACCTGCAAACCAAGCAGGTACCCTCAAAAAAAGCACGTGTAATTATAAATACTCGTGTATACAGTACAAAAGCAAACAGTAGCTGCGATGTGTATACCCCGATGAAGAGGAGGAGATGGTGGACGAGAAGAAAAGGACGCCCCCTTCTTCGTCGTCAAGGATTCGGGGCTTCTCGGTGCCTGGTTTCCAAAACTGTGACATTTTCCCTCCGTTTTCGAGCTTTTGCTGTCTACAGTGTTTAGCTATCAGTCAGTCAGTCATTCCTAATAAGAATGGTTTTTTTCTTCTCCTAATTTCGATTTTTATTTGGGTAAATTAATATTTGATCCTTGTAGTTTGGTGGATTTGATTGTTTAGTCCCTATAAAATATATGAACCTGTCTATATAGTTTGCTTTCATTAGAGCAATAGGTCCTTTCGACTAAATTTGACATCTTTCTTGGTATTTATACAGCTTTATTTACTATTTAATATTTCAAATTATTATTTAAAATATTTTGCTTTTAGACAAAAATTTTTAGATAATTTAACGAGTTAAAGTTTAGAGATAGACAAGAGATTTTATGAGATAATAGAGATATGATAGCAATGCAAATCAAAACTGAGAGATTAAATAGTTAATTGTTCTATTTATTCTCCTAATTTTATATATAATTTTCAGTAATGTACAACGAAATGGATTCAAATCCTTCTGTTTGGATAGGCCGAATAAACCCAAGCGGATACGTCTTTGCTTTAGAGGCCAAGTCCATTTGAGAATAACCCATACATCATTTTCTTGTATAGGCCCATTCCAGAATGACCCTCCAAAAATTGTAAAATTACACACACCTTTAACTTTTTACTTTTTACTCTTTTCTTTAGTAAGTTTTACTGCTTATTTTAAAATTATTAATTATATTCTATTTTTTAATTCTCTCTGCAATTCATAGGAAAATTGCAATTCATAGAAAAAATGTCAAGTTGTGGAGTGATTCAAATTGGGTATAAAATCACACACAACAATAAACATATATAGATACACACACCTTTAACTTTTTACTTTTTACTCTTTTCTTTAGTAAGTTTTACTGCTTATTTTAAAATTATTAATTATATTCTATTTTTTAATTCTCTCTGCAATTCATAGGAAAATGTCAAGTTGTGGAGTGATTCAAATTGGTATAAAAATCACACACACATATAACATATATAGAAGACGCGATTGATATGCTCACGGTAGGTAATTGAGTAAATCTCTAATATAATAATAAAAATATGCAAAAAAATTAAAATAAATAATGAAAAATTTTAAACTTCATTGAATCTCAATTTCTATTATCCTATTACACTTTATAAGTAATAAATAGACTAATAGAATCTCCACAGGGAGAATTTATTTTTAATTAGCAAGATTCAACATTTTAAAAATCATTTTAATATTATTATTGAATTTTGATAACTTTCTCTCTATCACATTAGAAAAGAAGTAGGCAGGGGCAAAATTAGAAAGAGTTTTGAGAATTATGGCTTTTCAAAAATTTCGAAAACCTCTCAAAACTTTTTATTTGGATATTAGCCCCTCTAAAACTTAGTATTTTGATTTGGTTTCGTTCCACAAGGAAAGAAACATTCACAAGTTTGTTGGCTATTTAGACAAATTCCATTGGCAGCATTGCCATGCAGCTTCACGCAATTAGCTTTGCATAACGCATCATTGCAATTAGGAAGACCGTATGGAATTGTACAAACGCGTCCAGGTTGTGCAGACACTTCATTTCCTGCAACCATCAATTTTTATTCAGTAAATTTAAATATATCTTATTTTTCATAAAGTATAATATATGAAAAACATTTTTCTATAAAGCGATAACTTAATTAAGTAATTAGTATATTTCTAAATCAACTAATAATGATAATTATATTTTGTATATGAATAGTTGTGTATGCGAAAATTAATATGTAACATAATATTAATATTTTTATATGAGTCGAATAAATACTCGATTTAGGACGATTTGAAATGATAAAATTTGGTTCTATATAAATAATCATTTGACTCTATCTGGTACTTTTGTTTTATGAAATTTTATAAAATCATTCATAAATAAAGGGAAGCAAGTGATACGCTAAAAACATTAATAACAATAATTATATTTTGTATCTAAATATATGTAATATGTATTTAAGTACTACGAAATTATACCTTTCAAAAGGAAAAGAATAACCAAAAGGATGACAAAAATTTGAAAGCTCCCTCCCTTCATCTTTTTTTTGTTTTTTTTCTCTTCTTACTATTGTACTATTCAAGTGTTGTGAATTGAGAATTTGCTACGATGAGGTGATTGTTTAGAGTGCTATATATAGCGTTTGTACCCTACAATTTAGAGGATTGTTTGGTATTACAATTGGTAGGTTATAGATATTTGGTAAGTTTTTTAATTGACAGCTCATAACTGATTTTCATTTAAATTTTTTTGAATTTTATTAAATTTTTTTTATTATTATTGGGAGAATTGATTCATTTATTAATTTATTTTTACTTAATTGAAATGAGATATTTTCTCACAAATTTTAGAAGCGGCCATTAAATTTTGCCTTTGAAATTTAGCAATGAAGAGATGTCCATTTATTTCTAAGTTCAACATAAGACTTTTAAGTTCTATACAATTGCAAATTTGATTATTTCGTTTCTATTTTATTAATTATTGAAATTGATAGATTCCATAACGTGTGTAGTATCTACTATCATTTATTTAAGAAGTAATTATATTTTATGGACTAATAAGTATATTTTACATAAATCAAGATAGAAATAAATCAAGAATCAGTATATATATCGTATTTAATTGTAAATCTATCAGAAATAAATGCAATATAGTAATTACAAACAAATTTCATAATTTGTTAGAGAATAATTTTATATCATATACCAAATCATATCAGTAATTGTAATCTGTACATTGCCATAACAAGCAAGGTTTACGATCCTATATTAATGGTATATGAAATGTAAAGGATGTATATAACAACTCAATTTTCTATTCTAGTCTTCTTCAAATCTCCTAAAAAAGTAATAAATCTATCAAAAATAAATATAATGTAATAATTACACGTAAATTTCGTAATTAGTTAGACAAATTTTTCATATATAACTTACCAAATCATATTAATTATTTAAATACATGCATTATCATAGCATACAAGACTTCATAAAAAACTACCTTAAAATAATGATATTTTTATATGGAAATAAAGTTCAATTTTGCTCTTAAACTTATTATTTAGAAATAAAAAGCAACATAATCCACATTTTGATTCAATTTACCCTTTAAAGTTATAATTATTCAATTTGCATTAAAAAAACTCAAATTCAAAGGTTTTGAGCAAATTGGTCGTGAAGTATAAGTTCAAAGGATATATTGGACCAAAATATCGAATTTTTGTCCCCGATAATAACTTCAAGGGCTATATTGAATTTTATTTCTTTTATATGTGTGAAGTATAAATTGTCCAACTTAGGGCAACCTGAAATAATATTTTTGAAATTAAACTGTAAATAACTAGTTGTGAAATTCTAAAATTGATTTAAACTATTTTTAAATATAAAATTAAATTAAGTTAAAATAAGCTAATAAAGTTTGATTTATTTTTTTAAAATGGCCAAAGTAAATAAGTTAATAAATTTAAGTGCATATAATTCTATTATAATTATCAAGTTATAGTGTATAGAATATATAATTTCACAACATTTAATTTTATTATAGAATAAAAAAATATTCACTCCATGATAAAAAAAACAACACTAGTAGTTATAATAAAAAATAAAATTAAATCAACTTGATAGTTAAAAATTGAATACATGTAACGATAATTATACTTAAGATTATAATATTTTATGCATAAATAAAAAATACAATATAGAAATTATCAAAATTCGATTGCAATAGATAACTAATAATATAGATAACCCAACAATATTAAATAAAAATTAATAAAATTAAAATTAATACATTAATGATAAACAATGACAAATTGAGTGATAAGCGTTCGACAAACTCTTGACAATACTAATAATGAAAATAAAGAACTATTGATAGTAAAAGTAAATAAAACTTGCATATATAAAATATTTATATATAGTGTACATAATATATAATTTTTAATTAAAATAGGACAAAACGTTTACAATAGAATTACATTTTTCTAATTAAAATAGGACAAAAATTTCTATAATATACATAACATTGATAACACATAATATAATATTGATATTGAATTAAAATTAATACACCAATAATCAATAATAATAATTCAAGGATGGGTGGTTTGATGTAACCTTCGATAATAAAATAAAGAAACTTTTAATGGCGAAATAATAAAACTTGCATAGATAAAATAATTATATATAAAGTTAATTATAATTTTTAATTAAGTTATTGCAAATTCTGTATAATAGAATTATAATATCTTAATTAAGATATGATAAAACTTCTACAATAGTATTATAATTTTCTAATTATGATATGACAATTTTTATAATAAGATGATAATTTTCTAATTAAAACATGATCACTTCTACTTTATGAAATTAATTTTTAAAATTTTAATTAGGACATGCCTTCTCAATTGCGATTGTATTAAAATTTTCACTATATTAAATTTATCGCGATTATATCGTAATCTATTAAAGGTTTGTTGTTTTCTTCTAATAGTTTATTATTTTCTTTGTTACCGACAGAATTTAAATTTAAATATAAAATTAATATAACCAATCAGATCAAATTATTTTTATTTTTTAAATTAATAAAATTAAAATCTTTAAAAAATAATTTTATGAATACATAAATTTAATAGACCTATTTTAGTAATCTCAATGTTCCACCTTCATCTTCATTTTCATTTTGATATATATTACAGATTTAATCATATAAAGGCAAATTATTAGGCCTATTTTTATGGAAGATATGAAATATTTTTTTATATAATCTATTGTAGCAGATGAGATTATCAAACGCAGCTCAGGTCGTCGTCGCTGGATCTTAAGTTGAAATTATGAAAAGGTTAAAAAAAGTGCAAACACAATGAAGTTGGACAAAATTTTTATTTTATTAAATGACAGATCATGGATACTTAAACTTTTACCTTTTTCAGGAGACCCAACAAAATATCAGTCGAAATAGACCTTTCATGAGCCTCATCAACCATTATGACACTGGGATTTTAGGTTATGGACAAGGTTAAGTACACATTGGAGGAAAAAATAAAACTTTTAAAATAAGATAAGAGGGTGGAAGGAAAGTGAGAGTCATGGATATCAAATAATAATGCATAAAGTAACCCTAAAGCTATTAAAAAACAACTCCTTGTTATTCATGGATCAACAAATACTTGTGAATGCCAATCAAAGCATCTTCACCACTAATTAATTGGACAATTCAGCTCTTCGTGGCCTAATGGTGTTAATTAAGGCATTCCATACCAGTGCGCAGGCTGTATGTTACTAGTTAACAGCATTTCCAATAAGTTGGCTATAGAAATTATGAGTTTCTATCTAAAAGGAGCATATTGGAAGTAAATGGAGAAATATAGTACCAAAATCAATGTGGCACGACCAAATTTTCTCTAAAATCATAATTAATACCTGTACTTGGTCAAAAGTGGATCATCCATCATTTCTCTTAGTAAAACCCCATCTGTGAGAAATTTTATCCTGGTTAAGCCCTGCACTGCCAAAAAAAGATAACTTGAGCATTCATAGTGCCAGAGCAGAACCAAAAAGGTCACAATGTAATTGCATAGATAGTCCATTTTAATGCATCAGATACCAAAATTCACAGTGTATAATGCCAGTCAATGATTAAGTATTTGCGCTAGCAACAATGAAATCTAAGAGATGCTAAAACAAGGGATAAAAACTTGAGAATATAAAGGAAATAAGTTGTCTCACTGAATTTGTAAGATCCTCAAATCGAATTGTGCAGCCAACTTCCTCTACAAGCCTAACCCCCATCTCTTCAGCCACCCTTGAAGCAACTGCCTGATCATTAGCGTCAAATATTGATTGCAAGACATATAATATAACAAAACAAAACCACCATATAAACTGTAGTAAATTGAAATAATATTAAGAAAAACTAGGATGCTCAAATTTACTAAATGACTTGCAGATGCTTAATGTTTTGCATCCAAGATAATAGTTATCATTTTCTTCAACAATGGGGGCAAAATATTTTGCTGTTTTATGGACATATATTCTACTAAGGCATGAATTACAACATCATTCTTTCAAGAATTGAATATCATGAGCTATTGTAAGATCACTTATATAACATTTTCAAAACATTTTGAGTTTTCATACTTCTGCTTAGATGGTACTTAGGATTTCTTTGTACAATTAATTCTAAAGTAAGATTCACATTGTCCTAACTCCTAACAACTCAAGTGAACAAACATGTATATGTGCAAGGAGGCGAACAGAAATGGATTTAAAAGCAGTAGTTCAAGGATAGGAAAGCACCTGGACTGCCAATCGTCTTGGTTGGGTGCAAGCTATGATACGTCCACCATCAGCCCAACCTGCTTCTTTAAGGTACTGTAATGTCTAAAAGTTAAGATTCACATTAGCTAGTCCTAAAAACTCCTAACAACCAAGTGAACAAACATGTATATTAGGATTTCTTTGTACAATTAATTCTAAAGTAAGATTCACATTGTCCTAACTCCTAACAACTCAAGTGAACAAACATGTATATGTGCAAGGAGGCGAACAGAAATGGATTTAAAAGCAGTAGTTCAAGGATAGGAAAGCACCTGGACTGCCAATCGTCTTGGTTGGGTGCAAGCTATGATACGTCCACCATCAGCCCAACCTGCTTCTTTAAGGTACTGTAATGTAATTCAAGCATACAATAATTTACAATTGAGTGTGTTATTGCCACTCATTAAACAATTTCCAAAAGACTAAGCAACATCTATGGCGAAGATTGAAGAACTTTTTGGTGATTCAAAAGATATAAACATTAAGACATCAAATAAAACGCAGATGAGAGGCTTGTAAATTGTAGCTAGCTCTCTCTGCCGTTCAAAAGAGATTCAATTATAACATCACACTTCATAATAAATAAACAGCAAATAGCACTTGACTTAACTCGAAAAGGAGAAGCATAAATATAACAAGAACAGACTGTATTAGGCTATCAGCATTCCGAAATGAACTTTGAGAGTTAAAACATCAATTGAAAGCTGAGAAACTTAAATAACCTGAGGAATCTGTGTGGTTTTGCCGCTGCCAGTCTCACCGACAATAATGGTAGTGCCGTGAGTCTCCACCAAATACAAAATTTCCGTTCTGTACCTGTACACAGGCAATCTCTGTCTCTGCTTTTCAATACTCGCATATCCATACCTGCAAACCAAGCAGGTACCCTCAAAAAAAGCACGTGTAATTATAAATACTCGTGTATACAGTACAAAACCAAACAGTAGCTGCGATGTGTTTACCCCGATGAAGAGGAGGAGATGGTGGAGGAGAAGAAAAGGACGCCCCCTTCTTTGTCGTCGAGGATGGGAGGCTTCTCGGTGCCTGGTTTCCAAAACTGTGACATTTTCCCTCCGTTTTCGAGCTTTTGCTGTCTACAGTGTTTAGCTATCAGTCAGTCAGTCATTCCTAATAAGAATGGTTTTTTTCTTCTCCCAATTTCGATTTTTATTTTGGTAAATTAATATTTGATCCTTGCAGTTTGGTGGTGTTGATTGTTTAGTCACTATCTTTTTAAAAATATATGAACCTGTCTATATAGTTTGCTCTCATTGGAGAAATAGGTCCTTTCGACTAAATTTGACATATTTCTTGGTATTTATACAGCTTTGTTTGCTATTTAATATTTCAAATTATTATTTAAAATATTTTGCATTTAGACAAAAAATTTTAGATAATTTAACGAGGTAAAGTTTAGAGATAGACAAGAGATTTTATGAGATAATAGAGATATGATAGCAATGTAAATCAAAACTGAGAGATTAAATAGTTAATTGTTCTATTTATTCTCCTAATTTTATATTTAATGTTCAGTAATGTACAACGAGATGGATTCAAATCCTTCTGTTTGGATAGGCCGAATGGATTCAAATCCTTCTGTTTGGATAGGCCGAATAAACCCAAGCGGATACGTCTTTGCTTTAGAGGCCAAATCCATTTGAGAATAACCCATACATCATTTTCCTGTATAGGCCCATTCCAGAATGACCCTCCAAAAATTGTAAAATTACACACACCTTTAACTTTTTACTTTTTACCCTTTTCTTTAGTAAGTTTTACTGCTTATTTTAAAATTATTAATTATATTCTATTTTTTAATTCTCTCTGCAATTCATAGGAAAATGTCAAGTTGTCGAGTGATTCAAATTGGTATAAAAATCACACACACATATAACATATATAGAACACGCCGTTGATATGCTCATGGTGGGTAATTGAGTGAATATCTAATATAATAATAAAAATACACAAAAACAGTAAAATAAATAATGAAATTTTTTAAACTTCATTGAATCTCATTTCCATTGTCCTATTACACTTTATAACTAATAAATAGACTAATAGAATCTCCACAGGGAGAATTTATTTTTAATTAGCAAGATTCAACATTTTAAAAATCATTTTAATATTATTTTTGAATTTTTATAACTTCTCTCTATCACATTAGAAAAGAAGTAGGGAGGGGCAAAATTAGAAAGAGTTTTGAGAATTATGGCTTTTCAAAAATTTAGAAAACCTCTCAAAACTTTTTATTTGGATATTAGCCCCGCTAAAACTTAGTATTGTGATTTGGTTTCGTTCCACAAGGAAAGAAACATTCACAAGTTTGTTGGCTATTTAGACAAATTCCATTGGCAGCATTGCCATGCAGCTTCACGCAATTAGCTTTGCACAGCGCATCGTTGCAATTAGGAAGACCGTATGGAATTGTACAAACGCGTACAGGTTGTGCAGACACTTCGTTTCCTGCAACCATCAATTTTTATTCAGTAAATTTAATTATATCTTATTTTTCATAAAGTATAATATATGAAAAACATTTTTCTATAAAGCGATAACTTAATTAAGTAATTGGTATATTTCTAAATCAACATTAATAACAATATTTACATTTTGTATCTAAATATATGTAATATGTATTTAAGTACTACGAAATTATACCTTTAGAGAGGAAAAGAATAACCAAAAGGATGACAAAAATTTGAAAGCTCCCTCCCTTCATCTTTTTTTTTTTTTCTTCTTCTCTTCCTACTATTGTACTATTCGAGTGTTGTGAATTGAAAATTTGCTATGATGAGGTGATTGTTTAGAGTGCTATATATAGCATTTGTACCCTACAACTTAGAAGATTGTTTGGTATTCTAATTAGTACGTTATAAATATTTGGTAAGTTTTTTAATTGACAGATCGTAGCTGATTTTCATTTAACATAAATCAATATAGAAATAAATAAAGAATCGGTATATATATCGCATTCAATTGTAAATCTATCAGAAATAAATGCAATATAGTAATTACAAACAAATTTCATAATTTGTTAGAGAAAAATTTTATATCATATACCAAATCATATCAGTAATTGTAATATGTACATTGCCATAACAAGCAAGGTTTACGATCCTATATATAACAACTCAATTTTCTATTCTAGTCTTCTTCAAATCTCCTAAAAAAAGTAATAAATCTATCAAAAATAAATATAATGTAGTAATTACATATAAATTTCGTAACTTGTTAGACAAATTTTTCATATATAACTTACCAAATCATATTAATTATTTAAATACATGTATTACCATAGCCTACAAGGCTTCATAAAAAAACTACCTTAAAATAATGATATTTTTTTATGGAAATAAAGTTCAATTTAGAAATAAAAAGCTTCTATTATTAATTTAGAAATAAAATTAATACACCAATAATCAATAATAATAATTCGAGGATGGCTGGTTTGATGTAACCTTCGATAATAAAATAAAGAAACTTTTAATAGCGAAATAATAAAACTTGCATAGATAAAATAATTATATATAAAGTTCATTATAATTTTTAATTAAGTTATTGCAAATTTTCTATAATAGAATTATAATATCTTAATTAAGATATGACAAAACTTCTACAATAATATTATAATTTTCTAATTATGATATTACAATTTTTATAATAAGATGATAATTTTCTAATTAAAACATGATGACTTCTACTTTATGAAATTAATTTTTAAAATTTTAATTAGGACATGCCTTCTCAATTGCGATTGTATTAAAATTTTCACTATATTAAATTTATAGAGATTATATTGTAATCTATTAAAGATTTGTTGTTTTCTTCTAATAGTTTATTATTTTATTTTTTGACTGATAGAATTTAAATTTAAATATAAAATTAATATAACCAATCAAATGAAATTATTTTTATTTTTTCAATTAATAAAATTAAAATCTTTGAAAATAATTTTATGAATATATAAATTTAATAGAGTTCTTTCAGTAATCCCAATGTTCCACCTTCATCTTCATTTTCATATATATTACAGATTTAATCATATAAAGGAAAATTATTAGGCCTATTTTTATGGAAGATATGAGATATCTTTTTATATAATCTATTTACTAAAGTAATAAAGGGAAAATCTTCAATGGTCTCACTCTCTTTTTTTTTTTTTTTTTTTTTTTTGGTCTCACTCTCTTTTTTTTTTTTTTTTTTTTTGTCCAAGAGAAATTTAAGAGGTTGTTAAATTATTTTTTCGATGACGCGTATAATTGTTAATTTATATTTTTTTTTTTTTTTTTTTTTTTCCAAGAGAAATTTAAGATTTTAAATATTTTTTCATGACGGTAAATTGTAATTTGATATTTGAGCATGAAATTACTTTAAATTAAGTGGGTAAAATAAATGTCAAAAAAAACAAAAAAAAGTGGCTAAAATAGCTTTGTGAGTATTATTGGCTCATTGCAAATGAAAATCATACGATTCTATAAATAAAGACTTATATGCCCTTTTGTAAAAGGGGCTTCATTTCAAGTATTCTTACATAGCTCACCACTCAACCTCTCTATACCAAAAAGACAAGTCAAGATTGATCCTTCAAAATGTAGCAATGACGAGTAATCAGTGCTCAAATTTAAAAATTCAAAATTCCGTTTTCAATTGCTTTGCTTCCTTTTCCCAGCAAAATCAAGAACTTAGCTTCCAATATAATTCGAGTATTACAAATTGGAATTGCCTGTAAAAGAAAAAAATCATGACACCCCAAATAGCAAAGTGAGAAGGAGAATCGTATTGGAACATTGTTACTTAACGGTATTGAACATTTCTTTAATAATTTTCTTACAAATTTGAGTTGTATATTTAGGAGAAATCGAGTTAAAAAATGGCAATCAATCCTTTAAACTGGTGAAATACAGTATGAAACTTGATATGGCAGATCCTAGTCAAGGCCTCAGAGATCTTGGTGGAAAAGAATCATCAACTGGGGAATTCCTTCGTTAGAATCCCATCAAGAGTAGCAAATATTTTTTCTCACATCACCGGCCTATATATTATCTTTAAAACAAATTTCTAAACTCATTTTCTTAAAAAAAGAAAAAAAGTACAAAAAAAAGGTATAATGATGAAGAGTCAGAAGTAGCTGGTAACTATCATATTTAGTAAAATCAGTGGGAATCCGTCTGATTTGTTTCATCATCCTCCATCACCATCACACCCTTTTCATGGATTTCAATTGTATCTACCTTGTCACCGATAATTCCTAAAGAAAGGAGAGGAAAATCGGAGCTAAAGGCAGAGTATACATGAAATTGAAAAATTTCATGCATACAAAATAAAACAATTACTATTGCCTAACGATAGATTCCTTGATCTATCTCCGATTTCGGAAGAGATCAAAGAATTGCAATATTAGGCTTCAAAATATTGCAAAAGAGTTATCATATCCTAAGACTACAAACACAGAGACCTAATATGAAGAATTATAAAATTGCAGAGATCCGCTTCTGTGCGTTCTCTGGCTGTCACCGCTCACCAGCCACCAGTGCTGCCATGGAGCTTAGTTATTTATAGAGAAGAGAAGAGAAGAGAAGAGAAGGGCGAGAAAGAAACCCTAGACCTAGATAGTATTTGAACTGGAGTCTGCTAGTTACTATTTAGAATTAGAAGTTGGGCTGGGCCCTTTTATGTTCTTTGCACCCAGCCCACTACTTTCCTCCTGTCAACCGTCAACCACCTCAACACATTATGCAGGCTTTTTCAAAATTTAAAAATAATATTAAATTACAACAATTTATACTGGAAATATCACAATAGATGTAGTCATTTATTTATTTAATAAAATAAATTCAATTTCTATGCAGGAGTTAAATATTATCTAAAATTTATGTCACATTAAATCCATTTTTAAATACATAATTCTATAATTGTATGCTTGTAAAACAAAATTTGCAATTGGGTTTTACCATGCTTGTAAATGGATTTGGATGGGACATTACACTTCATGCAAAAATTTTGAAATTTCTACATTACACATGCCTGTTTTAAAATGTTGTAAACAAGAGCCAATGACTACTAATCCATCATTATCCTAAACATGGAAGTTGCTACAACAAACCATAGCAAGAACAAAAAGAATAATATATTGAGATACATATTATACAAGTTTCTGGTCTACCATCCGGTTTACACTTTTGGACACAATGCAAACTAGCAAAATAGGAACCTGTTGAGGCTTCAAGGAAACTGGAAGTAAAAGGGAAATTAAAGTAGCTCTTCCAAGACCAGCAAGATGGTATTCAAACTGGGGCTTTTTTTTTCCTTCAGGGATCTCACAACCACAGCAGATAAAAGTCTTAATGAGTTTGTACTTCATACTTCTACCTTCTGATTAGCATCTGTAGCCCGAGCCTCATTGGTTCCTGATAGATCCTTCATAAAAGACCTAAGACACCCATTAATTATGCGCGGTGCTGACCCGTCACAGAACCGTTTAGCAAGATCGATAGCCTTCATTAATAACCAAAGTGATTAAACAGGATTAAGTTGGCATTGGATAAAGATTTGGAAGATAACGGCATTCAAAATGTAAGTCAAGCATAGATGAGCAATGATCAAGGAGAAGGATAAAAGTTACCTCATTAATAACAATCTGGTGTCGTGTTCCAAGAACTGTGATCTCGGACATTGCCAAATGGAGGATACAAAATTCTAAAATTCTGCCAGCTGGTTGATTCTGATGTTACAGTACAATAAACTTGTGAGATGTTGATGTGTTTGAATAAAATTTGACAAATTTGCCATCAAACTCTTGAAGATAATAAATTCTTAGCAGCTGTTAACACTGATAAGTTGACAGGCTTTCAGTCTCAGCTACATGGATGGATATTGTATGTATTGCATCTTAAAAACTAAGAAATTATCTAGAATGATGCTAGTTGGATTCGACCTTCCACGATTGGGCACACAAGGCAGTTTTAGGATTCCTAACCCTTTAAACTATTATAGTCTCTCTCTGCTTGGACAACTTTTTGACTGATCAGATACGCAATTAAGAAGCAAGTGGATTGCAGTTGCAAATTCAATTTTGAATCAAACTCACGGACGACTCAACATCCAACACCAAAAACAGATCATCATTAAGATGCACACAAAGAAAACAAAAGGCTTATGGAAAAAAAATCCATGTTTCATTCAGGTTGCATTTAGATAGGTACAGGTCAAGTGAAATGATTTAGAATTCATAACCTAGTTTAAATTACTTCAATAATACCGAAATACATTGTGTTCGTTCACTGGGTATATTCAAGAGTTTGCATGAATGTTTAAACATGAATTTGAATCCTTGTGTCAAAGGTGTAATTTTACGTGCTCTAGCATTGGGTTGAAGCATTTTTTTTCCACTCGCAAGTTCAAATAGTTGTACAATTTGAACTAAAAACTCATTCAAAACCTTGAATTTTAAATTCTCTATTGAAATGCAACCTCAAAGAATACCTATGAAGCAAACGAAAGAAATAAACTAAAGCGAACTTGAAAATAATGAATTTGTGCAATAAAAATCAAACATCCAAACCTTCCAATTAGGCGGAGAAACTTTGTCTATAATAAGGACATGGCTATCCCACTTATCTACAACTGCAACTAGAAGCTTCCTTGTGAAACTGCCAGTAAGCATATAAATACTATCAGAAACATCTTACTAGATTATGTTTCTCTCTCTTCCTCCTGTTGTAGACATAAGCTCTAGTTAACATAATTAAGTTATAATGGAGTAGTTTACCGCAAAAGTAATTTGCTGTACACCAACTTTGGAGGAGCTGAAAGGACTTCTTCTTCTGAATTACAAAGAAACGAGATGGATTCAGATATTCAAAGTAGAAAATGGGAAATTAAGCTTATATGAAAGACACATAAGGAATTATTCTATAGCCTGTGGAATCAGATTCTAGTACATTATGTGGTCGCCAGATATAAAATCCAATAGACTTTCTCTTTCCGTGTCTCAGTACAGTCAATAATATACTTCATGCAATGGCTCAAATGAAAAAGAACAATTAAAAGTAGTTAACCTGAAATGAATGTTCCTGGTACAACCATGATAGGTATAACAATCACAGTCCAACTTGTTCTATTTCTATGTAGTTGCATATTGAGCTATACTTGACTGCATGTTTAAACCTGTATCCTACACTGTTGACATCCCCTCAACATGCCAACAATAATTAAAATAGTGAACAACTTAGACAAATGATAGCTATCAGGATTTTGTGCAGAAATACCTGATGGCTTTCCACATAGTGGAAAATATTGCTGCATCTACATGAATAGTGGAGAGTATGAAAGTTGAAACTTTTAGCACAACTATAGTAATGCTGCTTATACCTATAGCCTTCAGGGTTTTAATGGTGAAAAATTTTACAAAATAAAAGGCCTGGTTTGGCCAGTGATTGGTGGTTGTTGGCAACCTAAAAGAACTTCATAGTGAACATAAGAGTATAACAATTATATTGCTAATTGAAATGAATTTTGCATGTGGATGTGCAACGGCTGGAATTTAGATGCGGTGTAATGACTTGCAAAATGAATGAGACGTCAAAAAAAAAAAAGCAATACATCATGAGCAATAAGCATGAACATGCCCCATTTGTAAGAATAAGAGGCTTTAGCAACTTGGATAGCCAGTATAAAGTTTAATTCAAGAGCATGATTACCGACTGCAGATTCTTTTTCATCACTTTGCTGAAGCTTGTCTGCTTCTTCAACTGTTTCAGCTGTAACAGGAGGTCCCCCAAAGCTCATATGATTATATTCCATCAATGATGCCTTGTTAAATTCATAACCAGGTTCTGCATGTTAGAGTTGAAAAGAATTCAATAAGATAAACAGATAGCTCTAAAGAAAAAATGATTAAAAATTCAAATTTACTTTATGTTAAGAATAATTAATAGAGCATTACCTCTTCTTGCATTCATTCGTTTTTCAAAAAGTCTAATTGGGTCGGAGCCTTCCAAACATGCTGCATATATCGTCAATCTTGCGAGTTGCAACCAACACCCATAAAATAAAATTATCAGAATGGAGAGAAAGAGAAACCTAGAAGAATTTCTAAGGCTCTTAAAGGGAAAATTAACATTACGACTGCAATTATTAACAGGACAACGAAATGAAATGAGCAAGGCAAAGATTGAAATTTTATTGAAGCAGATAGGTAAAAAAAGTTTGCGCATCGCACATTTGTGAAAATAACTAAATGAAATTACTTAAAAACGCATTAATTTAAAATTTAAATAGAAAGGGGATGAATATTACATTCTTTTGCATCACATTTTTACCGAGGAAAGTTACAAAATATAGTTATTTGGAAGCCTAAAAACCAAAACCCAGAAATCATTTTACAATCCACTAATATAGACATAAAAAGAAAGAAAGGACATACAGAGCGAGCTCCCGAGCGGCTCTGGGGCTGCAAAACCTGCCACTCTTATCAATCTTTGGCATCATTTCTTTTCCCTTCGTTGAATTCTCCGTTGCTTTCTCAATCACGAATGCAGAAGTACGAAGAGAGCTTCTAGGGGTAGGAGACGCGACTGCCACCAGCGTTTGCCTCTTCGCTTGCAAATTGGACATAAGGCCTAAACTCGCCTTTTGGCTTTTCCAAATAGAAGAAGATAAAGACCGTGACCATTGAACAGTGAATTTGAGATGTGTTTTTAAAGAATAATGATTTGAAGACGAAGAGTAAGAATTTGAACAGCTTAAAATTGAGCTTCCCTCCATTCCTCTTCTTCTTCTACCGTGGTTTGTACTTCTGGAGGTCTCGGATGGTATGGATAACAATATCTGTTTTGTACAGAGTTGGACATTCACATTGCTGTCTCAGTATGAGATAATATCTACGCTCATATACCGACGTCGTTTTCGAGCGCGCAAAATGGACGTTTAATTTAGTTAATCATCGCAGTTGCCTATTTATTTTGGCAAGAAAAACGACAATTGTTGATAGGAGAGGAGTGTGCCTAAATTTCTGTCGTTCGGTAAAATCTAATTTGCTTAATGATGTCTAAGTGGGCCATTGAAGCCCATCAAAAGACATCAATGGAGCAAACCGTCGAGCCAGCCTTGTTTCATGATCAAGGGTCCTCCGGTCCGCTCGAAACAGATCGAAGGGTTTTCAATTTCAGTTTTGTTTTTTTAGGTCAGATCCTTAATTCCTATTCACCGCCATTTAGCTCTCTCTTTGGCAAATAAATTAATTCATCCTTGAAATTTAATTACATTAAATGATTTAAAGAATGTTGATAGGTCACTTAATTTTAAGTATAAATTCATAATTCATAACTAGAATACTCTTTCATTTATATTAAAAAATTTAATTGATTTCTTTAACTTGCTCCATTTTAATTTTTATTTTTTAAATTGCTTCAAACTGTTAAACCGAATCAAACTACTACAAAATGTTTAATTTGATTTCATTTTAATTTTAATTTCATTTTAAGTTTTATTTCATTATTATTTGGAATTAAATCACGAATACCTATAAATAGAATGATTGGCAGATTTCCTAATAAAAGAAAATCAAACACAAAATGAAGTTTACAAACATAAATAGGACCACCACCGTAGGATAGATCTATATATTTTTCTTAACTCCACCTTTTAGAAAAGGTCAATATTACTTTCACTAGAACAAAATATTTATATTTTCTTTTTAATTAGTATATCATTTTTGATAAATGGATAAATTAAATCACTGTTAAGTATTAAAAAAAAAGTTAATTTTGTTGATAAATTTTTTTAAGTATTTAGTAAACAAAGAGAATATAATTTTTATAAGTGATTAATTAAATAATTTAACAATTGTAAATTTTTTCTTCGTTCACTGAATTGATAAAAATAACTGTAGTGAACATAATTTCAATTTAATATTTCTCACTTCTCGTAAAAATTAAAAAATTAACTAAATCACTATTTGATGGGAACTGTGAATCAACTACTACCTACATGAATCAACTAGAAAATGATGTTAATTTTTATAAAATAATTCATGGGTAGGCTAATGGATGGTTCAAAAAAAAAAAAAAAAAAAAAAAAAAACACAAGATGGAAGTTTGAGAGCAAACGAGTAAAGAGAGTACCACCACGGGTAAGGAGGGATCGTGATATAGTTTTTGCTTAACGGTCGCACTTTTTAGAAAAGTGCAATATTACTTTCACGTTAGAACAGAGAAGATATTGAGTATTTTGCGTTGGTTAGAGTATTGGAGGAGTATCAGTGTTTTGGGATGAGAATGGGGTGATAAGATGTAAGATTCACTGGTTAAAGTATTGAGAAGGAAAAGAGATGTAATTTTGTTGATAAAGTTTTTGTGTAAGAGTATTTAGGGGTTAGAAGCAGAAGAGAATTTATAATTTTATAAGTGGAGTGAATGAGAGATTATTAAACGGGAGATTGGTAGAGAGTGTTTGTCTGTCGTTCGAGGCTGAATTGGATTAAAGGGAATAAGCTGTAGTGAACGATAATTGTCGGAATTTAATATTCTCAGCTGTCTCGTGGTGAAAGAATAAAAAATTAACGTAAATCACGTGATATGATGGGGGAGGACTGTGGTGGAATCGGAGACTGGGACTACCACATGAATTCAATAGAAGAATGATTGTTGAATTTTTATTAAAAATGAATTCGAATGGGGTAGGGGCTAATGGGATGGGTTCAAAGAAAAAAAAAAAAAAAAAAAAGACAAAACGGGGAGTAAAAAAAAAAAAAAAAAAAAAAAAGCAAAACAGTAACTATGAAACGCCGTTTTATCCGACAAATGCCTGCCTCCGTCCTCGAAGCTGTTCCTAACTTCCTATTGCACACTCTCGCGAGTCGCCATTCGTGAATGACTCACTCTCTCCTGCCATTATTTCTCTCTGTGATTTAGTTTAGGTAGCGGGTAACTAATAAATTTGGTTTTTTTTACGAATTCTCAAGTAATCTAGCAGAAAATGAAAGTCGATAATTTGATTTTGGTATATGGGCTTGTGTTTGGATTATTGTGTATATCTTCAATTGCTAAATCAGCAGTTCCTACAGACCTATTTCTCGGAGTTCCTCCTCAAGGTCAATCTCAAACTATCTGTTGTTATTTTTTTAATGTTTTTATTTATATTTTCTTCACTAATTTGATGTGTATTTTTTCCTTTTCTCTTGATTGGTGGGGTCTTGGGGATTTACAGATTTGAATTACTATAAGATATCATCAGGCACGATAAAATGTAAAGATGGATCCAAGAAATTCACCAAAGCTCAGCTCAACGACGATTTCTGTGATTGCCCTGATGGCACTGATGAGCCAGGTTGATTTTATTCATTGCTTATTTCTTTATTTTTTTGTACTCCATTGAGCAATGTTGTGCATTGGGTCATTTCACAACGAAAACTAATAGTTTCATTTTAATTGGGTTTGTTGCATCACTTGATTGTTTTAGATTTCCATTTCAAGAATCAGAGCTATAAGTATTGCATTATATCTATCACTAATCAAAAAACATTTTCTTGTACTTTGACCTTTTGGTTAGTATTTCTTGGACTGGACAGTGTAGTTAGTGTCTTATTGGGCAGACTCTTTTTTGGTTCTTTTGCAATGGTCCTTTGCTTGATCTCCTTGTTCAAACTCAATCTTTGTTTGTGCTGAATCTTGGTTTTTTTTTTTTTTTTTTTTCTGAAGTCTAGGTTTTTTTTTTTTTTTTTTTTGGGGGGGGGGGGGGGGGGGGAGGATTATTTTTATTCTTTTTTTTTTTTTTTGAAATAATTCTTAATGCAAAAAGTATTCACTCTATTTGTATGAAACTGCAATATCTTTTTATTTTTTTTTTTTTTTTTTTTGAATATTCTTATTGCAAAAGTATTTCACTCTATTTTGTATTGACTGCATATCTTTTTAATGTAGGCACATCAGCTTGCCCAGGTGCCAAATTCTATTGTCAAAATGCAGGGCATATTCCTCTTCTGTTATTTTCTTCCAGAGTTAATGATGGAATCTGTGGTAAGTCTAGTATCGGCACCTTGTGAAATTAGTTAGTGAATTTATATTTTTTGCTGTTAATTTTAAGCGTTTTTCCTACATTGAAGAAGCAGTTGTCTCTGGAAACTTGCATGATATTATCTCCTTAACATGATAAACTGATCCTAGAGAAGCAAGCTAGAAGACAAAAATTGATTTTAGTTTTCTCTGTAGTATTTTTATTTGGCTAATTTTCATCTCTGTACTTGTGTGAGGTATCTAATTCTTTAGAGGGAATTTACTCTTCTTTTGCTGGAAAACCATCAAACCTAATGTTTTCTGCCTTGTAAGTTTATTCTGTGGGCAAAATAAGAACATTGAGTGCATAATTTTACATGTAGTTACTAGTAGTTCTTCATTTTCACTTTTGCAAGACTAGGTTAAAGTTGAAGTTTTAGGACGACGAAAATGGTTAGGAGCCCAGCACATGCAGAGTGTAATAAACTTCTATTCTGCAGCATGTAGAAGATGACTTTCACACGTTATATTCCATTATATATAGTGAATGAGTAGGGAAAGAATTATAGATGATACACTTTGATTACCATAAGCAGGTTTATTGAGATTCCCCAACTTTAATTATTGCTTTATGGCTGGATCTTATCTTAATTTCTGTGGTCTATGCCCTGCTGCAATCCCTACCTTTCTTAATTTGTTTAAACTAGGATGCATATCCTTAATGTTTCCTGTTTGTATTATTTACTGGCTCATTATGCAGACTGCTGTGATGGGAGTGATGAATATGAGGGGAAAGTAAAATGCCAAAATACATGCTGGGAGGCTGGCAAGGTAGCTAGAGATAGGTTGAAGAAAAAGATAGCAACATATAAGGAGGGGGTTGCTTTGAGAAAGCAGGAAGTTCATCAGGCAAAACTAGCAATTGCTAAAGATGAGGCAGAACTATCAAAGCTGAGAAATGAGGAAAGCATACTCAAAGGGCTAGTTCAACAGCTTAAAGGTATAATTTGGTCTTTGTTTTGCCCATCAGCAGCATTTTTTTGTTTTATTTCAGTTCAAATAATGATTTGGGTTGTTATCATTCCAATTTTCGACGGGGATTCCTTGTTTTGCTCAAAGATGTTTTTTTTTTTTGCTTTACTATTTCTTTTAATCGTTCATACCAAGGCTGTCAGTCACTGACTTGAGTATCATTTACTGATCATATATCAATTTGCCATACTAATTTCAATTTAATTGAAATAATTCCAAATATGTTATGTATTGCATAAAGATGATTGAACATAATAAAATTTAAATGTACCTAAGAACATGCCATATGTATATATCAAACAACATGCCGTATATACATTTACATGTGAATATTTAAATAAAAGATTGTTGTCTAGATTTGTTTAGTGTTGACTGAAATGCTAAAAATGAAAGCTTTTCCACTTCATCTCCCATGTAGAACGTAAAGAACAGATAGAGAAGGCAGAAGAGAAAGAACGCCAACAAAAAGAAAAAGAAGAGAGAGAAAAAAAAGAGGCTGAAGAAAAAGCTAATAGGGAGAAAAATAGAGTTGAAGAGGAAGCTCAGCAAGAAAAAGTACTGGCCTCGGAGAAAAATGATGTTGAAGAAAAACCTGCAGAAATTATTGACCATGATAAAATCGGTGTTTTAGATGATTCGTCTTTGGATCAGGTTAGACATTTACTTTGATGCTCAACACCTTTGCCAACCTGTTTGGTCTTTCATTTAATGCTTTAGATATTGTTTCCATCCTATAATTCTGAGAACAATTCATTGGGCCCTTTAGGATGAGCCTTGCAAATTGCGAATTTTATTTATTTTAGCATTTCTATTAAGTATTAATAGGAAATTGCTTTTGATTTACAAGAATATGTATGAAAAAATTAGTTAGCTTCATGCCAGGGCATGGCTAATATTTTCTTAACGCTTATGTTCTTTTAATTAGGAAGAGACAGGGGAATATGCTCATCATGTAACTGATGCTGAAATAGGTGATACTTCCAAAATTGAAGGATCACCTGTAAATGAAATGAAGCAGGTAATAAAGAGCCCATGCATCCATAAATGTAATACGTTTTCTTCATTATAATTGGGCTATCACAGTGTAAACATTTGATTAATGTGACGAATATTCCTAATATAGAATGCAGCAGAAGAAGAGAAAAAGTCTATCTCTCCAAATAGCAAGGATGACTCAGCAGTTGGGAGTGAAACTGGTCATAATGCAGGAAATGAGAAATCTCATGATCAAGATATGAAAGTGGTAATTCATTTTCCTAGCAACAGAAAGAGCGATGAACTACATTTCTTTCTCTTTGCTTATTCCCCAATAAAGATTGGAACTTAAAGCTTAAGCTTTTGCTCTTCATTTGAATTTTTAGCTGTATTTGTGTTATGATCCTAATTGCAAGACGAGGAATTGGACTTGTATCCCATAGTGAAAATATGGGGATTTTAATTTGTGGTTTACATGGGTTTTGGGCTCTTCAATCTCTTGAGCTAGCATTTGGGATGTGGTTCTCCCAAGTTTCATATCAATCGGCATCAAAGCCAACCCCTGCTTCTCCCACTTAAAAGCAAGTGGTGTGGGTGGTGATAGTTGTGTCACAATGTTTGTCCGGGCTAGGAAAAACCTAGTGTACAGCCATCCTAGCACAAAGCCTACTTGTTGTGGGCGCTGGGATTGCAGAGTGTGGTGGGATATTATGAACCTAGTTGCAAAACAAGGTATGAGACTTGATTTGGATCCCATATTGAAAATATGAGATTTCAGTATGGGGTTTGTATCCAATCTCATGAGCTAGCTTTTGCGTTGTAGTTCTTCCAAGATTCATATCAATTTGGTTAATTTATGATCTCGTTCCAGGGAGTTGATTTCCAGTGAATTTTTCTGTCCCTTGATATTTTTGCCCACTGTTGCTTATGATTTACAGTTGATGGCAGGTGTTATGTTTATAACATGCAGTTATTTGGCTTACTAATAAATAATGCTGTTGGTCTCTGAATTTACTGTAGAGAAAGTGGTCTTATATTAACTTTTAGCAATAAAGGGAAAAAAAAAAAATTAGAGTTTGTTTTCCTCAGAGATCTTACTGTATTGTAAAGATAATTTTTAAATTTGTTGCTGTCATTTCTAGGACGTTAAATTTGTTCCTGAGATTGTTTACCATGATATATTACTTTTGAGATAGTTTTTGCCATCTACAGAAATATTCGCTAATTCAATGCATTTTCTTGAAAGTTTTCAATGTTCTTGAAATTTTAAAATATGACACGTCCAAGACTTGACAGTTTTTTTGACTTTGTGATTATCCTTCTCTTTTGTGTCTTCCCTTCATGTTACCGATAGGGCGATGACTTGTCTGAAAATACTGAAGGTTTGTCAAAGGAAGAGCTGGGCCGACTTGTTGCTTCTCGTTGGACTGGAAATTCTGAGAAGAAAATTGAGGAAGTTAACGTTGCTAAGGATGACCATGAGGATCATGAAAAGTTGGCACCGGATGCTCATGATGAGGAATATGACGACTATCCTTCAGAAACTGATGATGACGCTGGAAAGTATGATGATGACAATGGAAAGTATGATGATGACAGTGGCAAGTATGATGATTTTGATTCAGAAGATGATGTAGATGAAGCATATGAAGAGGATGCTCATGATCATCCTGCTCCTTCGTACAAATCCGACCCAGAGGATGAGGATGCTCATGATGATCCTGCTCGTTCGTACAAATCCGACCCAGAGGATGAAACAGACTTCTCAGGTTTGCAACTCTTGTTATTACTTTGGTTTTAGTCAGTGTTCTGTTCTACAAGTCAACCTTTTTTAATAGCCTGACCTTTTTTTTTTTTTTTTAACTTTTGGGTTTTAGTCAGTGGTTCTGTTCTACAAGTCAAAACCTTTTTTAATAGCCTGACCCTTTTTTTTTTTTTTTAATAAAATAACTTATATTTAGAATACAACGTTACCGAAAGCAACCCATCTTGGTTAGAGAAAAATACAACAAACTGTTCGACCTTTTTTTTTTTTTTTTATAAAATAACTATATTTTAGATACAACGTACCGAAGCAACCCATCTTGGTTAGAGAAAATACAACAAACTGTTCGTAACATTCTGCAAGCTGTTAATTTCTTCCAAACACCAGTGGATAAATCAGGTACATTTTAGAGATTTATGTCACTGTGTAATAATTTTAAAGATGGAAATGCGTGTGTAGATATCTGGTTATCTGTTACCATTTGGTTTCTTTAGAGGCGGCTCGCGTGCGCAAGGAATATGAAGAGTCCAGCTCCAAGTTGTCGAAATTACAATCAAGGATATCAAGTTTGACAAAGAAGTTGAAACATGATTTTGGTTAGTATATGATAAACTAAATATGTATGCATCTAACCTGTTTCCATAAGCTGACCATGATGATCAATATTGCAGGAATAGATAAGGAGTTCTATTCATTCTATGATCGCTGTTTTGAAAGCAAGCAGAACAAGTTACAACTTAAACTAATTTCTTGTTTCCACCATATTCTTATCTATTTTAAAGCTTTCTCAGTTGTAATCATCCATTCATCTTACCCTTGCCAATTCAAATTCTTGCTTCAGGTATATTTACAAAGTCTGCCCGTTCAAACATGCATCCCAGGATGAGGGCCATTCGACAACTCGTTTGGGGTAGGTGCCCATGAGATCTATTTTTTTCATTAATTAGTGACATCATAAGTTTTTCCTCTATTTAGAGATCATTTAGAACCACTAAACAACAACAACAACTACAACATCATAAGTTTTGTCTCTAACTTTTGTTTTCTAATGTGAATAGGCAATGGGACAAATTTGAGGATTCATATCGAGTTATGATATTTTCAAATGGTGACAAGTGCTGGAATGGGCCTGACAGAAGTTTAAAGGTATACGCATTGTTTTGTTTTCATGTAACATTCTATGGTAGATAATTCCTGCCATTCTGATATAATCCTACAACATAGCCTATAGTTGACATCCATTCACCTATTCTACTTCAATCCTATAGAGAGATGTCTGGAATAAATAAGTTTCTCTGTCTGGAATAGTTGTTTTCATGTAACATTCTATGGTAGATAGGTTTCTCTTTGATCCTGGCTTAAAAAATAAATAAGTTTCCGACCTTGGGATTGGAGTCTGGAATTCAATCTTGGTCTCTCTGTTGCAACTGTATATGGAGTAAAATCCACCTCTAGAGAGGTGTCTGGCATTCAGTGTCTACTAATAAAAGTTGAAAACACAAACGAAATGGGTGTTAAGAAATGAAAGATAGATCGCGTGGCTTTTCTAATATCTGTAATGTTGCATGTTCTATTGTAGGTCAAACTGAGGTGTGGATTGAAAAATGAGCTTACAGATGTGGATGAACCAAGCCGTTGCGAGTAAGAAATTCTCTCTCATATGTGCTCACACATGCGTGTTGCTCTTGTTATTCCAAACTCTTTGATTTGTCTTTTCAGGTATGTAGCATTCTTATCGACCCCTGCTCTCTGCCTGGAAGAAAAGCTCAGGGTAATATTCTGCTGTTCAAAAAATTTGAGCTCTTACCATCTTATGCATGAAACTCTAATAAGATTGAGCGGATCCTGAAATATGACAGGAATTGGAGGATAAATTAGTCTTGATGAACAAAGAACAACCGCAGGGCCACGATGAACTTTAAACTGCTAATGGGAATTGCGGCAAATGGATTTCGAAAATGTGGACAAGCCATTCATTAACACTTGAAATATTAGGAGCAGCAGAATGCAGTCAATTTAGACTGGTATTTAGAAATTGAGCAATATTTAAAGTGGGCTACTGAATTTTTCCTATTCTGGACCCACTTTTCTGTAACAGTTCTAATTCTTTGTGGGGTTAGATTGAAACTTGAGAGTAATTAGGAAGAAATCCGGCTCATTTTTAAACTGATTCTGAAATCATGGTGCTCCTTTCTATACGTAAATTAAGTGAACTAGCTCAGAACTATGACAATAATATGGACTTGATGGTATGACATTATAACTCATCTTCTCCATTATAATCTTTATTACATCACATTTTACAATTATAGTTAATTGCATGTTAGCATAAAATTGTTGTGCTGCAATTTTATTGTCCCAAGGTGGTAACCTAATTGAAGAGCTCACCTGGCCAGTGCCCGTAGAATGTCCAACATCTCTTATTTTATGCATAAAACGATGACCAGTATATGAATAAAAATAAAAATAAAGCCAGTGGTTTAGACCTGGCTTGGCCGGCAGTTTTTGGGCTTCACTGCCTACAGAATTAAAGAATAGCAAAGGATGACAACTGACAGGATGAATGTTCTTTTGTTTTTTAAATTGAGATTTGTTCTTGTTCTTTGTGCATTTTCCCTATTTTGAGATTTTCTTTTGCTGTAATGGGTATGGAACAAATCACAATGCAGGGAACAAAGCATGATCAAACCAACACTTCCTTCGTGGCAATTTAACTAAATAATTTTCAGTATTAAGATAAAACTAGCATTGGATTTATACGTCACTCATATGCAACAAACATTTAATTTTTCATTATTCTACTTAGGTTGAATTTTTTAAGTAAAATATTTTTTTAATTCATTGGGAGGTCCAATGCAATTAAAATATTTACTAAATTGATAAAAAAATTTATAATTGAAAAAATTCTCTTGTACATTCGCCGTCAGCAATCAAACCTGGTGTATAATTTTGCAACATAAGTACTGTGTCGGCCGAACCCTAGAAACCATGTGTATTTTTTTTTTTTTTTTTTTTTTTGCAAACATAAGTACTGTGTCGGGCCCGAACCCTAGAAACCATGGTGTATTTTTTTTTTTTTTTTTTTTCCTATTTATAAAGCCTATTAGGGGGTACATCACCATCCAAAACTAAAAGGAGCCCCACGGACCGACTGTCTAAAATAAAATCTGTCCTCATTTGTTTTGACCTAAACACATCGGTCACGTCCAATTTTTTTTTTTTTTTTTTTTTTTTCTATTTATAAGCCTATTAGGGGGTACATCACCATCCTAAAACTAAAAGGACCACGGACCGACTGTCTAAAATAAAATCTGTCCTCATTTGTTTTGACCTAAACCACATCGGTCACGTCCAATCAATGCGTGCCAGGTTTACCACTGTTCCAGAATCCACATTTGAAAAATAAATAAATTAATCAAAATACAGCATTGCCCAACACGCCCTTCATTTCCATTGCCCTTTCCCTTCCATTCCAGCACGTCTCCAACTTCATACATTTCTCACTTTCTCACATTTATATATATACATTCATATATGTATAACAAACAATCGATTCTTTAGGAATCACGATCTGTATCTTGTTCTACTCTTCCTTTTTTTATTTGAAACACAGTGATATTGAAGATTTATAACCAAAAGCCAAAACGATGACGAACGGCGGAGAAGATACGGTGCTCATGGAGAAGAAACCAAAGACAAAGATCGTTTGCACCTTAGGACCCGCGTCCCGATCTGTTCCAATGATCGAAAAGCTTTTGAGAGCAGGCATGAATGTTGCTCGCTTTAACTTCTCTCATGGATCTCATGAGTACCATCAAGAAACCCTTGATAATCTCAGGGCTGGTATGGTTAACACTGGTATTCTCTGTGCTGTTATGCTTGACACCAAGGTATATATATATGTTTGTATCGCATTTTCTTGTGTTTGACTTTTGTTTGGGATTCTTGCATCTTGGTATACGTTGTTTATATGACTTATCGATATTGCATGTCTCTTTTTATTTTTCTCGGTTGGATATGGTCTTTTTTTTATATATGGATTGCTATGTTTTGGAAACCTCTGCATGTGTTATTTGGAATTTCCTACAAGTGGGTATTTTTATTTTTGTTCAATTTTTTTTATATATTTTATGTTATCTGTTTCGGGTGTGTGGGATATCTAGGAGGATGAATTGTAGTTACCTCTGTGATATTGGCAGTTGCTAGTTTGATTGCACCTGTAAGTTTGTTAATTACTATTCATTGTGGCATTCTATGATCTGTAGCTTTGTTTGATCCTTCGGTTACTATTTTAGGTGCCTTTTTTTAAAAAATTTGTAATTTAAGAAACATTGTGCTGCTCTGTTTTATTAACCCAAAAACATGAAGAAACTACTCCGTTTTTGTTATGTCAATGGCATCCTGCGGTAATCTGTCCCTTCCCCTCCGCTTTTTAAATCAGTTGGAATTTTGTAAACAATAATGTGAAATACTTCATTAATTTTTGGCTAACACGTATGGAAATAGTAAGTTACCTCAATTGCCTAATCGATTCAAAGTAGAAATGTTGTTTGCTTATTGGAATTCATGGTTCAACCTAAATCAGTTGTATGGGTCCTCTGTACTTTCTGAGCTTGATACTGCATCGGTAAAGCTACAGTGGACAAGGACCGCGTTGAGGAGCTCATTAAAGACTTAAAAGTTTAGTGAAAATGCATCTAAATGTAGTATTCCTTCTCTGATTGGCACTACTCTGTGGTTCCCTAATTTTACTCCATTTTAGGCTCTTCAGCTGAAAGTTAATAAATCTGCTAGTTTCTTAAGTTCTTTATTTGCACATAAATATCGCAGGGACCAGAGATTCGAACTGGGTTCTTGAAGGATGGCAAACCGGTCCACCTAAAACAGGGTCAAGAGATCACCATTTCTACGGACTATAGTATAAAAGGTGATGAGAACATGATTTGCATGAGCTATAAAAAGTTGGCCGAGGATGTCAAGCCTGGGATGGTTATACTTTGTGCAGATGGCACAATTTCATTTACAGTTTTATCATGCGACAAAAGTGCGGGTTTGGTTCATTGCAGGTGTGAGAACTCTGCAGTTCTGGGTGAGAGAAAAAACGTTAATCTTCCAGGAGTGATAGTGGATCTTCCAACCTTGACAGAGAAAGACAAGGAAGATATCTTGAAGTGGGGAGTTCCAAATCACATTGATATGATTGCTCTTTCTTTTGTTCGAAAAGGTTCAGATCTTGTGGAAGTACGGAAGTTGCTTGGAGAACATGCTAAGAACATCCTTCTCATGTCAAAGGTATGTCAAAGGAAGTTGCTGGTGATTTTGCATGCAGTGAGAATTCAAAACCAAGCATTTACTTGATGAGTTACCACTTTCTGAACTTCTTGCTATCGTAATGGCTTGACTATAAGTTTTTTGTTATCAAAGGCTTATTTGGATGGAAAAAATATACATGCTTAGAAATGTTGGAATGAGTTATTTTGAAATCTATTGAAATTCAATTGTCTACGGAGTTGCTGTCTCATGATTTATTGCCTTTACTTGGTGTCTATTTGGCAGGTTGAAAACCAAGAAGGGGTTGCAAATTTTGATGATATCTTAGCAAATTCAGATGCATTTATGGTGGCACGTGGTGACCTTGGAATGGAAATTCCGATCGAAAAGATTTTTCTAGCACAAAAGGTGATGATCTACAAGTGCAATATTCAAGGAAAACCAGTTGTCACTGCAACCCAGATGTTGGAGTCAATGATCAAATCCCCCCGACCAACTAGAGCAGAAGCCACTGATGTTGCCAATGCAGTTCTTGATGGTTCTGACTGTGTGATGCTGAGTGGTGAAACAGCAGCTGGAGCATATCCAGAAGTTGCTGTTCGAACAATGGCAAAAATATGTTTAGAAGCAGAAAGCACACTTGATCACAGCGATATTTTCAAAAGAATTATGGAACACTCGCCTGTGCCCATGAGCCCATTAGAGAGTCTGGCTTCTTCAGCTGTTAGAACTGCTAATTCAGCTAGAGCATCTCTCATATTAGTATTAACAAGGGGAGGAAGTACTGCAAAACTAGTGGCTAAATACAGACCTGGCATGCCAATTTTATCTGTGATAGTACCTGAGATTAAGAGTGATTCCTTTGATTGGTCATGCAGCGATGAAGCTCCTGCCAGGCATAGCCTTATTTTTCGTGGTTTGGTACCTGCTTTATACGCAGGATCTGCTAGGGCTTCTCATGAGGAGACAACAGAAGAAGCTTTGGATTTTTCCATTCAACATGCCAAGTCTAAAGGACTATGCAAGAACGGAGATTCTGTGGTGGCTTTGCATCGAGTTGGAACTGCATCCATAATCAAGATCATAACTATTAAGTGATGATCAAATTAGCAGCTGACTTTTTGTTCTACTCTCTTATTTTGAGCCTTCCAGTAAACTGAGGATGAAGGCAATGTGCTACTGATGTTGCCCGCTTGTCTTTATCCTTTTTTTTTTTTTGTTTGCTTTTTCCCTTTCCCCTTTTTTTCCCTGTTCTGAGAATGAACCTCAATTACGATGAATACTATTTTGATGGTAAATAAGTCAGGATTTTTGTCATGCAAGTTACTTTGCTGCCTTTTAACTTCGCAAATCCAATTTTCCAAGTATTTTGACACATGCAGCATATCTTTTAGGAATGACAAAATCCCACCAAGATTCTGAAATTTTCAAAGGTTTCATTTCAACGCAATTGACTTGGATATTAAACAAATCAACAAATGTGATGGTGAATCATTGTCTTCAGGAAGACAAATCGACATTAATTCAGCCCACAAAAACAAATAATTCAAGCAAATTTATTAAACAAGGCTAATTCGCATTGGTCTAGTTTCTATATGCCAAGGCAAAAAGAAAATTGGCGTTCAGCGTTTGATTTCTTGGTAAATTTGAAACATTCCACTTTTCATCGATGATGTTTATTCAAAGCTTAAAGCTAACGCAACTTACAAAAACGACACCGAGCAGCTTGTCAATTCATGAGGCGGTCTATCGTCAAAGTTGTCCATTTAACTTGAAGGACTTGCGGCACCTATAAAAACGACATGGGGACGTTTATAACGGTCGTTTAAACTGCTAGGCAGGTCAACCTTGTTTCGGGCAGATTAGTTTGACAAATTTTTTGCTTGTGTGTTTAACGGCAATCAGTTATTTGTCTGTTTATTTTGAAGAATATGCTGTACGCATAAAAAGGAATGATTCCCATTATTAATTTTGTCTAAATTTCTAGAAGAATATGCTGTACGCATAAAAAGGAATGATTCCCATTATTAATTTTGTCCAAATTTCTAGAAGTTTGTGTCGTTTTCCGTCTCCTTCTAGATGACAGGTTAGCTTTAAAACGGAGTGGCTTGGCTTGTCGTCCAACTATCCTTTCGAGGATCTTTCAATTTTCTTACTAATATTGTGGAAATTGGTAAATGTTTTCGCAGAGACCTAACTCTTCAGAATTGAATGCCACCCAAGCTTATCCTAGATGGTGACCATCAATTGGTGGGCACACACTTCGAAACCTATATTACCTTTTAAAGCTAGTCCTTTGTTTTGTAATTGATAAAAGTAGCGTTTTTAACTTGAGTGAACCAATCGTTTGCAATTATACTAATTTTTTCCCATCAGCTTTCATTCTCGTAGCAACATTACTACTAGTTTTTTCCATCGAATTATAAATTATCATACACCAAGAATACCACATCCGTCAATATTTAACTGAAGTAATGCAAACTGCGAACATTTGCAGTCAATTAAATAAATACCAGTCTCAAAAAAAAAAAAAAAAAAAAAAAAAAAAAAAAAAAAAAAAAAAAAAAAAAAAAATCGCGTCAATATTTAACTGAAGTAATGCCAAAACTGCGAAAACATTGCAAGTTCAATTTAAATAAATACCAGTCTCAAAAAAAAAAAAAAAAAAAAAAAAAAAAAAAAAAAAAAAAAAAAAAAAAAAAGAATAACCAATGAAGAAATTTGACAAAAGTTTTGGCATTCTAAATAGGGTAATTAATCCATTTCAGAAGCTCTTCAAAACAAGATGCATTGCCCGTTGGACCTAGAGATAGCCTATCCAATCAGAGTGCACCACATGCGAAACTCTATCAGTCTGCCTGCGTGGTAGGCTTAAATATATAGACATTGCACCATATTCAGACCTTTGACGGACCTGCAGATACCATCCTCAGCTTAATATTGCATGATGGACTCAGATAATGTCTTCTCAAATTGTAAAACTGGTAAAATCGGAAGAACCTTTGGCATTCAGATTGCACTCTTGCAGAAAAAACTGTTCGTGCGGCTCGTATAACTTGGAGTTTGACAGCTGTCATTTTGGGGGGAGAAATGGCAAGAATCAAAAACTGTACAAGTACCACTCCTGCACTCAACTGACCTCGTCAAAGAAATCAACCTCAAAACAGATAACACTATGGTGGGGGACCGGTACTGCAAAAATACAATAACCTAATTTAAACAATCTGATGCTCGCCTGCAGCATTCTCCTCCTGCAAGGGCTAAAACTAATTAGATCATATACAAACTAGCGCACCACCAAGCACTGTAAAAATTCACACACATTTAATATGCACATACATTTTGATTTTTGTTTTGCTTTTCCAATTCAGAAACTGCTATATGCAGTTCAAGCATGAAAGTATTTGCAATGACGGCCACCAATTAATTAAGAAGATACTTATTGACCAATCCCACAACTAATGTCCCATGATTGACCCATGAGTAGTGACAGAGGTTTTCCTAAGCAGATAATGCAGCTTTAAAAATGCAGATATATGCAATTCACATTAACCAAGAACCATGATTCTAAACCCATTCCATTTGCAACATAACAGCAAATTGTGTTGGATCTTTTAAACTCCAAAGTGACTAAACTAAAATCATATATATCTCTCAAACCTATAATCGAATTACGAACACATTATATCTAAACTATCAGAATAAAGCCACCAGTAAAATTGCTACCTATTCCAAATCACCTGCCCTGCATGTATAAACATAAGACCATCGCTATGATTGACAGCCATCATGATTAGATTTGGAATCTTGAATGCCCTTGTCCCTCCACAATGAAGGCAAAAGATAAGACTTCCTCAATGAAGAGACAAATATATGATATTGATCAGAACAGATTCCATAAATTAATTATATTAAGAACTTTCAATAAGCAGACACAGCACCATCACAAGTCCCACCGCAGTGGTCAAGTTTATTCATATTAGAGGACTGCAGATACAACCCATAAATTTATAATAAGATGAGAGAAATGCCAACACATTCAATGAATGAAAGGAGCACTAAGAAATCCAAAATCAACTAACAGAATGAAATAAGGGTAGTGTTTGCATTTTCAAAAGTTATTAGGATAATATATTCTTTTACTTGGTCAAGGATAATTTTAAAGTACATAATCAAAAGCAAATAGTACCTTACTTATAACTTTTGACTTATTTAAGTAATTTTTTCTAACTTAAATGCCAAATCAAACATTATCCAATTGATGACCTTTTACTTAAAAACAGATTTAACTAACTTATAAACCAAACCAAACCAAACACCCTCTTAATTGGGTTCATGTGGCAGTTTTGTGCCAAACTAGAAAAGTTCACAATGTAGTTTCGCAATCCCATTCAGAAAACAAACAACACTCTTCACATTTCACAAAATCAACAGAAATTGACAATAATTAGCAGCTAGGCTTGATAAATTCAGGCAAAAAAATTGCTAAGACAACTGCAATTTTATGATGCTTGTAGCAGACACAATCCTATAATTCTTTTAAGAGAACTTGTTGACATCTCAATATCAAAGAGTTCTAGAGTGGATCACATCCTCAAAGATACTAAATACACCATTCCTCTACAATGTCTCAACAGAAAACACATACACATACATTGCCATCACAGGACCACATAACATATGATGCTATTGAAAGTAAAGTTTCAATTTATCAAACCCTTTGACAATTATGTTTATGAAGTTTTTGTCAAATTCCTAAACCAAATTTAAAAGAGTTTAAAGAAGGGTCATGTCATACGAAGTGAAGAAAAGATAAGATGCATTCATAGATACTCACATCTATGGTCTGGAAAGATCTGTTCAAGGACATCTTTAGCTGAGGAACTTCCGGGCTAGAAGCAGATCCATTGTCAAGAAGACTGGAATTTTGATCCTACAAACAAATAATAGAATCATACAAATGCATATTAGATTACTGACCTCCAGATACAAGAAACAAGATTCCATGACCAAAAGCATAGAGAACCACAGAACTTCAATAAGTATACAAATGCATGGATATGATCTATAATGCAAACATCTGTGAATACCAAAGTTGCACATGCATATAATGTTTCACATTCTGCCATACAATATTAGAAATATGCTTATAGTCTGTTACTTTATGTTCTCTATTGTTTACAATTCTACTGGATGCAGTCATCAATGCACATCATGTTAGAATGTAAACAAGGACTATTTAGATTTCGAACACTATTTACAGTCTTTTAATCTACAAATACAAATTAGTAACAAGCTCAACTGGAGATCTTTCAATTCCAACAAGCAACAGGTGTACACACAAACACATTATACTTTCAGTTAACTTTTCAATTTTATCCAATGTGAGAATGCAAGGGAAAGAAAGAGGCTTCAGGTATAAAAACAAAATAGTAACAGTCTGTTTAATTTGATATAAGAAAGGAAGGAAGAGATGTCCCTCATGGCATGGAGAGAAATGAAAGGATTGCTTCTCTTCGTTTTCCACTTTACCAGAACACCGCCAAATTTGGACCTAGATCTGTTGGAAACGATGGCAGAATCTATAATATTTTCCAACCCATTGTTCCTCCCAATATGTCCTAATCCAATTTTAATAGATTACTTCTGGTTCCAGAAGAGAAGGAAGTGCTAATTTCGTGCTTCCTTCCTTTGGTGCATTTCTGCCCAAACAAATGGAAAGAAAGTTCCTTATTCCTTCTATCTCTCTCCTCCAAGCAGTTTTGTCCTTCTTCCCTCCCTCAAACCAAATGCAATGTGTTATGTTTGTCCATGGCAAGGCAATAATAAAATTTTCAGTAGAATTAATAGTATCTACATAAAACTATGGAATCCATAACCTAGAACAGAAACGAAACTCATGAAAAGTATCTTGGGCATATTAAACGGAAAAGAGTATGCAAGCAACATATTTCATACCACATGCAAATATCTGTTGCTCCGACCGTCTTCAAATAGAGATGAGTAGTAAGCTGGATCATAAATGGAGCCACCTAAAGCAACATCAGAATCTGAGCATTCTCTAACTGCAGCAGGAGTTACTGGACTCAGGAAACTATGTCTTAAATCAAAATCTGCTTCCCGAGGTGCTGTACTTTCGCCATAAGAAACTCCCAATCTATAAATCTGAATCCACAACAATGAGGATGATAACCTCACAGAAAATCCAACAATTTGCATCGCCAAAGTGAGTTTGACTGAAAATATAAAGAAAGGTCCATATCTCTCCGAAGAAATGTTCCTGTGGACAAAAATAACGCTTTTAGTTAATACCAGGCTGTTCCATAATACTTGTCAAGTTTGGAATTTCACGTCTCTTAAGAAAACCATTAAATTTTTCTAAGTTGCAATAAATTATTAAGTAAATTAACTATATTACCCTTAATTTAATACTAATTCTCTAAGAAAACCATTAAATTGAAATAATAATTATTTCTAAGTTGCAATAAATTATTAAGTAAATTAACTATATTACCCTTAATTTAATACTAATTCTCTAAGAAAACCATTAAATTGAAATAATAATTATTGATCATGTATAAAGAGTAAACATGGAAAAAAAATATTTATTACTCATTGAAACCACAGATGTAAGAAGTATTTTGGAACAAATTATTTTCTCAAATGTGATAAGTATTATGGAACAGAAGTAGTATATGTTGAACAGTTCATCAATTTAAGGGAACGAAGAGAGTGTATCCACGTAGTTTCTGCATTGACCTAATATTAATAAGATAAAATAAACCTATGTCACATGAAGTAATGATCCTAAAGGGGCTAATATAACTTGACATCAATTCCCCCCAAGTAATCAAAATTTTCTTTTAGACAAAACAATATTATATTATAGAATGCATGTAAGAGGTAAAAAGTCAGTTTATTAGGATGTGATACGTGAATCTGCAAACGTGATGAAAGCTTATTAGTTTGAGAAATTAAAAAATATCAATTCCCAAGAGATAATTTAATAAAGGTAACATCAATTCTCTACAATGTCAATGCTACAGTTTAATGAACACACCCAATACAAAAAAAAAAAAAAAAAAAAAAAAAAAAAAAAAAAAAAAAAAAAAAAAGAAAAAGAAGCAGATGGGAAAATGGACAAAGCTGAAAAAGCAGCAGCACAGACATGGATAAGTTTGTTCGTATATAACTAATAAAACACAATATAAATAAAAATATCACATACAGTAAGGAAAAGGAAATAAAAAAAAAAAAAGTACCAAATATCATGAGTGAAGAGAATGAACCAAAAAATGTCAAGCAAAATGGCACAGAAGAGAAGAACAGCGTAGGTACGACCCAAACTCTGACTGCTACTTTCGATGGCGACCAGAGCAAACAATGCGATTGCCAAATTGATCAGCAAAACACCATTGTACAATGCCCCTAGCGATCCAATTAATGCGCAACCAATCTATACATAACAAATCAAATCCATTTCTCGATTAAATTAATCCCTAATTATAACAATAATGACAATGATTAGAGCCAATATCCATAATTGAGAACACTAAATCTAATTATAGTAACCTATACAAAGAGAAAATCAAAACAAGATGCTAATACCTGAATATAAATGAGGATGACAGCCAGGTATTGAAGACTATCATAATCGCGAAGCCAATTCTGTATTCGATCTTTTAATACACCACAAAACATCATACGCTATGAACCTCCTGAGTCCCTATTATTATTATTCACCTTTTTTTTTTTGTTTTGTTTTATTTTCCTTCGCTTTCTTCTCTGCCAACCAAAATAAAACCAGATGGACAGATCGAAACGGCGGGACAGGAACTACATGACACGGGTGGCGGTTTTTACTTTGGTAGCAGTCGCTGCTGCTAAATCAAATCAATTACGTTATTGTTAAGAGGGATTTCTTAAAAGCAGGTCATCTGTATCTCTGCGGATATTGCCACGTTCTCCTCACGTGACGGGATTACTGCCCTTCAGTAGTGTTCCTCTTCTCTTTGAACTTTTTGACTATTAGGTGTGAAGTGAACTGTAATGCCAACACTTCACAGCATAACCCAATCAAGGGAGGCATATGCTTAAACTACGCTCTGAAACTGGCATTAGTATATGCTCGGCTAGGCCGGTCAACCTTCTTTATTTATTTTACTTGTTTCTTCTCCTAATAATGCTTATAATAAATAATAAATTACCTTTGAAAATAATAAAGTTTATCCTTCTGAAAATATAATTTATTAATAATAATATAAGTATTACAGTGCACATAAGTTAACAAAGAGTACTTTGAAAATAATAAAACATTATTAAAATAAATCTTATAACTTTTTTTGAAAAATCTTATAAATTATGATCGTGTATTTTCTTATCGATATATACTACTACTGTTAAATTATAATCAACAATTAATTTTGTTAAATATCTCATCAATTTGAATTTTAAACTATTTGAATTTGATTTTTTAATGAATTTATACGTGAATACTTCATAGATAAAATAGTACTCACTTTATTCTATATACAGGTTTAATTTGACATTCATTAGAGTAAGAAAAACTAATTAATTTAGTTAAATTATATACAATTAGAATATAAATTTATATTAAATAGAGGTATATTAAAAAATAAAATAATAAATGATTTTTTAAAAAGGAAAAAGGATTATATTTTAGGACAAATAAAAAAAATTAACCTGCGGTATAGTTAAAAAATAAAATAATAAATGATTTTTTTTAAATAAAGGAAAAGGGATTATATTCTTAGGACAAATAAAAGAAAAAAGTGACACTTTATATATATTATAAATATATATATATATAGATATATATATATATATAGGGACAAGGTATATTTTGGTTCATTTTTAATGGATGGTTTAATATTTCACTTAAATATATGAGGGAGCAAGTATATTTGTTCTTTTTATGGATGGTTTAATATTTCACTTAAGACATTTAAATAAAATTTATATTTAAAAAAAAACATCTTATAAACGATGTCGTTTTGCGATTTCTTTAACCCGGCTATGGAACGACCAGTCGCTCATTGCGTTTCGTTAAAAAGCTAAAACGCCCAGGATGAAAAATTTTTTTCCGTCTCAAAAAGAAACGTTTCAACTTAACGGGGAAATTTTCTGCTCTACAAACTCTTTTCCGCCTCAGAGAGGAAACTTTTCCATTGTCGATGAAGAACAGAGAATTTTACACCAATCAACCTGGACGTATATCTTTGAAGTTTGAACTGCTATGGAAAGCAGAAGAGAAGAGATTACCTTTAACTATTAAGTTAAGGTCTAGAGAAAATAGCAGAGTCGACTAATAATATAGAGACTAGAGTAAAGTTCAATGTTTAGAAACGTCTTTGTTTGCCAGGCAAAGTCCCCTCCCACGGTTTTTCACGTTGTCGTTTCCTTCAAGTTTCATCCATTGTCGATCCTCAAAATTACAATTTTTCTTCAATGTTTTTTGTTTTTTTTTTTTTTCTGATGAATCTAAACATTTTCTCAGAATTTTCCTATTGTAAATACGAACGTGGACTTTGTCAAAGCTGCAGATCAATTCTAAGATGAGAAATTGATAAGGCGTAGATTCTGATTCTAGCAATTGCGCGTTCCCGTTTAAGTCAGAAGGACAATTTCGCAGTCAGCCTTGCTTCTTTAAGTTATAAATCCAATCCCTCAGAAGCATATGAAATATCATGACCATTCAAGTTTTAAAATAATAAAATCTGTATGACTTGTTTTCTTAAACAGCCACCATGTGCGTATGCTTTACATTAAAAGCTTCTTCTAAATCAGGTTCAAAACCATGGCTCTTTTCCCTTTTACTTATGGCCTCCTCTTTCATTTTCCACCCTTGTGGAGCCAAGCCCATTACTGGAAATTACAAACAAGTCGTAAACATTGGTGCAATCATTGATGTCAATTCAAGAATCGGAAGAGAAGAGAAAACTGCTATGGAAATTGCAGTTCTAAATTACAACAGTGGCTCAAAACATTATAACCTATCCCTTCACTTCTTTGACCACCAAAATCACCCTCTTCAAGCTGCTCAAGCTGGTAATTAAACTTTTTTTTTTTTTTTTTTCTGTTTCTGTTAGTACGCCTGTTGATATTTTTTTTATTTTTTCACAGCTGAAAATTTGATTAAAGAGAAGGAAGTGAAAGCAATTGTGGGCATGGAGAGATGGGAAGAGGCAGCTGTAGTATCTGATATTGGAAGCCAAGCTCAGATTCCAATTCTTTCATTTGCTGCACCTGCTATAACACCACCATTACTAATGAGACGTTGGCCTTTCTTAGTAAGAATGGTGGACACAAATTCTGAACAAATGAAATGTATTGCAGAACTTACTCGAGCTTTTAATTGGAGAAAGGTCATAGCAGTTTATGAAGATAATACCTACAGTAATGGTGATTCTGGGGAATTGTCACTCTTATCTCAAGCTCTAAAGGAGGTTGGTTCGGAGATAGAGCACCAATTAGTCCTTCCACCGTTTGCAGTGCTATCTGATCCTAAAGGAGTTGTTAAAGAAGAACTAAAAAAGTTGGAAGAAGTAAAATCACGGGTTTTTATCATACTTTATTCATCATTGCCTATGATTATTAACTTATTTAGAGAAGCTAAGGAGATGGGATTAGTGGGGGAAGAAACAGTTTGGATCCTCACAGATTCTGTCACTAATTTCTTGGATTCAGTTGACACTTCCGTTATTCATTCTATGGAAGGTGCTTTGGGAATCAAAATTCGCTATTCTGATAATAGCAGTGCCTATAAAATTTTCTATAATCAGTTCCGGAGAAATTTCATGTTTGAGTATCCTGAAGAAGATAGCTTTGAGCCTGGATTTTATGCTCTTAAAGCATATGATACAATCGCAACAATCATAAAGGCCTTAAACTTGGAGAGAATGTCCAGCAACAAGACTAGCAGTCTAAAAATGTTCTTGAATAACATATTATTAAGCAATTTTAATGGTTTAAGTGGGGAGATACGTTTTGAAGCAGGCAAGTTAATGCGTAGTTCTAAAATGAGGATTGTTAATGTAGTTGGAAAGAAATACAAGGAGATGTACTTTTGGTCGCCAGGATTTGGATTCTCAAGAAAAGAAAATGCAAATGATAGTGTTCTTCCTATGGGATTAGAAGGTGTAGTGAATTGGCCTGGGGATTTAAAGGGGACTCCAAAAGGATGGGCAATGCCTTCAAATGCAAAACCATTGATAATTGGTGTTCCAGGAAGATCAGCATTTGAAAGATTTGTCAAAGTAGTGAATCTAACTGAACAGGGATATGAAGGTTTTTGCATTGAGCTATTTCATAAGGTGTTAGAGGTTTTGGGTTATAATCTACCTTACAGATTTCAACCTGATAATGGCACCTATGACGATTTAGTAAATCAAGTGTATAACAAGGTAAATAAATCTATATTATAAACTCCATCTGCAAAACCCCATATATAAATTATGCATTTAGTTATAATATTCATTATATTGCCTGAAATTATGAAAATACTGATCCTCCTTAATTTCTTGTGAAATTTCTGATAGAAATTATTGCTTATTTGTCTTGTGCATAAAAATAAATTCAAGACTTATGATGCTGTTGTTGGCGACGTAACAATACTAGCTGAAAGATTAGATAAAGTGGAATTCACACAGCCATTTGCAGAATCAGGCTTGTCAATGGTAGTTCCTGTCAAATCTGAGGAGTCAGCATGGATTTTTATGAGGCCTTTCACATGGCAAATGTGGGCAGTCACGGGTGCAATCTTGGTCTATACTATGTTCATAGTTTGGTTCTTGGAGCACCAAACAAATCCTGAATTTAGAGGTCCATTGAAGAATCAGATTGGCACTGCTGTTTTGTTCACTTTCTCTTCTCTTTTCTTTGCTCACAGTAAGCACCAAAATGTTTTCTCTTACTATATTTTACATTTTCGGTTAATTTGGCTTTGACTGTAAGATATAATTCACAGCCTTACGATCCTGGAGATGATTCCAGTACCACTAAGCCAAATGGTTAATGGTTTCCTTTCCTTTTGCAGGAGAGAAAATTTATAGTAACCTTACTCGGGTTGTTGTTGTAGTGTGGCTTTTTGTTGTGTTGGTTTTGAATTCAAGCTACACTGCCAGTTTCACTTCAATGCTCACCATTCAGCGGCTGCGGCCAAACATTACCGATATTGATTGGTTAATAAGAAACAATTTACCAATCGGCTGTGATGGAAATTCATTTCTAAGAAACTACTTGGAGAAAGTTTTGAAATTCAAACCAGAGAACATCAAGAAGATTAGCGGTGAAAACAATTACACAGACGAACTTCAGAGTAGAAATATATACGCTGCCTTTCTTGAAATCCCGTATCAGAAAGTTTTCCTGAGTCTTTATTGCAAGGAATACCTTGCAACTACACCTAGATATAAATTTGGAGGATTAGGCTTCGTAAGTGTTTTATTTTTTCTATTGCATTTTGTATTTTCTTATTTGTTTGACATTAAAATTGAAATTTGGAAAAAGTATCAATTTAGATATTGTTGGAAAAAACAATTTAGAAACGTGATTTTAACTAGGTAATTTTGAATTTTTTGTGCAATTCACCTTAAAAATCAATATTTTTAATGTAGTATTTTTCTTAATAGCAGCTGAAAGAGCAGTGTCAAATAAAACCTAAATAGAGAACCGTTTTTTATTCTTCAGGTATTCCAGAAAGGCTCTCCAATAGCAGCTGATTTTTCGAAAGCTATACTACAGCTATCAGAGAATGGAGAGCTAAGAGAATTAGAAAATAAATGGTTTGCTCTCTCGCCAGAGTGTTCAAACGACGCTACTAAAAGTGAGACTGAAAGCCTGAGCCTGGAAAGCTTTTGGGGTCTCTATGTTATATCTGCTGCAACTTCTACATTTTGTTTTCTGCTATTTCTAATTCATTTGCTGAAGAAGTATTGGCATTATCAGAAGGAAGAGCATGGCAGTGCGACCCCAAGCAACGGGAGTGTTTGGAACAAGACAGTTGGTTTAGCAAAATATATCTATCATGGAGAGATTGGTATTCCAGTAACATCTCCAAATTTTTCTCCATCACCAGATGTCCATGAATGGATATCTCCAAGGAGGGGACGTGACAGTAATTCTGCCATTCCTGACACTGACAGTCTTTCGGCCTCCTCCAGCTGAAGTTGAAGTTGTGAATATTCCATATTCTTCAAGAGAATCTTCAGCTGCTGAGATCAGTGTTGCAACTCTGACATCTATTTATTTAGAGTAATACGTTTCAAATCCCTTGAAATTTAACTTGATTGTAGTTGGAGAGTATAGTTTAAGTTAATTAGTCAAATCACAATTGTGAACAAAACATGAATGGCTATTAAGCAGAGCATTTATTGGTTGAAAACGACCTTGAAATTTTGTATCAGATGCAAAATTTGCCGTTAGCATCATTTTCTTGGTGAGCTTGATAAATAAGAACATCCATTCAAACTTGAAAATGTCAAAATGAAGTTTGTTTATTTTGGAGTTATTATGATTATTCAAGCTAAAAACCGTGTTCATTAGAAGGCCACGAAACTGGTTTCCCACCACCGATAAACTATTGCGGTCTTCACTCACAAAAAGTATCAAATTAGTAAACCATGGGATTGAAGAACCAAAACCATAATTATATAGATGTACAAGTTCAAAACAGAACAAGTATCAAGTCGTTGTAGTATAGTGGTGAGTATACCCGCCTGTCACGCGGGTGACCCGGGTTCGATGCCCAGCAACGGCGTTTTTTGTTCTTTGAAAAAATTGATAAATAATTTTTACATTTGTTATTTTTTTTTTCCTCCTATGTCATGTTAATGTACATTATTATTTACATTCATTAACTACAATGAAATCAATCAAGTTCTAAACTATGACAGATGTCCTTCAATGTCCTATTAATAAATGTTATTCAAAGTTATATTGAGAAGAGCATTATTAAAAAAAATATAAGTTGACTTGTTTGAAAAATCTTATTAATTATGATTATGTTACTTTCTTATGGAAATCATATCACCATTTTGTTTTGTTAAATTATCATTTTGAATTTAAAAAAAAAAAAAAAAGCTGATGATTCTAAACAATTTTTTTTTAAAAAAAAATTTTGACTGTTTTTATGAAACTTAATACTTCACTTTTTTATGCTTGAACATAAGACAATATAATATTTTCCTTTTTTATGAAATTCACTTGATATTTTACTTTAACAGTTGAATGAAATTTATACTAAAAACATAATTAAAAGCATATGATATGAACAGGTGTCACATACACCAAGACAATTAAAATAAATTTTTTTAAAAAATATTATTGTTTTATTTTATTTTTCTAGATCAGAAATACTTTTGTTTGAAGTTTGAAATAAATATTGTATGCAACTAGTTGGTATATAGGTGGCTACGTAAACCCCGCATAGTCAAGTCTTTCCATCATAAAAAAAAAGGATGAGACTTGTCTTTCCCCAGCTATACATGCGTATCCATCGGAAAATGCTCAACTGGTAAGGCAGGCTCCGTAAGGTCAGATTTCGACCCCGAAAAGGGTACTGTCAATGAACGAAAAAATTTTACACCGGTCAACCAGGGCGTAGGCTATATGTTCGATCTGCTATGGAAAGCAGAAGAAATTAACCTTAAGTATTAAGTTAAGGTTTAAGAAAAAGGAATTCATTAGATTGAAAGTACAGTCGAGTGATATAGAGTTAAGTTGAACGTTTGGTGAAGTGTTTACCAGACCCAGAGAAGGCAATATCTTACCTGTCCGGTTGTCCCCTGCCATAGTTTTTCAACGTTGTAGTTTCCTTGAAGTTTCTCTCCACATTCTGTCCTAATTCCAACATGTTTTTTCCTTTTCAATAAATTCTTAAATATTTTGCTTCGTTAAATTTATTTATCTTTGTTTCTACCGTATCTAAAAATTTTCTCAGAACTCTCCTATTGACTATTCTCCAAGGTATTGACTTTGTCCGAGTTGCAGACCAATTCTAATATGAAAAAATAATAAGGTGTAGATTCTGATTCTAATTAATACGCCTTCCTATTAAGTTCACCCCGTGACTTGCTTCTTTCAAGTTTTAAAGCTATAAAATCTCTACCACTTGATTTCTCAAAACAGCCACCATGAGGATATGCTTTACACTAAAAGCTTTGTCTAAGTCAGATTCAAAACCATGGCTCCTTTTCCTTTTACTCATGGCCTTCTCTTTCATTTTCCTCCCTTGTGGCGCCAAACCCATCACTGGAAATTATAAACAAGTCATAAACATTGGTGCAATCATAGATGTCGATTCAAGAATCGGAAGAGAAGAGAAAACTGCCATGGAAATTGCAGTTCTAGATTACAACAGTGGCTCAAAACATTATAACCTATCTCTTCACTTCCTTGACCACCAAAATCACCCTCTTCAAGCTGCTCAAGCTGGTAATTATTTAAATTTCGTAATTTTTTCTTTTTCTTCTGTTAGTACGCCTGTTGATATTTCTTTTCTTTTTTCACAGCTGAAAATTTGATTAAAGAGAAGGAAGTGAAAGCAATTGTGGGCATGGAGAGATGGGAAGAGGCAGCTGTAGTATCTGATATTGGAAGCCAAGCTCAGATTCCAATTCTTTCATTTGCTGCACCTGCTATAACACCACCATTAATAATGAAGCGTTGGCCTTTCTTAGTAAGAATGGCGGATAATAATTCTGAACAAATGAAATGTATTGCAGAACTTACTCGAGCTTATAATTGGAGAAGGGTTATAGCAGTTTATGAAGATAATACCTATAGTAATGGTGATTCGGGGGAGCTGTCACTCTTATCTCAAGCTCTACAGGAGGTTGGTTCGGAGGTCGAACACCAATTAGTCCTTCCACCGTTTGCAGTGCTATCTGATCCTAAAGAATTTGTTAAAGAAGAACTAAAAAAGTTGGAAGAAGTAAAATCGCGGGTGTTTATCGTTCTTTATTCATCATTGCCTATGATTATTAACTTATTTAGAGAAGCTAAGGAGATTGGATTAGTGGGGGAAGATACAGTTTGGATCCTCACAGATTCTGTCACTAATTTCTTGGATTCAGTTGACACTTCTGTTATTCATTCTATGGAAGGTGCTTTAGGAATCAAAATTCACTATTCTGATAATAGCAGTGCCTATAAAATTTTCTATAATAAGTTTCGAAGAAATTTCATGTTTAAGAATCCTGAAGAAGATAGTTTTCAGCCTGGATTTTACGCTCTGAAAGCATATGACAGCATTGCAACAATCATGAAGGCCTTGGAGAGAATGTCCAGCAACGAGACAAGAAGTCCAAAAACGTTCTTGAATAACATATTATTAAGCAATTTTAATGGTTTAAGCGGGCAGATATGCTTTGAAGCAGGCGAGTTAAAGCGCAGTTCTAAAATAAGGATTGTAAATGTAGTTGGAAAGAGATACAAGGATATAGACTTTTGGTCACCGGCATTTGGATTCTCAAGAAATGAAAATCCAAATGATAGAGGTGCTGCTATGGGAATAGAAGGTGTAGTGAATTGGCCTGGGGATTTAAAGCGGACTCCGAAAGGATGGGCAATGCCTTCAACTGAAAAGCCATTGATAATTGGAGTTCCAGGAAGAACATCATTTGACAGATTTGTTAAAGTAATGAATGCAAGTGAGGACAGATATGAATATGATGGTTTTTGCATTCGTCTTTTCTACAAGGTGGTAGATGTTTTGGGTTATAATCTATCTTTCAGATTTGAACCCTATAATGGCACCTACGACGATCTAGTGAATCATGTATATAACAAGGTAATTAAATCTATGCTGTAACCCCATCTAGTTCTATTATTAATTGTAATTCCCTGAAATTATGGAAATAATGATATTCATTGTGAAATTTCTGATAGAAATTATTGCTTTTTTGTCTTGTGCATGAAAATAAATTCAAGACTTATGATGCTATTGTTGGCGACGTAACGATACTAGCTAACAGATCAGATAAGGTTGAATTCACACAGCCATATGCAGAATCAGGCTTGTCAATGATAGTTCCTGTCAAATCTGAAGAGTCATCTTGGATTTTTATGAAGCCTTTCACATGGCAAATGTGGGTGGTGACTGGTGCAATCTTGATCTATACAATGTTCATAGTTTGGTTCTTGGAGCACCAAAAAAATCCTGAATTTAGAGGTCCATTGAAGAATCAGATAGGCACTGCTGTTTGGTTCACTTTCTCTTCTCTTTTCTTTGCTCACAGTAAGCACCAAAATGCTCTCTTTGCTTTTCATTTTTGATTAATTTTGCTTTAACTGAAGGTTAAAATTCGCAGTGTCACACTCCAGGAAACATTCCAGTACCAGTATGCCCAATGTTTAATGGTTTTCATTTCCTTTCGCAGGAGAGAAAATTTATAGTAACCTTACTCGGGTTGTTATTGCAGTATGGCTCTTTGTTGTGTTGATTTTGAATTCAAGCTACACTGCCAGTTTCACGTCAATGCTTACCATTCAGCGGCTGCGGCCAAATGTTACTGATATTGATTTGCTAATAAGAAACCATTTACCAATCGGCTGTGATGGAGATTCTTTTGTAAGGAACTACTTGGAAAATGTTTTGAAATTCAGACCAGAGAACATCAAGACCATTAGCAGTGAATACAATTACACCGGCGAATTTCAGAGTAGAAATATATATGCTGCTTTTCTTGAACTCCCATATCAGAAAGTTTTCCTCAGTGATTATTGCAAGCAGTATCTTGCAACTAAACCTAAATATAGATTTGGAGGATTAGGCTTTGTAAGTGTTTTATACAAACGTCAACGATCTTTATTCAAGAATTTCAATATAGTGTCAAACAAATCCTAAATAGAGAACTGTTTTTTATTCTTCAGGTGTTCCAGAAAGGCTCTCCAATAACAGCTGATGTTTCGAAAGCTATATTACAGCTATCAGAGAACGGACAGTTAAGAGACTTGGAAAGTGAATGGATTTCTCGCCCGTCGGAGTGTTCAAGCGATGCTGCTGACAGTGAAACTGAAAGCTTGAGCGTGGAAAACTTTTGGGGTCTCTATGTTATATCTGGTGCAACTTCTACATTTTGTTTTCTGCTATGTCTAATTCATTTGCTGAACAAGTATTGCCATTATCAAAAGGAAGAGCAAGGCAATGCGAGTCCAAGCGATGGGAGTGTTTGGAACAAGACAGTTAGTTTAGCAAGATATATCTATCATGGAGAGATTGATATACCAGGAAAATCTCCAACTTTTTCTCCATCACCTGATGTCCATGAATGGATATCTCCAAGGAGGGAATCTGACATTAATTCTGCCATTCCCGACAGTCCTTCGGCCTTCTCTCCGGCTGAAACTGGACTGGTGAATATTCCAGATTCTTCAATAGAATATTCAGGTGCTAATGATAACCAGCCGAGATTAGTATTGCAACTCTAACGTCTATTTATTTAGAGTCTCATTTGTAACCCTAGATGTAAAGTTCAGTCAAATTTAACTTAATTGTAGTTGAAAAGTATAGCTTTACGTCAATTGGTCCAATTACTATTGCAAACAAAATATAAATGGTAATGAAGCAAAGGATTTATTGCAACGACCTTGAAATTTTCTGTTACGAGACCTGGACTCGGTTTTAGCATCATTTTCTAGCTAGGCTTGATATAGAGGAATGTCCATTCAATCTTGAAATCTGCCACAATGAAGTTTGTTTAGTTTGAATTTTTGATTATTCAAGTTCAACGCCGTGTTCACTAGGTCATGAAACCGGATTGCGGTTATCAATGAATTCTAGCGGTTTTTGATTACCCAAATTTATTAAAGAGCAGAAGACATGTCCAGTCGTTGTAGTATAGCGGTAAGTATACCCGCCTCTCAAGCGGGTGACCCGAGTTCGATGGATGGCAACGGCGTAAGATGCAACAATAGTCACTTGGGATGACACAGACCAAATAAAAAATTCCACAAAGTTGTTAAAAATATTTGCCCTCAGTTGGCCAAATTCTCACTCTACATACATATATGATCGGAGCTAGTCCACTTTTGTCTCTCAATCTAGGTTGACAATAACTAAAAGAAAATTACACAATGCACCTGCTAACAAACATGCAAAGTTGATTCCTCGGCTCAGCAATAGGGTTTTGACTAGCTCATAAATTGGTTCACATAAGGAACACAAAGCCCTAATCCCTAGCCAATCTACACAAACATGCTCCACAAGATTAAGTTTGTTGGTGTTAGTCCAGAATAAATCTGCAAATGTGTCAGTTCCCTCTTAAGTATGAAATTCTGCTCCAACGGAAAAGAATTTGGATTTTTTTTTTTTTTAATACATGAACGACTCCCACTAGCATTCCTCTGGTGTAGAACAGCTCTTCCAGAATTTGTTTTTTTCCTTCTTCATGCAGATGCAGCCAATTTACCGGAAACCTCTTCCTCTTCCGCGTACACCCCAACCCCTACCTCTGCCTCTGCCCCTTCCCCTGCCTCTTGTACCGCCCCTGCCTCCATGTGATATACCTTCCAATGCCCTATTAACTAGTTGATTTTGAAAGCCACCAGCTCCGCGGCCTTTTTTGGCAATGTTACCAGACCCATTAGCTGCAGTAGGAGGCCTTTTCCCTCTGTGTAGAAAAGCAAACAGAAAATTAGAATGAATCCATTAATATAATGTCTTTTCATATAAAGCATTTTAATGCTAATCAAATGAATGCAGGTCAATTTGGTATAAAGTTGGCCAGTTGATAATTGAACTAGGCAAAAATGAATATAAAAACCAAAATAAAATAAAACTTAAAAAAGAGGGGGCATAAATCATAAGAGCCGAGAGGAATCTTATGTACCCAGTTGCTACAGCAGTGGAAGGCACAGAAGGTTTTGCTGCTTCTTTCCAAGAGAGATTGACACTCTTATCTCCAATAAATGGTGGTGACTTGGAATGCAATGGCTGAAAATTAATAAAATGATAAACCATCAATTATGGTTGTTCAAGAATACATATCCATGCATTTTTGAATACTTCAGTTATTTATTTATCACCTTGGTCATTGCCAAAATGTTGTTACAAGTTCGCAATCCAGTAGTAGCATTCTGTTTTTGAGTTTTCTGCGCATTAAATGAGAAATATCATTGTCAGATACACATTATAAAAAAGCTCTACCACAATGATGATTCGATCTCCAAGAATTAACTCACTATGCTATCCTTTTCTTCATCTGTCTTTGCTGCTGCCATAGCTTTGTTGTGCTCAGCCATACCTTGAGTTAATTTCTTCATGGTGGCCCTAGTTAGCTCTTCCACGTTGCTTAACCTACATTGTCCAAACAATAAATTCAAAATCCATATCCCCAAGGCAGATAAGAATGATGTAACCAATAGGTTTCTAATGGACTTGCTGGTTTCATTTGAGATTAACATAGAACAGTCAAGAGTTGAACCACATATCGCCTAACATACTGATAAAGCTGTGCTTTGCAGTCTTCAATTCAGCCCTATGTTTTATTCTCACATCATGAATATAACCTCAAAAAATACTATAACCACTTTGCCTCTATTCTAGGAATCAATGAGAAGGGTCCAATCCTGAACATGGCCATTAAGAATGTTCTTCAATATCATGTGCAGAATTCTTTCCCTCTAGCAAAGCCAAGTGTAACTGAAGCTTATATATCCACAGCACTGTAGTCCAAGGCATTAAAGTATCACTTCATTCACCAATCCTATAAAGTTGCTGTTACACTTTAATGAGCGTCTACAGAGAGAATTGTTGTTCCATGTGGTAGACCATCCTACAGTGATATTTTGCTCTGTTAATGATTCCAAAGTAATTCTGCAACTCTTTTGATCAAAGTATACAAGATATCACTATTACTAAGCTCCTTAAACCTATGAATTTGACTAATCAGTTGACTGAACTATCATGTCACTAGCTAATTAAAGATGATCCTAGGAACTTGATTTAGATTATCTCAAGCTACAAAACTCCTGAATTCATAAATGAAACAAAATAATGTGACAATATTAAGTGACTGATTAAATCAAAACTTAAAAGGTAAATCATGTGATTTCTCTTTTGTCTTTTGATTTAACACATGCACAAGTACAAGAGTGTTCTCACTCTTTCTTGAGGGCCCCCATGAATCTTTACAATTCAATACCATTAAGTATGAAACAAGTAACACCTTAATATGATTCAAGAAGAAAATAATGAATTTTTTAATACAAAATGATAAAGAAAAATACTTAAAGATAAAAAAGTATCACCTTTCTGTGAATTCCTTGTACAACTCAGAGAAGTCCTCCCCGAGCCTATCTGATGGCTGACCAGTCACTATTTTGTAACCACATAGACTATTTGTAGCATTGGGAGCCTTTATGATAACACATCAAATAAATATCAGAGTAGAATATCCTAATAATATAAAGACAAAATTCAAATGAGAAATGCTCATGAGAATTACTACCTTATGAGCTAAATGATGAAATGTGTACAACAAACACTCAACATAAGTAAAGTTTGTCTCTTCTCCAGTCTTTCTTCTAGGCATGTAATTCTGCAGCAAAGAGAAAGGCTTATTTCAATGAGACAGAATGTACGCTGATAACCCAGATGATGCAAATAGGTGTTTATGTTATTTGAGAAAGACTTCAAGACTGCCACACAATTAAAGGAAAAAAAAATTGTTTCTGGAAATAGAAATGAAATCCAAGAGAAAAGACTAACATAAATAGGAAGAAATATCATATGTTATCATTCTACGTAAAATGGAAAGAATCAACACGAAACTGTAGCCTAAACCTTTAACAACTGAACGACAGAAGGCAGAATCTGGCGTGAATCCTGTGGCAGAGTGTATGGTGAAATTTCTGCAAGAGCTTTGAGTAAATCAAGCTTTCGTTCCTCAGGAAGCTGGAAGGGAAAAGCATTATTAGAATAGACACATTATGTGCCATACAAGCATGCCATGTAAGAACAAGTAGTTACACAAAAGCTTACAGAAAATCAAATTGAAAGTGAAAAGCACAAGCAAGCACAAAGAATGACATACACAAGAATGTGATTGATCAAGAGACTGAAGCTAATGTAACACATTACCTCATCAAAAACAGGTATAATGTGTTTGTTCAAATAGTTTAGAAACTTGCTACCTGATGCACCCCGCTGTGTTTAAGGATAAAGGGGGTCAGGGCATAAATTTGGAGAAAGATTACAACATAAGCAAATATTTTTTGCTTAAATAAAATTCCTACCAGAAAAAAAGGAAGCGCCATATAGAGGCATGATATCAACCTGTCGATGTGGTCTGTATCTGAGACCTGCATTTTAATAGCCATCATATCAAGGAAATTCAGCAAGCAAAATTTACATGGATGATTGAGACTAGAATGTAATATGAAGAGAGAGACAACACATGTTGTTCTAGACTATAAATCACCAATCCTACTGTTTCACAACATAATTGCTACAAAGTCATGAAAATATTACAATCCTTGTCAAAATAAAACACATAAGAAGAAGATGACCTCTTCAGGTTGGTTCTATGCGAAATGACATGAAGTATATCCTTACTAATTGAACTTCCCATGTATCAAAATCAAAGCATTAAGTCTATTATCATATGTGTTCGCCTGAAATGGCATAAACCCCTGAGCCAGGTGCTTATAGCATTTGTAGACATTTTAGATGATTTATATATAGACAAATTACTTCTCTGAGCTTAAAAGAAAAAGATACATTGGATTATGCATCAGGATCTTCCTAAAAGTTCTGTTAGAACACATATAACAACAAGAACAACATGCCATTCAGAAATAGGCCAGCAAAAAGCTTCTCTTTAGGAAAAGTTTACCAAACTCATTAACAATGCCAATTAAACGAGCATGAGAAGAATGCACCTTTCTCCATGCTAGCTAAAAGTGACAATATGCATGATTGGGAATCCACTTATACAGATATTCAACACCCATATTTACACATCTAGAAAACATAACACCTTATTCTGATGCGAAGAGAAAATAGAACCAAATATGATTCTCTTTGAAGAACACAAAATAGTGTAAGATGTATCTGAGACTCTAGTACAGGTCATCAGAACAAAGCCAATTCAAAACAAAAATAAAATTTTAATCTTTTCATAAACACATTGCATGATTCAATAGACGGGGACACAAAAAAAAAAAGTCCTACATTTTAACTTAATGCAGCAAAACAAGCACTCACATTGAATTGTGCATCTAAATCAGCCTGGCCTTCAATGATTTCAATGAGTTCTCTCATGCGTTCAGGTGGAGCTTTATCTCCAAATATGCTCAAACTTTTTAAGAAGTCCATAAACATTCTGAATTCTGCCCCAGTTACATCTGCCAAGCCCTACAAAGGACCAATTCAAATTATTAATGGATCTCCTGGTGATAAATTAACAGCATTTAATTCTATGTACATCAAGGGGAGAGAGAAGTATAATGGTGAATGGATGAATCTACCTTTTTTATTAAATCAGTTATATGTCGTTCCATTTCCTCTTGAGGCTTCAAGAGTTCAGCCTTAAGAGGGAAAACCTGAAAATGCAGTCATGGATCATCAATTATCATCAAAAGGGGAACCAAAATCAAGAAAGAACATTATCTAAGGTAGTCTTCTAACTTTATCTCTTATAAAGCCTAAAACTCTCTCACGAACATCTTCTGGACCTTGTTCATCAGTGCTCCCAATGTGCTTAAATAAGGCAGTTAAAGAGGCTGCATAACAGGAAGACCAAATAACCTTGAGATCAAACCACAAAAACAGGGCCAAAGAACAGGTGAAATGAATGATATGCACATAAATATGGAGAAATTTTAACATTGCATGAAATTCCAATTTTAAACATAAATGAGATAGTTCATTGAGGCACATTCCTTGCAAACCCATGTTGTGTAATCAGGGGCAGAGGGAGGGGGGGTCTGGGGGAGCCTGGGCCCCCCCAAACTCAAAAGAATTTTAAAAATTTTACCTATAAATGGTGCAAAAATTTTGTTTTTCTTGATTTGGCCCCCCTTAATTTTAAAACTTTTCTTTTGGCCCCCTCTAGGTTTGTAGTCTAGCTCCGCGCCTTTGTGTAATTATTCATACAGGAGTTCCATAGGTTTCTCCATATTGTTGCATATCTTTATAGCATTACCATCCACGCATATCTTTATGGAATTCCCATCCACCAGCAGAGAGCAAACGTAATGTACAAAGCAAGAATAATGAATAAGCATACAATTAAAAGTATAAACAAATTAGGCTGGAGAATTAAAATCTTCTTACAAAGAAAGCACCTGTCTTTTCCTTGATGCACCTTTATCAAATATAATTATTGCGTACCAACACAAAAACCAACAAAATCTGGTATTGGTATATGTTAATTCCTAAGTTTCAATTTTCAAATATAAAGAGAGTACTTTATGATGGACACAACAAACACGCACAAGAGTTAGACCTCAAGAGTTCAAAGAAATGGTAAATATAATATTATGTCAACACCAAATAACATGATTAAAAGAATTTCACCAACTCAAAGATTGGGAAAATCACCTTTGACATCCTGCCTCACTATGGACATAAGGGCTTTATGTGCAGCATCTCTCTCCACAGTGTCCTCTAATAATAAAGAAAATTCAAACATCAATAACCTTAACAAACAAGTAAAAGTTCTAAACAAAAGAGCGGGGGGAGGGAAGAAATCTGATTTACCAGCTCCAAGGAGCTGCACTAGAATGTCCACCATTTTTGAGAGTTGCTCCGGAGTATCTTTGCAGAATAGTGGCAGCCCCCTAATTGCTTGCACCCGGACCTGCATGAACAATGTTGAAGCCTCATACAAAAAGGAAAAAGATAACACAAAGATAAAATTAAATAATAATAATACTAATGATAAACAACGATGTACTAACAATATCCAGCCACTTATTTCCCTCATAATAAATACACAAGAAATACACACTATCTATTATCAGAATTAACCTTAAACCAATTCGATGTTAATTGATAGCAATAAACGTAGCCACAGAAAAAAAATATCAATTAGGACAACGACTAAGCTGAGTTGCCATATATAACCACAATGTATAAATGCGACAAAAAGTATACAAACACAAATGCGTGCACAAACATATACAGACCCCAATCTCTTCTTCCTCGATCAAATCAATATGAGTATTGACTGCCTGGCCATACAGTTCAGGAAAGAACTTGAAGAATCTCGGAATAAGCTGAGCAGCCAACTGCTTCGCCTTTAAGCTCGTCTTTGACGTATCGAGAATCCCTTGGTAATCCTTCACATTCTGCAGATTACAATCAAATAAATATTTTTACAAAAATTCAAAGTAGAAGTGAAAAAAAGACGAAGACGAACCTTAGACTTGTCCTTAGACTCATTAAGTCGCTCACTGAACTCGTAGAGCTTCTCGATGTGATTGGCTTCCTCGGCGGAGTCACTCATTTGGGAATAATGATAACTAGAAAAGTGAAATTGAAGAAATTATTTCAACAGCATTTGAATTTGAAGAAGTACATACAATTTGATTAGAGGAAACAAAATCAGAGATGGTAAACAGTGAGTGAGTGTAAATATAAGAAAATTGCAAGCTAGAGATTGGAAAGCAGAGGACGTACAAGCTTTTTTATTATTTCTTGTTCAGAGCTGGTTGATGGTGAGTGAGATGTGAAAGAGAAGAAGAGTGTAGAATGAGAAACAGTGAATGAAAGAGAGGACTTTCGTAAAGGGAACCCAACGCCGAGAGAGAAGAAACTGAGAGCGAGCTTTAAAACAAGGGTTTGATTGAACAAAGAAGAAAAGAGAGCTGTTCTCGCCGCGGTCCGGAAGTGTGGTTATCTTTATGGACTGAGACGACGCCGTTCGAGATGTTTTTTGAACTTTTCATCTACTTTCCAAGCAGGCCCACTTGGCGTTAAGATCCTAATTTTGTTAGATGCGTAACGTGTTTGGGTATAAAGTGGCCCATACACCAAGAGTAGACTTACACTGAGTATAAATTAATTTCTCTAAATTCATATTTGACATATTTAATAATGTAAATAAAAGAATTCATTTTCCAAAAAAATTTTAAAGGAATTTTTTTAAATAATAATATATATTCTATTTTATAGAACTCAATAGGTTTATTAATTTAAATCTAATATCCTAATATACTTGAGTTTTCACTCATCTCATGATTATTAATTTTTTAGAAAAATTATAAATCATTTACCGATTAAAATATTATACATTGTAATTAAATATCTAAATGATAAATCCTTTATTTTATTTAAAAGCGATCGGATAAAAGATATGATATTTGAGTATGTGGATTAAAGTGTGAGGAATTTGAAAAATGAACACAATGCAATTTAATTTAAAAACAAATAAATCCCAAGCTAATATGTGTTTTTAATATTTTACATGTATTCGTTTTTCAGAGATTCTCAAAACTTTCCTAGACACTTTACTTTTCCTGCTAGTAATAAGGATATGAAGAAATTAGCATTTAGTGACTTCTTAGGGTGTTAAAGCTTTTATTAGAACCAAAAAAAAAAAAAAAAAACTCTTTAATTTAAAACACAAATAAAATCCCAAGCTTACATATGTGTTTTAATATTTTCACATGTATTTCAGTTCTTTTTCAAGAAGATTCTTCAAAACTTTCCTAGACACTTTACTTTCTCCTGCTAGTATAAGGATATGCAAGAATTAGCACTTTAGTTAATCGGTTCCTCCCTATGTAGTGCTACTAATGTCATATGTTAATTTTAGAACCAATAAAATGGAAAACAAATCAAAAAAGTGCACTATATTATAACTAAATACTGCTATAGAACAAAGTTTTTTTTTATTTTTCTTTATTTACGTCCCAAAAAACAATATAAGAACAGAAAAACAACAAAGAAACGGCATAACTCTAATGGCTATAGCACATAAAATATTGTGGACTTACGTTTAGTCTATCTTATATACATTACATCTATCCTGCTAGTTAGCTAAGAGCGTTGTCCAAAATGCATGACCATGAACAAGTCCAGAAAAAAAAAAAAAAAAAGCATATATTATAACTAAATACTGTATAGAAAAGTTTTTTTTTATTTTTTCTTTATTTAGTCCCAAAAACAATATAAGAACAGAAAAACACAAAAGGCATAATCTAATGGTAAGCACATAAAATATTTGCTTACGTTGCTTATATACATTCACTCAGTTAGCAGGTCAAAAACCAAGTCGCAATTTCAAGAACGCTACTTCTCTCCCAATTTGTAGATGACCCCTAATTCCTAAACACTATTCAAACATTTCAATTAAAAATAAATAATAAGTGATGTTAGTTATTTAAAAAAATTAATATCAATATGTAAAGGCAAATAAGAATATTTCAAACTGGATATCAAATTAGACATATTTTGATTATAAAATCCCCAAAATAATCTCATACTGGTTTTTCCAACATATGAAAAAGTCACTTGGGAACAAAACAAAACCAATACCAGAAACAGTGCCAAGCAAATACTGTCCATTATAGATCATGAACTCCAGTTTATTCAACTTTTCATAGTCAAGAATGATACACAATAACAGCAGAAAGCCAAAAACCTCATCTGTATTCAATTCTTAATCTCAGATTGCAGATGCCCCTCCTTGAAATTAAAAATCCGAACTCTGTTGTAAAGCTAATAGCATTAACAAAAGGAATTAGCACAATTGTCGATGTAAATTTAGAATTCGCAACTTCATAAACTATGTTGCATGAATGCTTTTCTCTGATATTCTAACTTTGGTTTGTTCTTTATTCCACTTGCATACGTGTTTAAGCACGATTATTGGATGCACGAACCAAGAAAAATCTTCCCACAGGGAAAGAATTTCAAAAGCAACTACTTCCATCCCAGAAGAAAAAGGTGCATCAGTTAAGAAAGTCACAGAATGGGCATATCCAGTGCTCGCAAGACGTCCTTGAATTCGAAATCACGTGTTTCTTTGTTGAACCGTTCAACGAGCTTGTACCTTGCATCATTCAAATAAAAAGATTGAGCAGTTTCTAAAAGCCACTTTGCCTCTTCATCAGTAAGCTTGCTGGTGAAAACAACATCTCCTCGGATCAGGACTAAGTCTTTGCTTTCTGCAAATTCAGTATAGAAAGAGGCAGTAAAGTAGGGTGCTGCCTGAGTTCCTCTTGCCTTGTAATCTTCAAGACCAGTGAAAAGTATGTGTGGCATCTGTACTGCAAGAAAGGTTTCAAGAAACATGTAGCGGACAAGCAACAGAATAAGGCACAAAAGCATATTATAACTTCGTTACTGACAACAAGCTTAGGGAATAAAAGGGTTTGAAACCAGAACGCTGAACATCCTAGTGGCAACCAGGCAGAGGTTTGATGCGACTAACTATTGTTGGAAACATAATTATAAGAAGAGTTGGTCACGCAATATATTATGAACAAATTGCCTAGCACTTGGCTCACAAGATCATACATAACTACTCACACATGATAATAAAAAATTTCTTACCATTCACAGCGACCACAATATGCCTGTGCAAGTGCAATCAGTTGATAAATTATCAGCATAAAAACCAGAGGTACAAAATGAGTAATGTTAACTATGCAGCAATTCTACAGCATTTCTTCATTAAATCTTGAAACAGGTTTGCGTAATTGTGTAAATATCATAGTGCTTAAACTCCTGAATACAACAGTGTTCTTGACGTTGTGGCTTAAGACTCATTAATCCTCAAGTGACATTAATCATGAAAAAAGTTTTCTTACCAGATACAAAAAATGAATCAAATTTCCCAAAAGCACAAGCCCTAACGATTAGTTCATATAGCATGCATGTTAAAAAAAAGTTATTAGGAGTTAGAAAAGTAACCTTGAGCAAACATTGTTGTATAACCACTTCCTCTCCATAGAGGAATAACAAAATATCGACTGCAAGGATACAAGAAGTAACAGTAAGAATAGGGCAAGAAGACATGTTCCCAGCACAAACATTGTGCGATTGAATTACCAATCTGCTGCTCTTTGCACCAACAAATGATAAAGTTTGGATTTCATGGTTGCACCAATATGACCTCTTCCCAAGTGATACTGACATAACAAAAGCTCACCCATAAATAAACAATTAAATGAGAGTCACCTATATTTTATCATCTTATATTTAATGAATTGCTGCAGAACAATGAAGCAAATCTGAGATACTCTTCTTTCTTCTGCTTAAGAAAGAAATAATCCGATTTGCCAATACAGATACTAGCTCAAATCAAGATCCTTTGCAAATATGCATGTATGATAACTAAGAAATAATTATCAAAAATGAAGAGACAGCTAATTAATATAAGTGGACAGGAGATAAGTTAGTAGAGAATATGACTAAAAGCTTTGGATAAGCAAAGGGAACTCAATTATCTAGTGCACTCTAGACCAGCCTGCACGTCATATTTTTATATAATCGTATCCTCAAAATTAAAACACTACACTGTACACTATCCTCATATTGAGAAAGATTTGGTCAATCGGCAGATTCATAGCATAATTTAGCAATAGCATGCATGATATACATACAGACACGCATGATGAGAAATGTATGTGCCTCCACCAGAAAATAGAACAAACTACTGCATTGGGCTAATACTCATTCCCATAGCTAGAATTTATAGCTTAAGTATGATTTAGAATTAACTGAACAGAGGGACTGTGAAACATCAATCTAAGTGAGAAACACTATGTAAACATTAGGTCTTAACCCGATAAGAAATGAAGCATCTTGACAAATCAATCCTTATTCGAAATTAATGTTAAACAACAAACCATAAACAATAACAAAAATTAATACATTACATCGTCCCAAATGGAAGCGAGATCCTCAGGAGACTTTTCCTTGGCCCGTTCCATATCTATTATGGAATCAAGTGGCTTTGGCTGCAAAGGAGTGAATCCAGTGGCAAACCTTGATGTTCTGACAAAACCAAGCGAAACCCATTTGAGAAAATGGCCTGGAACAGTGGGTTCTTGTTGACGGAAATTACGTAGAATTCGGTTCACCGAGCAAGCAGTGAAAGTACGGTGCTTTAATGCGTTAGCGGAAAGAATTGAGCATGATAAGTTTCTTAAGAGTCCTGATGATATGCGTTGCATAATGGTTAAGGATCAATGTCAGATAGCAGTGGCTATTATCAAGGACAATTAGTAGTCCGAATGCTTCCCCTTGTTCTTTCAAGGATTTTATCAAGCGGTTGGTGTGCAAGTTGCAGTGGACGATTGGGATAGAACATACAGCACCGAATTTCGAAATGGGGTTCGATTGCCAAATGCTGTGTTATTATTCTGTCTAAACTTCGAAGTTTCATAGGAAACGCACCGTTTTTGCCCAGACAGCGCCTTGAAAGTTGGATCCAAGTCTAGGGCGACAATACAATGACAAGCCCAAAAACTACTACTGCTATAAACATAAAACACTTCATAGTTTTTGGGAGAACCGAAGTACTCTCTTTCGACAAACGCACCGTCTTGCCGAGGCAGAGCATTGGAAGTTGGACCTATTCTAAGATAACAAAGAAAAGACAAGCCCAAAGTATAAATTATAGACTTATGGCCCATTATCACCTACCATGAGTGGGCTACTGCTAATACTTCATTTATCAATACTGTCATATTACTTTTTTTATTCTTTGTTTTTTTCCTATCAGCTTGGCTAATGCTGCAAATAAAAATCAGAAACAGCCACAATTTATCTAAGTATGTGCTCTCTCTTATCTTATAACAAAGAAAATGAAAATGACAATAAAAAAACAATCAGGGAGGTAAAAAATAATTTGAGTTTGTTTTACTCTTCTAGTTATTGGTGATAAAATTGATATTTTCCATGTTGGAGTTACAATTTAAATTTAAAATGTCAGAGAGAAAGAAGCTTTGAGATTTTTATTTTCCCCTTAGACCAGATTTGAAAAAAGTACAGTTTGACTTTGTTTTTTTTTTTTTTTTTAATAAATCAATATGCGTTTTCATAGTTAGATGTAATTAATATAACAAGTTATGAAAAAGCAAACAAAAGAGTAGGTTTTAAGGTTCTTGTCCTTTCCCCACTCAGTTTCAATTCTTCTTGCCTGTCTCTTAAGAATGGAGAAGTTTTTTTTTTTTTTTTTCTTTTATTATCAAAGTGTAAAGTTCAGTAAATGCTTATTGCAATTAGCTAAAACTGATTTAATTTTTTAAAAATTTGAAAACAATACGATGTTAATTTGTTTTGTCACTACTTCTTTAATCTTTTTCGTCCACTCTGGTCTCAGTCTTTTTATTTCTACTTAATTGGATCAGCTCCAGATATAATATCAATATTTTTTACAGGTCAATAGACGAAATTTCATAATATCAAAATGACATGATAAACAACAAAGAGAGAGATAGTGGTCGAAACTGTAAAATTCTTCGTGAGAAATCATTTATTGTATGGTTGTTGAGGTGGGTTGTCACTTGGAATTAACTTTTTGGCAATACTGTGTTGTGTCATAAGTTACTTTCGCCTCTCTTTTTCATAATCCCTAAACCAGCTGAGACACACTACCATTTAAAAAAAGCTGGCCGTTGGAATGAGAGTATTAATATTTGATGGCCCACGTAGCTTTTACTGCACTCTCAGGAAAAAGGCCTTTGCTCCACTGATACAGTGAAGAAGAAAGTAAAGTTTACCACTGATCTAACGTCCTAGTCTTCCAGACAAGATAATCAATGGTTCAGATTAATCTAATAAAGTCAAAAGGGATATTCATGGCCTGCCTCTTTTTCTTTTGCACACACTCTGCAATCTGCATTTAAGAAACTCTCATTTGGTAACTCAGTGGGACGCAACTCTTTCCACCATCACTGATCAGTTACTCTCAGCTTTTCATTTTAATTAATACTCAGTAGCATTTCTTAGCTATTTTCAGTTTGGGAGTACCGATTTTTTTTACCAAACTTTTCATTTGGTTTTCAATTTCAAAGGAGGAGGTTTTTTTTAGAGAAAAGAGAGCACATCTCTAAAAAGATAAACAAAACTTAAAATAGGCTACGCCGACAGAATCATGCACTTGCCAAGAGATCAAATTCGGGAGGGCTCTTCAAGAATATGAATACCTAGAGTAACTCGCTGCAACCATGGAGAGATAACCTGCATAAATCCACATCAACCACATGAATTGCTGATTATATAGTAAACAGAGTAAAACTTTCCAATTAATGGGCAAGAGACCTTCTTCATTTTTTTTTACATTTGGCCAAATCTCTACACAGAAAAAAAATTAAAATGATTGCCTATCAAGAATGAGAAAAAGGAAATATTGGCAAATGATCGATGGTGAAATGTCTCAACTCAGGATGACAAATTAATAATTTGGTCTTCAATCAAGAATGATTAAGGATTCCATGTTCCCGTGAATGGATTATTGTTGTTAATTTTGTAAGTTATATGTAATTAACTAAAATTCCCACATTTTGTATTGGCCAAGCATGCCCACCTACACATCAAATTAAAAAAAAAAAAACTTAATTAGCAATTCAATTAGACCAGCAAGGAGCATCTTTTAACAATTAACATATTTTTAAAACATAAATAAGGTATAACGTTAATGGCCTTCACGGGTATTGATTCTCTTCCTTTTCCTACATGGCAACTCTGTCCCATAAACGTAACTTCTAGTCTTGGGGTCTTCCCCTTTATAATATTTCCCATTACTATCACTTTCTTTGTCCTAAACTGCAACATAGACACTAATTATGCCTACCCATTCTTCTTCTTCTCCTCCTCTTCTAACTTCACTATCATTCTTTTTCGCTTGTTTGCTCATTTTCTTCCCATTTTCTGTAGCCAAAACCACTAACACGACTCGCCGTCCCCGCCAACTGTCCGTTAATTACTATGCAAGAACTTGCCCTCAAGTTGAACAGCTCGTTGGTTCAATCACATCTCAGCAGTTCAAAGAAACACCAGTTACAGGGCCAGCCACCATTCGTCTATTCTTCCATGACTGCTTTGTAGAAGTAACCTAATTTCTGCATTACACTTAAATTTTTTATTCCCATTCTTGCACATTTCAAGCATATTGTAAACCGCCATCTTACTTCGTTTTTAGTTAATTATTAGCAGTTATTAGCATCTGATTATTTCCTTACTGACTTTCTTGGAAAAAAATTTTTTGAAGGGCTGTGATGGATCTATATTAATATCCACAAAGCCTGGAAGCAAAGAGCTGGCGGAGAAGGACGCAGAGGATAATAGAGACTTGAGAGGCGAGGGATTTGAGGGCATTAGAAAAGCTAAGGCTTTAGTGGAGAGCAAGTGCCCTGGTGTTGTTTCTTGTGCAGATATTCTTGCAATTGCTGCCAGAGATTACGTCCACCTGGTAATTCCCTGCCTTATCTTTCAATATTTATGTGTATATATATAACGGAAAACCGGAAAAAAAAAAAGAAAAAGAAAAGAAGACTCTGCTTTCCTAATGACACTTTGGCCACATTTAATTAGGACTTAATAAATATATTTTGCTTCAATTATGTAATTTTCTTCTGTTGAGGATTATGAATTATATCTTGTGGGTACTCATAATGCTTCCAAAGTAGAAAGGTGGAAAGGAAGGTTGATAGGTTCTGTCATTTTTGACAAAAATATATAACGTACCACACTATACTACAACGACAAACATAGGATAAAAACCATAATTTCATGTGCACTATTTGTCCTTATATAATCACAGATGTGATTTTAACAGCTAGACCTGTGTGCTACTGATTTGTCCCTAGCAAACCTCAACTTACAGTATGAAAGTCAAGGTTCAAGATTAATCAATTTGGCCTTCAAAGTATAAAATATATGGTCAAGATAAGCAAAGCTAGACGGGTATCGGAATTCTAAATTCCTCACCTACTGTCACCCATGATGGATGCCAGTACAACTAGGACAAGAAGAATTGCAGTACTTCAATTTGACTTTGGATTGTTTTTCTGACTTTTCTTGTTTTTCATATATATACATAGCTGAACCCAAACCCAACCCGAATACATTTTCATAAAAATAAACTTTGTTGCCCCTTTTACATTCAGAGTGACCTGTGGGTAATTTTATTTGTTACATTTACATGGTACAGGCAGGAGGGCCTTATTACCAAGTGAAGAAAGGCAGATGGGATGGGAAAATATCAATGGCATCAAGGGTGCCCTTCAATCTCCCTCGTGCAAATTCAACGGTTGATCAACTGCTTAAACTTTTTAACTCCAAAGGTTTAACAGTGGAAGATCTAGTGGTGCTTTCAGGTGCACATACAATTGGATTTGCTCATTGCAAGCAATTTGTCAACCGTCTTTACAATTATCATGGCACCAAGCAGCCTGACCCTGCCATTGACCCAAGGCTTCTCAAGGCACTAAAAATGTCGTGCCCACAATTTGGTGGAAATGAGGATATTGTAGCACCATTTGATGTTACAACTCCTTTCTTGTTTGATCATGCTTATTATGGCAATTTGCAGGCTAAATTGGGCCTGTTGGCCACTGATCAAGCCCTCTTTTTGGACCCAAGGACTAGGGCCTTGGTTCAGCAGCTTGGGAAGGATAAGCAAAATTTCTACCAAGCATTTTCACAAGCAATGGATAAAATGGGCTCAATTGGGGTGAAAAGGGGAAGAAGGCATGGAGAGAAGAGGAAAGATTGTAGTATACATGCCTCATAAGCAATTGATTTAATTTTTTTTTTTTTTTTGGATTTTTTATTTGTTAATTTTAGTTGATGCTAGCTGTTTTGGGTTTTAGTTGTTTGGGATTTGTTGCAGGAGAGGTTTTTTGTGAATGCAAAGGTGAAATTGAAAAATTACTTTTATTGACATAATTATGAAATAAATTAAATTGGAATCCTACTTTATGTTAAATTTAAATATATATTATACACAATTTGGATATTTCATTCTTTTTTTTATCCACTAATGAACTAACAAATGAAGACTCTTTCTTCAAAATTTTCGGTAAAAGAAATGGCGATAAACAAAATCTAATATCAAAATTCAGACTTAATATCTATTTTAATAACACTTTATTTAAAGAACAATAAAAACTTTTTAGTCCCTTAAATTTAATTTTAATTAACACTTTATCCTTTTTTATTTTTTATCATCAATGAAGTACCTACCAAATAGTAACACTATATTAAGTATGACTGAAGGACAAATGACAAATATCATAAGATATTTAACCCTTAAAATAATACATATTACGCGGAAGACTTTAATAGGGCTAAATCTAGGGGTTAAATAGTATGTTTACCAAACAACGGGGACGATATTAAAATTATAATCAAACTTAGGGACTAAATAGTTAGTTACCCAAATTACTAAACAATGCGGCTGCTTTCGTTTCAATGCAAATTCAAAACACATGTCGTTCAGTTATTGGAAAAGACTTTTTTAAGCTTTTTCTCACAGGTCGTCCAAATGAACTGCTACTACCTCTCCACTGTTCCGCACTTAACAACTTTACGCTCCATTAACAGCCACGCCACCAGCAGAAGCTTTGTCACTAAAAGAACAGGGCTTCAAATCAGAGCCATGAGAGCCGTCGTCCAGCGAGTTGCCTCTGCTAGCGTCGAGGTCAATTTTTGTCTTTCTCCTCTTTTATCATATGGCTGCACCGGAACATCATAGCAAAGCGGTATTTGTAGGTCGACGGCCGTGTCATATCGGAGATAGGACCGGGCCTTCTCGTCCTTGTTGGCCTTCACGAGTCCGACACCGAGTCAGATGCTGATTACATGTAAAAAAATATCAAATTTTCCTATTCTCATTCATTAGTTGTACAAAATTCATGTGTGTGCTAATACATTAGTATGAATACAAATGTGCAGATGCCGTAAAGTATTGAATATGAGATTGTTCCCAAATGAAAATACAGGCAGGGGATGGGACCAGAATGTAATTTCCTATTCCCTTGAGACGACTTCCCTTTCCTGTCGTCTCACTCTCTATATATAATTTATCCATTTGGTCAATGTGAAATGTTTTCTTATTCGAGTGGTTTCTGTATCTATGCAGGTTATGCAGAGAAATTATGGAGTTTTATTGGGTATGTTGTTACTTATATTGTTTTCTCGTAAATTTTAGAAATGGAAAAGGTGTGTTCTTATTTTGCTTAATTGATATGCTTCTAGTACAAAAGTTTGATTGCCAGGTTTAATGTTTGAATGTCATTATAATGTTGTTTGATTGTGAGCCTCGTGACAGTCAGTCAGTTTACATTGTATGGGATCTTGAAGGGAAATAAGCCAGATTTCCATGTAGCAATGCCGCCGCAGAAAGCAAAACCTTTCTATGATACACTAGTTGAAAAATTTAGGAATTCTTACAGGCCAGATGCAATAAAAGGTACCTCCATTGCTTACCTCTTATCTTGTTTTGTTTGGGCACTGTACTATAATCAGTTGCATTGATGTTATACTTTCCTATGAAAGATAGGAAATGAGGGCAAGATAGACCTTCTGTAATTTTGTTAAGTCTTATTGTAACTTGTTACTAATGAACCATGGCATCATTATGTATAATTCGAGGATAATGGTCTGAAAGGAACTTATAAAGATCTTATTATTGTTCATTTGACACTTTAGGTCTTGGTGTAATTACATAGAGAAAAATGCTTAAATTTTCCAATTTCCACAAACTCAATTTGCTGAGGGTACCATTCTGTAGTGTAGGATTTTGGAGAGAAGGTGTCAAATTTGAATCCAATGCTGACTTCTAGAGCAATGTCAATATTTCATGTTTGAGATATGTTTATAGGGTGCAATTTATGTGCAAATAAATTCATGCTTTTCTATTACCTAAATACACAATGTGCTGGTAAATGCATATTGTGTTTTATTAATGTTTTCTTGATTTCTTTTTGAAATGTTTTGTTCAGATGGTGTGTTTGGTGCAATGATGAAGGTAAGGTCATCCCACTAAGTTTATACCCTTTTCTTGTTCTGACCTCATTGTTTTCATGAGACACACTTCCTAACTTCATATTCTTCGGTTTTCTGAAAGGTTAATCTAGTTAATGATGGACCAGTGACAATGCAGCTTGACTCATCACAAACATCTAAGTGAGCACTGCCGGGCCGGCTAAAATAATTATAGCCAACTTCGTGAAATTATCTTATTTTCATGATTTAAGTTGAGCAAATACAAGTTGAAACTAATAGGGGTCATTGAACTGTTTTAGGAATACAAGCGAGGCAGGAGAAGAACCAAAAATTGGTTAGGTGGCATGTTCATTGAATCCACAGGACTACATTTTCAGAACTTTTGAGGTCCATGGCGGGATGCCATTGACAGGCAATGATTCCATTTGAAGCTCTCTATTTTGCAAGCATTTCAATTGCAACAAAGTAAGATCTTGATGCCAATTCTGTCAACTGAAAATACAGCATTGTAAACCTTTTCTAAAACCCTTATCCTATGCCTTCATTTCATTACAAAAAAATTAATTAGAGAAAGGCTTCTGTCATTTTAGGGCTACAATTCCATTCCACAGAAGCAAGATCAAGTGTTTTAATTACATTGCAATCTTGTGATTCATAATTGAAGTATAAACAAGATCTAGTCTATCTAATGCCATTTGAAAATGGTAGTTCGAACTAAGAAAAGGCTTTCTTCATTACACAGGACGGCTAGAATGTTAACGTATGACATAATCTCTTACGAAACTACCTATGTTTTCAGATATGACTCATGACCTGAAAATAAGAAACGCCGACACAGATGAAGATATAACTGCCATTTATTTTCTTTAAAGTCATGTCTTTCCGATTCCAATTTGATTATGCCAAAATTTGTGGTTCAAGGACTTAGGACTTCAGACTTCAGTACTTGATATTATCAATGGTGGGAATTTAGGCAGCAATACTTGATTTTATCTAAGCTCTAGTTGCAACTAGTTGTCTCAAGCTGAACAATGTCAATATTATCTCATCTACATTACGAAGACCTAATCTATGTATTTTGAGCGAGAAAACTCTTGAACTGCCTTGTCATGAGCTCTTGACCAAGAGACCCTTGCGGAAAACAAAGAGGATCAATTTCCGGCCTAATTAACAGATATGTAAAAATTGCAACAATGAGAAAATCCACACTGGAATCAGACGATAAATTTATTTGCTTCATGATGCATCTTGCATTTAAGAAAAATAGTAGGTTTTAACGACAATTTTCAACTTTTATGCGCAAACTACATATAACGAAATGCAGATTCAAAGACGAAAAATTAATTTATGTACCTACACTACCTAAATGCCTCAAATTGATTGCAGTACTATTTATTTGCCTAGCGGAGCATGAGGAATTAAAAAGCAGCACTGGACAAAAACGTTTCACTTTCATCAGTCAAGGCTCAAGGAAGAGAATACTATGTTCAAGAACAATCGTGAAAAGAGCAGCTACTCCAACAATTATAATATGTAGAACTTATTTACAAGCGCCTTGGATACAAAAACATACACCGCGGATCAGGCTTGAGCTCCTATGAATTTATTGAGAGGATAGTTGCTGCTGTAAATAGTGCTTCTTTTCCGAAAGGCAAAATCTCCATCCTTCTGCATCATGCCATCATAACACGTGCAATAACATTAAAAACATTTAGTACTTGATAAAGAAAGGTGAAAAAGAATAAGAGATAGGCAAATAAGTAATCCAGAAAACAACCATAAAGAATAAAATTAGCTGGTTTTACGACTATAACAATGATGCAAATATTGACTTAACGTAACAGTCATTCGAGAACGATTCTTCGGTGGTTGTTACATGTCAGTCAAAGAAGCAGCACCTTATCCAAGCCAACGAATTGGCGTGCAAGTTATTTCACATATAACCATAAGGTTTTCTCTAAAAAGGTTAGTTGCAGAACATATATGCAAATAAAAGTTGCATAAACAAGTCAAAAGAAGAAACAAAGATGAAGTCTTACTCATCTGTTCTTTTCAAACTACTGAATGCAGATATTACATTCTCGCATATTTCCACTAGGGACTTGCTACTAAATTTGTCCTCAGAATCAAAGATTCCATCAGCATCTTTTTCGGCTGAAGGTAATGACAAATGAGCCTGAAGAAGAATTAAATAATTTAATCAAATTAAGATTATATTACTAGTGGTGTGACAGTTCATCAGTTTCACCTTATATAATACCATATATTAGAGTCTAATTTTCATAACCTACTGGTTGAGGCTCAATTAGCAACACAATCTGGGTATGTGTAAAAAGCTTTCGGTTCGGTCCCTATTAAATATATCTGTAGAGGAGCGAGGAGCCTTAACTGTAACTAAACTCTAAATCGAATTAAGCGATTCCTGGTAATGAGATTCGGATACCGGTGGTTTACACCAAACAAAAAAAAGGTCTAATCTCTATATCTCCGACCAGCTAATATTACGGTTACCCAGATCACGATGCTTATATTGTTGAAGTTCAACAATTGGTCTCATCTCCATTATGGATCCATAGTTCTGTTGGTAAATGCCAATGAAGTTTCTTTATTTTCTCTACCCCGTGTTTATACTCTTTACAACATTTGCAGCGTACAGTATCTTTTCAGAAACCCTACTATGTCTTCATAACTAGATTGGATCCAAAATATATTTTCTATATTCTGTTGTTTAAGAAGGCCAATGTAAGGTGATAATAGATACTAATCGCCAGACGGCCAACTCTTTGGTCTATTAAGACCACTTAATTTAACAAATACAGGCTGAATTTTAACAAACAGCATTCGTCATGGACATTAATTCAAATTTCAAGGCAAGAAGTTCTTATGTACTAGCAATTTCCTAAACCAACCAAACACTAGCATCGGTGAGAATCAGGTAAATCTTTATTTATTAATGTGTACGGTTGAGGAAGTAAAATTCACCTGAAAAGCATGTGCCAGAAGCATTTGAACTATATCTTGACCAATCCTTTTAGTAATATTCTTTGTGGTAGTGACATTTGAAAAGCCCTTTAGAACTCCAATGAACGTCCCATCATCCTCTATCGGACTATTAGACCTCCGGGTGCGGACAGAAGGCTACAATATAAAATATATAGGCATATTTATTAAGCAAACCTCCACAGCTCTCAAGTGTGTTTGATAATACTTTTTGTTTCACAAAAAAAAACATCACTTTGTCAACTAAAAGAATTTCTATTTAATGTATTTAAGTAAAATTAACTCCTTTCTCATGATTTTTAATAAAAACAATCACCACCAAAACTCTCGGTCCAACCACCACAGCCCCATGGTAACTACCATCATCACCATCACCACCACCATGACTGTCATTTAGTGGATAACACTGCTACCCACCACCATACTTTCACTGTCACCTTAGAGCTATCAGTCATTGCCACCACCACCTCAATTATTTCCAGTCACCTATTTCTACCACCAGGCCCACTATTATAGCATTGTCATATATGTTGCCAACCACCACCACCACCAAAATCAATACCTCTACCATCTTATTACTAAAATGGCAGTTTCCACTAATTCTTTAAACAATATTATTAAATTCACATCTTCTCCTTTTTGGCTTTAAATTGTAGTACTTATTAATTCCATTCGACATTTCAGCTCAAAGTTTCCTTAATAGTTTCCTGGTTCTTAAATTTCAACACTAGAACTGCTCAGCTCTTGAATTCAGTCTTTTAACTATCAATGTCACCAAATGCCATCTTAGTAACTAACAAGTATGCCACCTACATAATTGCATAAAAGGAACTCCATGAGAACACAAATGGAGATCATATGACAAAGGTTAAACAGTTCACGTACCTTAGCAATATATTTTGAGAAGTACTGCAAAATTATTTCCAGCTTCCATTTAGGTTCATTAAATATCTGCATAACATTCCCATATTTTTCATAAGAGTGTACTGATCAACTCATCCAACAGCTACAGGAATTGTTTCTTAAACAGCATTGGAATACTTTGAATCAACTAAACCCGAGAACTAAATCTTTTAGAAATTAAAAGCATATTCTGATCATGCAATGTATTAAAAAGGACATGACTGTCAGCACAGAGAGAGAGAGAGAGAGAGAGAGAGAGACATAAAAGTTATCGAACATTAATAGACATTAGTAATGCTACGAAATGTGATTATCGGTTAGAAGGGAAGATGGTATTTGTGAAGTGCAAAGCCGAGACCAAAGATAATCACTAATTCCAAAGCCATTGCTTGAGAATTAAACTAGTGGTTTTCCATGCCTTGTGTAAGTTTTCCACTAATTGCACATTCTTGTGCCTGCCTCTGTGTGTATAGGACAGAAATGGAGAGAATTATTAAATACACAATTAAGACAAATACCTGAAGAAATTGGTAAAGCATATCTCTATCATAAGTAAGCTCGTCCAAAATTATCTCTACAAGAGGGGTTCTGATTCAAATCCAAGTCATATGTTCATCTTAAGTACTAAAAAAAATGATCAAGAAAAAATATTATATCATGAAGACAAGTAATACCTCACACCATCAGCCCTAGTGGTACAACCTTGCACATCTGCTTGCTTCCTTGATACATCAAGCTCCAGAATCTGAAAAAGTTGGTACCATCAAAGCTTATAGAGAAAATGGTTTTAGAATATTCTTAGATGAGTAATACCTTTAGCAACTTACAATTTTCAGAAGTTTCTGCAAAGCAATAGAAGTACTACTTCCCACTTCAGTTAAAGCAATTGCTACAGCAGGATTACCATTTTGAGATGGTTTTTCCACAGAACTATCAGAAGATCCGAGATCATTATTGAGTTCAGCCAAATATTGACATAGTCGACACATGATAGATAAGCAGTCCTTCATTAAAACTTTGTAGTTTATTCTTCTTGAAGTCTGTTAGATCAATGCAATACCAACTTCAAACATCTTTTACAATTTAATGCAAAAACATTGCTTCAAGGGGCTAGAACAATTCTAAATATAAGCATCCAAATGCTCATGATGTTAATGACTACACAACCACAGTTAATTAGGAGTTACAAGATCCATCAAAATTAGAGACTTAGAAGGTGGAAATATACCAGAAGCATGCTGAGTAAGGACTCTCTTAGAAGCACCCAGTTCATTGTTTCTGCGATGCAGCAATAAATTGTTTAATCTTTTTAATGCTCAAAACCAAAAGAACTTTAGAGAATCATATTCACTTACCTTTGTAAGCTTTATTACGCGATAAAAAATCTCCTTCAAGAACATCGATCAGATACTGAAATAACAACATTTTTCCCAGAGACTGAAACATAACCAGGTAAGAGCCATGGTCAAAAAATTGCTAAATAAGTTGACAACCTACCCAAGATCTTCCAAACTTGATCCGACAAGTTTAGTATTTGAACCTTCCTATTGAGACATGGAACACAAAGTGGACATTATCTAACACTATATCTAATTTGAACTTTGAAGCACAAAAAATAAGCATAAACTAACCTTTATTTTTGAAGTTTGAAAGCTTGTTTCATTGGTAACTTCAACAAGATCTTGTACTAACAAATGGAAAGCCTGAAAATGGTTCAAAGAACCAAATGGAAATTATAATGTAGAAATGGGGAAAAAATATCAATCTATTGCAGAGCCTATAACATTATTCCTAGCTAGAATCTTATTCTTAGGACAGTAAGAAATAGAAGTAACCACTGAGTTTGATTTTGAATCTATGTGCAACGAAACCCATCACATGTCATATCTTCTCTTTGGTAGCTAAAACAGAAAAAAAAAAGATGCAATATATAAAATTATCAAATAACATTAGACCTGAATTATAAACAATAAAACTTTTACTACACTCATAACCCAACAGGTTGATATCCATCCATTTTAAACAAATCACTATATAGTTACAATTCAAATGGAAAAAAAAAAAAAAAAAAATAACATTAGACCTGAATTATAAACAATAAAACTTTTCTGACACTCATTACCCCCATCACAGGTTGATATCCATCCATTTTAAAACAAATCACTAATATAGTTACAATTCAAATGGAAAAAAAAAAAAAAAAAATTCATGAATACAGAGTTAACATCAAAAATTAGCCAAAGAAATCCCAACTCACCGATGAGTCCAGAAAGGTCCCGAGCTTTCCAAGCAGTTTCTTTTTCACCAAAGTAATATCCAAATTAAAAACAACGGTGACCTACGCCTTAAGTAGAAACAACGAAATCGATACAGGATCCATTACATCAGCATATGGAATTATAGAAATTAATAAAAAAAATATGTGACCAAAATTTGCAGGTCAAAACATCTATACCTCCTCATCGCACGACAAACTCAGACGACTCTGCTGAAAAAAAAAAAAAAAAATTCATGATACAGAGTTAACATCAAAATTAGCCAAAGAAAATCCACTCACCGATGAGTCAAAAGGTCCCGAGCTTTTTCCAGCAGTTTCTTTTTCACCAGAAGTAATATCCAAATTAAAAACAAACGGTGACCACGCCTAGTAGACAACGAAATCGATACAGGATCCATTACAATCAGCATATGGAATTATAGAAATTAAAATATGACAAATGCAGGTCAAAACATCTATACCTCCTCAATCGCCACAAACTCAGACGACTCTGCTCCTTTGTTTGCTAAATAAACTCGTGGAAAACTCTGTGCATGAGCAAACCAGAAAATTAAAAAAAAAAAAAATTCCATTAGAATATTAAAAGAGTAAAAAACGAACAAAAGTTGAGAGTACGGATAGGATTGAATTAGCAAAAGAATAGAAAAGAAGCAAGTAAGCACCTTATCAAGCTCATTTAGAAGCCGATAACTCTCCATGATCAATTCCACAGATTTCCCAACCCTTAGGATTTGGAAAACTGCCTCATACATTTTGCTTCACAAGCCAAATTCCATTATCAATAAGCAATCTAATATTTATCACGAAATAACAAAATTTAGAAATTACTTGGTTGGAGGAGTAGCATTATCCTGATCAATAGAAGCAGCTCGAACAGCATCGAGAAAAGCAATTCCTACATTTCGATTAACAGAAATAAAATAAATGGAGAGATATTATTAGAAACCAATTCGAAATTTTATCTTTCCTTGGTTTAGATAAGGTTTCTCCGAAACCAAACAGAGGAATTGCAGAGACAAAAATGTGAAAATACGTACTGTCGTCGTTGGTGTCCTGATCATCTTTGGAATCGGTGGCATCGAGGATAGCTAAAATGTTCTCTTCAATGCCTCCTCTGGCCATCCTGCTTCTTCTATCAGTGCTAGAGTCTTCCATTTTGGGTTTTTTGAAACCCTAGGTTTTGATATTTTGCAGTGAGTCCACTACAAGTTCTTGATCGTTGATATGGCCGCCAAAAGCTCTGTGTTATTTCCCGCCCTAAATTTATATAAACTAGTTAAAAATAAATAAACATTGAGTATAAATTACAATTAATCGATAAATAAAATAAAAAAAAAATAACTCTTAAAAATTGTAAAAACATTCCGTTGCTGTAACCTAACCAGGGTCTCTCGAACAAGAGCCGAGCATCCTAACCCACTGGACTACAATAGGTTACAAATGTGTTCAAGAATAATATATATCTCTAATAAAATAATTCGGTTACAAAAATTAAAAGAATAATTCATTTAAAAAACCCTAGTAATAATTCAACCCTAATTTAAAATCAGCCAAAAATAATAATAAACCATTTATTTGTGAATCCACATACTGATACAAGGGTTAACTAACCAACCCATTAACCCTAATTCAAAATGCAACGTTTCATCTAAACAAAACAAAAACCTTAAAACAAAAATCGTAAAACAAAAAATAACCCACGCCCTGAAATTTCCTCCTGAAATTAAGGTGTCCTAATTTTTTTTTCAACACTGATGAAGTAAATGCATAAATTTACCCATGTATTTTATATAAACTCTTATAATATCCTCGACTTTTAATTTACATTGAAAACTTTGACTTGTAAAACCGTACCTATTAAACATCTCATATTGCAAAAAATTTCTATTATATACTTTAATTTTGTATATTTATATCGATTAAACACTTATTAAATAATTAAATAATAGAAAAATTACTGCCTATAAATTTTATCAATAACAAATCAAGTCAATATCTTACGTATAAAATCTAAAACTATTGAAAAATTATTATTTTTTATACAAAGAAATATATAATATTTGTCAAAATTCATAACTTCAAAAGTAAATACATTCTTTATAAATTTAGTGTGCCGCAAAGATAAAATCTTAAAGTCGAGGCCTAAATTTTTGTATTAGGCCAAATATTGTGCATATTGATGCGTTTACTTACAAGTCAACATTAGCATGCCAATGTGCCTTACAGGATAGCATGTGCGAGCACTTGCATGGTTGGCGGGAACCATAATTAACATGCAAAAAGGATAAATGTTGCTTTTGCTTATAATTAAATAAAAAAAAAAAACAAATCCCAGCATTTATGCGAATACATACAAATTAAAATTGCAAGGTAATACTTGCATTATAGAACTAGCTTATGGACTCAATTAATAAACATCGACCGAATTTAGATAAATTATTTAAAAAAATAAACTTTTAAAAACTTTTCATTTATAAATGTGTTATTTTGTTTTATTAATATATTTATTTTTCAAACACTAATATATAATATATCATGCACATTATTTCATTTAATTTAAGTTGGAGCACTGTTCTCCTTTTGAAATGATGTGTGAAAAAACAGTTTCTTAGAATAGGTGGAGCGGGGCGGGGAGGGGTTGCTATTTGCTGGGCCAATCAATGCGATGCATTTGCGAAGTCAAGTCTTGTTAATTGTTATACCTAAAAATTCATTTGGAGGTAGATGAGATCTATCACCAGAAAACAACAAGGCACGTTCTTTGCCTCCATGCCAAAGATCCTTTCAACACCTTAAAACCCAATAGACATTACCATAAATCATATCTATCTCTTTACTGTTTTGGAGTTGCCTTTTTTTTCTCCATTAAATTCGATATAAAGATTTAGTCTAGCGTTAGATGCATATATGATTTGATAATAAATTACGTTCGAATTTCTTTTTTCAATACTAAAAAAAAATTAATATATAAATAAGAGTTAATTATTCAAACAAGATTTTTCGCTTGAATATATCCTCTATTAATTACAACTGCACCGACTGACAAAAATTTATTGGAACAGAAAAAATGGCCGTTTCTTTATTATTATTTTTTTTTTTGGCGCGACACTGACAATAATTCTGGTATATGTTTAAATCTTCAACCAACACAACCAATGCACATCTGGCCCATTTAAGAACAACTTGTAGAGAAGTTTCAAGCATATAGCAAAAGTCATTAATAATCGAAAAGCTTCTCTTGCTAAAATAAGAGTAAAACGACGATGGCGCCTGTCAGGGTAGGATTACTGATACTTTTGGCAATGATAATGCCAATGTTCTCAACAGCAGTGGATATTCATCAGATAAGAAAGTTGGCAGCAAAAAACAATATCACATGTGTCTTAGTTTTTGGAGATTCAAGTGTTGATCCTGGAAATAACAACCGTCTCGCCACCACTATGAAAGGCAATTTCCTTCCTTATGGAAAAGATTTCTTTAATAATCGCCCTACCGGAAGGTTCACCAATGGAAGACTCGCCACAGACTTCATAGGTAACCTTAATTAATGACTTTCTTGCTCTCCAAAATATACATTAATGTGTGTATATAGATTTTTCATTTATGTTTCTTTTGTAGCTGAGGCAATCGGTTATACAAGAGCAATTCCCGCCTTTCTTGACGCTAATATAAAACCAACAGATTTGTTACATGGCGTTAGTTTTGCTTCTGCTGCTTCTGGTTATGACGACCTAACTGCAAATCTCTCAGTAAGTTAATTAACCCTAATTAATTTCCATTATTCTAATTTAATAAGCTAATTAAAATACTCAAATTAATAGTATATATTGTTTATTTTTAGAATGTGTTGCCAGTTTCAAAGCAGCTAGAGTATTTTAAACACTACAAGCTTCATCTGAGTCAGTTGGTAGGCAAGAATAAGGCAGAATATATCATAAGAAATGCTGTGTTCGTTATGAGTATGGGTTCGAATGACTTCATTCAAAATTACTACTTGGAACCAACTCGCCCCGAGCAATACACTGTTGAAGAATACCAAAATTTCTTGGTAGCTCGCTTGGTTGATGACTTCAAGGTACATTGATTTAATGTAGAAGCCATTTTCGTTAGGTGAATTTACGATAATAATAAACTTTTCTAATGAAAATTTTAATCTAACTATTGTTTGGTTGCAGGAAATGCATGAACTTGGAGCCAGAAGACTGATTGTTGTTGGAGTTCCTCCTTTGGGGTGCATGCCACTTGTCAAGACAATAATGGATAAGAAAATATGTGTGGAAAGTTATAACCAAGTTGCCTTGTCATTCAATTCTAAGATAGAACAGGAGCTACTCATCCTCAGAAAAACTTTAGGGATTAAAGATGCATATGTTGATTGCTATAATGTCCTAAAACATGCTGTGGATAACCCCAGACAATATGGTTAGTTTGCCTAATCAAGTTTAGGATAATTAATTCTAAGGAAATGCCATTGGAACTAACTTATTTTGTTAATTAATTTTGGCAGGTCTAGTTGAAACATCAAAGGGTTGTTGTGGATCAGGAACTATAGAGTATGGTGATTCATGTCGAGGCTTGAGCACATGCACTGATGCATCAGAATATGCATTTTGGGATGCTGTTCATCCAACAGAAAAAATGTATCAAATTCTTGCCACTGAAGCTTTGAAATCTCTTAACGAAGCATTACTGAGATAATTAAGTACCTATGTTCCTAATTATCCGTTAATTCATTATATATACACACATGTATTCTTGTGATATATGGAAATATCTTTTAATATTTGTATGGCAAATTTTAAATAAACATAAACATGTGTTGGGATAAATAATCCTAACAAAAGTAATTAATTAATTACCATGACTTAAATTATAGGGTCGATGCTTCACAACTCAAATTTCTTCTGGCCAGCCCTTTCCTTTACCTATAAGAATGAGCTGGGATTGGTCGGGCAGCTAAATCTATACAGGAGGAAAAAGGAATCTCGTATTTACAAACAATAGATATTTTTGCCCATATAAGAGAGTTCGGTCAAAAGGCAACCACCATTAAATTGATAGTAATTTGCTAATGTGGAGGATGTTGGTGGATCCGTTGATTTGGCAAGCAAATGAATGCGGAGTAGTTAATAAATAATAACTACATATGTACTGTGTGGATGGGAAATTTCCAGAGTTAAGGGACGTGGGGAGCCGAAAAATGAGAAAATTTATTACTTGCAGAAACTTTATATCAGACCAGAAAATACTCTATGACTTTAATCTTCAAGATAAACTCTACAGCTCAATCCTGCAATCATCAAGACGGAATCTAATACGTTTCAATTACTAGACCAAATTATCACATTACTCTCTTTAATGTTTGATAAAGTGCTAATTAAACAATTGATAATAATTAAAATAGTTAATTTTAATGAATAGATATATAATATATAAATAGCATTTATTTAATTCCATTATACAATTGACACATATACTCAATTACACAGTATATTTTCCTGTTCCTGTAATATAAAGTGAGCAAAACAATTAAAATATTTAGGGATCCCTTATTAAAAAATCAATAGTAGGACGCGAGGCTTGGAAAACCTTGTAGTACATGGTTTCAGTTGGATGTATTGAATCCCAGAATACATACTTTGAAGCATCAGGACACACAGGTGATTTTGGATTGCACAATATTCCTGCTTCTAGGTAACCCGTTCCGCAACACCCACTCCTGACCTCATCGAAGGCTTCACCCCAAAATAATAATAATAATAATAATAATAATAATAATGATGATGATGTTAATCAAAATTGACCAATTATATATATTAAATTAAAACAATAATATAATTACGAGTTATGAGTTTAATTACCAGATCTGCCACTTCCTTGAATCGCGTCCTCCAACGGTCCATATGCAGGGGAGATACCAATTTTTACGCCGAGATTTGCTAATCGATTTTGCATGAGGTTTAACTCATTTTGAAGCATTTGATTGAATTTTGATCCAATGGAGGAATAAGAATCAATACACTTTCGTTCTAAAATTGCATTATTTGCATTTTTAGAGAACATGGTGATAACAACTGGCAAACAACCCATTGGAGCTAACTCTGCGAATATTATTTTACGTGCTCCTTCATCGATCAAATCCTATAATTATCCAAAATAAAAATTTTAAATTATTAGTAGTAATTCATAAAATAATAAAATTTGAAATTAATTAATAATATTTCCGTTCAGTTAAACTTATAATTTTTTAAACACGAAAAAGAATAAAATGACATTCAAATACGAAATAATGAAAAATCCGACACAGCTCAAAAGGAGAAAACAATGGAACAGGAACATGCATTTATTATAATTAATCATTTCAAACCTACATTGCGAAGTCGCATTAATGAGTTCAGCGTCCTGGGGTCTACAATGATCTCCTCTGCTCTTCGTGATTAATCTCACTTGTGTGTCGTGGCAAAATATTAATGGATCTTTAAATCTTTCCCCTCTCTATATTTAATCAGCACAAACTAATTGTTGTGAATCACTCGATAATACTTTAAATTTTTTTATTTGCTGATAAGATAATATTATAATTCAGTTTTTATGTGTCTTTGCTAATTCCAACAAAAATAAATATTAACATTTAAGTAAAATATTTTTCATTTTTATTCAGTATTTCTGCGAACAAATTTAAATGTTTATTTATAACATGTGGTTAGACAAGTGAAAATAAAAAATATTCCTAAACAAAACTTATTAATAAAGTTAGAAATTTGAAATTTAAACTCGTTCTTATTGAGAGAATTTTTTCTAAATTTTACTCCATGGCCAAGCATAAAAACACTAATATATAAAAAAAAACTGAAGGTGAAAAAACACTTGGCCTAAAAATTGAAAAAGAATAGGTACAGAACAACGTATGTGTCTGTGTTTATATATATATATATATATATATAGGTACTCTGTTGCCACTTCACAATAATAAAAGTGAATAATCTCAAATTCGAATCCCTTGAGCTAAAAGAATTTTCATAAATTGAATGAATTAAAAAAAAAAAAACTCTCCTATTATTAATTTATTTAGATAAAAGGAGTGACAACCCTTATTATTATATAGCTCGAAGCATCATATGCCCATGCAATACGCACTATAATATGCTAGCAAGGCAATAAATACGGGTGCACGAAACCACAGCATCATTTTTTATATCACAACTCAGCCAGATAAATAATTCGCTGCTCTAGCTAGTGCAATGAATACAATAAATTAAAAATGAGAAAGTGGAGTCGAACCTGTACGAATTGCAGAGATTTATGCAAGATGAACTGCTGGTAAGCTGGAATAGTGAAGGTCTTTCGTCGAATAGGTAGAGTTAAATAATTAACAACAAAGTCATTAGTGCCACAACTAATGATAATCAGAGCTTTCTTTATATGATTTTCTGCTTTTTTCTTTCCAATTGCAGACTCCAGCCTTTTCTTGTATTCTTTAAAATACCCTACTTGCGTTTCGGTGGATATCACATTCTGTCAGAAAAATTAAACAGTGAGTGAATTCAAGAACTACCAAGCATTAATTTTTATGGGGATTAGCCATTAATAATAAAAAAATTTAAATGTCTTTTTTAGCTATTCTATTTCTATTCATCTTCCTTTTTTTGTTTTACCTATATATTTGGACTTTCAGGTCACATCACATATACATTACTATCAATGAATGGCAAAAGCCATTACCTTTTGAATATATATTACCTTTTCTTTTTACACGTAAATTCTTGTATGGATACTTACATTTTTGTTTTAAAAAATCTGGAGGAAACTAATAATTTTAACTAACAGATAAAAGAAATAGAACAAACTGAAGATTATGAATGTGGGTGAAGAGAGAAAGAAAGAGACGCTTATTTGTGGGGTGAGAGGATCAAATCCACTGCCAGCAGAAGCAAAACTGACTCCTGTCATAAGCTCTTCAATGCTGAGAGTTGGGTCCAAATATGGAGGCAAATACTCTTTTACACCAACATAAGAAGCTGTACCAAAGTTCAACCAAAAAATATATATATTACTATTTGATCATATAGATATATATATAAAACGATAATAATTGAACCAGAAACGAAAATTACCAATAAAATCAGGAGTCAGGCGTCCATTGCTAAACCTTCCTGTTGGGAGTTGATTAGGAAAATCTTTCCCATAAGGTGCGAAGTTTCCCTTGAAAATAGTTGCGATGAAATTATTGTTCCCAGGGTCCACGGTGGAGTCTCCAAAAACTAAAACAGCCGTGACCGAATTATTAGAAGCCTTTGGAAATGCTAGAGCTTCTTCAGTTGCGATAATAAAATGAAGAAGAAGAAGGAGAAGAAAGTAGCTCTGGCTTTTTCCCATTATATAGCTAAAAGCCTAAAATGAGCTATCTCTGTCCAGAGGTTTACTTCGTGCTGAATGAAGGAAATGGAAAACTCATATTTTTATCAGCTCAATCGGGATTCAGTGACGTTGAGTAATGAGTTGATGGATGGTTGGGCTGGGTTGGGTTGGTGGGTCACTTTCAACTGTTAATTTTTAATTACAGAAATGTCCTTTTGGAATTAAATTTTCACTACAATATTATATGGGCTTGGGAAATCGCTGTTACCACAACAGTGTCTTTCCCTTTCAACCCTTCAAATTTAAGAATATAGAGAGAGAGAGTCTGTGCAGTAGAATTTTCAATTTATTTTTTAAATTTTAATTACAGAAATGCCCTTTTCCTTCTCTTTTTGAAACTAAATTTTCAGTACATTAGGTTTCTAATTTTCTAATCGTTGGCTGAAAGTTTGGAAACCAAACCTACAATCCATCAGTCTCAGTTCTTAACTACCCAGCTAATTTAATTTAATTTTTTTATACTTATTACGAGATATCCAGGCTTATATTCTTTTTAACAATGCACAAATTTGACTAGTCTTCACTCATCCTCGGAGGTAAAGGGACTGATTCGAGAGAGTTTGCATTACGAATGATCAAATTCATAATCCAAGTTATGATGATCTACCCCGCATGTGTTTTTTACCACTGAACTACCACCGTTCAAATTACCCAGCTAATTGAATTTGTTTGTTGAGTTATAGTTTGAGACATTTTCCTAAGAGTTTTCCATTTAAGCAAAAAATCTTAACAAAAACTTTAATTCATTGAGTAAGTTTACAGTTGACGTGGTAAACTGAATTTATCTAAAAATTTCTCTCAATTCAGAATGTTTGACTGTCTAAATCTTACCCAAAAGTGGAAAAAAGAGAAAATAAAATTTCAATATTTTGTTGTTTATAGTAATTTTATATTTCCAGCAATTTCTAATTCTGATATTTGAAACGTATGTGAGTCTTGTTCCCTTATTTCATATTAAGATGTAAATAAATTAAGTATTTGTAAATATATTTTTTTAAAACATATAACAATACAGTAATACCCTTACTTGATAAATTAATATTGTTAGAATTACTTCCCTCAAAAAATAATTTTTTTATGAAAATATTGAATTTTGATAAGAAAACACTCTTGTATTTGATGCATTTAGTATTAAAATGATTTCTTACAGCAGCAAAAACCTTAATTGATAAGGAAAAAAAAAATATTTTTATTACCCGAATTAATCTTCCATTTTAAATATGAGTAATAATTTAAATTATTAATAAATTTTATTTGAAAAAGATCAAATATACGTGCGAATTTTTTTATATATTCACAGTCATAGAAGAGTCAATTGATTTTTCGAGATTTCACATTAATTGTGAAAATTGTGTCAATTATATAAAATTCTCCTTATTTTTTAGGATAAACATATCATTTCCAACATATTTACGTGTAACGTCTGTATGTTTATTACTCACTTAAATAATTAAAACAAGGATCAAATGTGTAAAACATAATAAAATTTTAGTTTTTTAGAATTAAAAGTGATTTATATATTATCCAACGCCAGAAGAAAACAAAGTGTCAAGCACGCCACTAAATGAACGCCAACCAACTTATCTATCATTAATGTGATTTCAAATTTGTAGAGATATTTTTCTCGAAAAAAAAATCTAGAATCATTATTATATATTAATTTATGATGTCATCACTACGCACTAACACGTGCTAAGATAACAAGAAAAGCACTGCGGACTTGGTATCCAAGCGGGAGAGCCTGGATTTAGCGTCAGCGGTCTGAAAAAAAATAATACTTTAAAAGGGGAGCAAATTAATATATATATATATATATATATACACACACTGATCTTTTTAACAGATTTGGAATTTTTTGGTTAAAGGGCAGGCCACCATAACTCCTTTTAGTCATGAAATTAATTTTATTTATTTATTTTGAAAAGTTTAAAGAGTCGAGATATGTAAGATATATTACAACAGGTAATACAAATTTTAATTTATTAAAATGATAAAAATTTTTATAATTAAAAGAACTTAAAATCAAAATCTCACTTTTATATATATGAGTAGACTAATTAAATTATATTTAATTAGTTTCGCTGAAAATATTTAATTAATATAATTGAGAAAATGAATTATATATATATATATATATATTATACGGATTCGCCACCATTCAACTATAGAGCTTAAGGAAGCATGGAGAATAGTAAAAGAGATCCGTTGGTACTTTCCAGTGGACCAATTACATCTCTAAAAGATAAGGACAAATAATTATGTTATCTTATCTCACAAAGTAGATAAGATTAGATTTTATCAAAAGATTAAAGTGGATAAGTTTAATTTCCGACAGATAAGGACAAATAATTATGTTGTCTTATCCCACAAAGTAAGATAAGATTAGATTTTATCAAAAGATTAAAGGGGATAAGTTTAATCTCCGAAAAATAAGGACAAATAATTATACTGCCTTATCCCACAAAGTAGATAATATTAGATTTTATCAAAAGATTAAAGTGGATAAGTTTAATTTCCGACAGATAAAGACAAATAATTATGCTACCTTATCCCACATACAAATTTTAATTTATTAAAATGATAAAAATTTTTTATAATTAAAAAGACTTAAAAATCCAAAATCTACTTTTATATATATGAGTAGACCTAATTAAATTATATTTAATTAGTTTGCTGAAAATATTTAATTATATAATTGATGAAAATGAAATTATATATAATAATAATATATATATTATACGGATTCGGCCCACCTTTCAAAACCTATAGAGCTTAAGGAAGCATGGAGAATAGTATAAAGAAGATCCGTTGTACTTCCAGTGGACCAAATTACATCTCTAAAAGATAAGGACAAATAATTATGTTTATCTTATCTACAAAGTAGATAAGATTAGATTTTATCAAAAGATTAAAGTTGGATAAGTTTAAATTTCCGACAGATAATGGACCAAATAATTAATGTTGTCTTATCCCACAAGTAAGATAAGATTAGATTTTATCAAAAGATTAAAGGGGATAAGTTTTAATCTCCCGTAAAAATAAGGACAAAATAATTATACTGCCTTATCAAAGTGGATAAGTTTAATTTCCGACAGATAAAGACAAATAATTATGCTACCTTATCCCACAAAGTAGATAATATTAGATTTTATCAAAAGATTAAAGTGGATAAGTTTAATTTCCGACAGATAAAGACAAATAATTATGCTACCTTATCCCACAAAGTAGATAATATTAGATTTTATCAAAAGATTAAAGTGGATAAATTTAATCTCCGAAAGATGAGGACAAATAATTATGCTGCCTTATCTCACAAAGTAGATAATATTAGATTTTATCAAAAGATTAAAGGGGATAAGTATAATCTCCGACAGATAAAGACAAATAATTATACTGTCTTTTCCCACAAAGTAGATAAGATTAGGTTTTATCAAAACATTAAAGTGGATAAGTTTAATTTCCGAAAGATAAGGACAGATAATTATACTGCATTTTCCTACAAAGTAGATAAGATTAAATTTTATCAAGAGATTAAAGTGGATAAATTTAATCTCCGAAAGATAAGGATAAATAATTATGCTGTCTTATTTCACAAAGTAGATAAGATTAGATTTTATCAAAAGATTAAAGTGGATAAGTTTAATCTCCGAAAGATAAGGACAAATAATTATACTGCCTTATCCCACAAAGTAGATAAGATTAGATTTTATCAAAAGATTAAAGTGGATAAGTTTAATCTCCGACAGATAAGGACAAATAATTATGTTGTCTTATCCCACAAAGTAGATAAGATTAGATTTTATCAAAAGATTAAAGTGGATAAGTTTAATCTCCAAAAGATAAGGACAATAATTATGCTACCTTATCCTACAAAGTATAACCCAATCTAGATGATGATACCTCCCACATCGCCCGCGGAGTACATCCTGGGCGGTTAGTGTATAAGGCTAGATTTAGTCCTTCCTCTACGAGTTAGCTTTTGGGGCGAAGTTAGGAGTCCAGTCTCTTATCATTTGGTATCAGAGCTTGGGCTCCTTAGGGTCGGTGTCTCATGAGATTCGTCAAAACACTGACTGAGGCACTCGGGTCTTATGGGGGTGGGGATGATGCGTCCCACATCGCTGCGGAGTACATCCTGAGCTAGTGTATAAGAGTGGGTTCAATCTTTCCTTTACGAGCTAGTTTTTAGGCAAAGTTAAGAGTCCGGTCCCTTATCATTTAAGTTTAATCTCCAAATAAGGACAAATAGTTATAATGTCTTATCCCACAAATTAGATAAGATTAGTGCCGGTGCAACTAACAAATCATGAGGAGCATTACACTTAATGGTGGTATTGTTGGTGGCTTCTTGCCACCAAGAAATGGGGTCAATAAAAAGACAATCCTAATTGCGCCATAAAATAAAGTGATTTGTGCTTGCTTAAGAAAAGAACCAACCTATGTTAATTGACCACCTCAATACTCACTCTAGAAGTTTCGAATTTACTCTCGTTAAATATATAAATTCACTTATAATTATGAATTTTACTAATATTACATATTTAATTTTCACTTTAACAATAATAAATTTAGAGGTTTTATATGGAATATATTAAATTAAAGTGCAGTTAGTATAACTTTTGAAACAATAATTTTTATATTTTTAACTATCTAATAAATATTTAAAAGTTCTAATATTATAAATTGAAGTATTTATTATTTAATAGTGAAAAAAAAGTTGAGGATGCTATAAAATTTTGTATGGAAAATACAAATGTAAATTTATGCACTTCACTGTTCTGAGATAATATTCCCAAAAAAAAAAAAAAAAAGAAAAAAAAAAAAAAAAAGTCTCTAAAAAAAAAAAAAAAAAAAGTCTCTAATACTCTATCAGTAATTTCTTTGTAATACTAAAAATAACATTAATGTCCTTTTGACATATTATATCAACGTGAAAAAATAGTGTCTTAAAGATTATTTGAGAAGACAATTGTTCTTGACGTTATGTAGACAGAGTTGTTAATGCCAAGAAAAAAGAGTGAAGCCTAAATTAATTTTCTGTTGCATAACGAACCATGGGCTGATTTGCAAACATCACATATGCATATATATCTTTTCTTCTTCTCATCTTACAATATTTTTTTGGTATATTAACCACGGTATTTGAAAGACCAATGGATTTCGACTATGTCCAGTTTGAATATTGGAATGGAGGGATCATATAGAGGGCGACTCTCTCAATGTGATAGTTTTTATACCCAATGCTCAAACTTAAGATCTTTCATGTTAAAAGAGGAGTTTTAATCACTTCATTTAAACTAAAATTGATCTCATCTTATTATTAATTACTATTAAGTTTGTTGTTGGAAATCAGGTGGAGGAAAATGGTTGGGGGGTGGGAATTATGACACAGGGGGTTCAACTAGCAAGTAGGGACGGAGGGGGGCTGGGAGAACGGCTAACCCGCTAAAGGTTATGCCTCCAATTTTTTTAAAATTTTTTAAAAAAATTTCTTAACGTATAAAAGAGAATAAAAGTTTAAAATTTATTAGATTTATATAAAAAAAAAAGTTTAAAATTTATTTTGGTCTCTTTTTGATGAAGAAATTTTAGCTCTTCGGAAAAATTTTATTGAAACATTAATCTCTTATTTGGAGTAAATGAATTTTGTGAAATTCATTTATAAATTTAATTTTTGTGTTTGATATAAAAAAAATGAAAAATCAAATTTTACGAATTCAATTTATGATTTGAATATAACTAAATCAAAATTTATGAAAAATTGTAAAACATTTAAAGGAATTTCATAAATTTAAACAAGTCAAAACTTTATGAGAAAACTCTACGGCTTACTACTTTTTTAAAATTACTAGTCTTTTATACCACGTGTCTTGTGCGTTGAATATGCTTGTTATCTACTCATTTTTTTTATCTATATAATATTAAAAAATAAATTTTATTTAGATTCAAATAAATATAAATGATTAATTTTTTTTATTAAATATTGCCGTACAAACTACTTGCAATGCTACTTTTATGTATTTATTTTTATTTTTATATAATTAAGTGATCTCATAATAAAGTCCAATCCAATCCCTGGACCTAATCATTTAGTTCCTAATTTATAAATGCAGATTTTTAAATCCTAAAAGGTGCTTAAAAAGAAAATTAAACCATCACTCAATCTTCAATAATAGGTGTATATATAAAAAATATTAATAAAAAAAACATATTTTCTTTCTTTTTTATCTATATCCTAAAAGAATTAAAATCCTAAAAGAAATTAAATATTTAAAAAATAAATAATATATAAATATTCAATTCTCTGTCATTATCAAATATATATTTAATAAATAAAATATATAAATATTTCAATTCTCTCATTATCATATATATTTATTAAAAAATCAATTTAGCAAAGATAAAACTTAAATTTTTAAATGCTTAATTATCTATATGTATTTATTTAAAAATTAATTTTTTAAATTCATTCGGAGACCTAATGGGCTAAAATAATATTGTGGGCTACACAACAAGTGATAACTCTCCACTCACGAAATTGGAAAAACAATTATGGTCGAGAGGATTCAAACTCGAGACCTCTCACTCCTTACATAAATAAGAAGACAATTAGACCACAAATGATTATTTTAAAAAATAATTTTTATAAATATATCATAATAAACTGTAATTTTCTAATTGGCTATAACTAAGATTATTTTAAGATATTCTAAATTTCATTAAGGATGCTATTGAAAATCACATTATCTCTTATTCCTATTTTTATACATAGTATAGATTATGCCAATGGTATTTTAAGAATAAAATTATTATGCTCATGTGGTTTACATTATGCTAAATTTTTACTAGATATTTTAGGATTTCTCAAGGGATAATATAAATCATATTACAAGATGTAAATTTGTGATGTTACCGTAATATAGAACAACATTTATGTAATTGCATTATACAAATTGAGACATATCCTCAATTTTACCTTATATCTTCCTTATAATTTGAAAAAAACAAAAACCATAATTAAAATATTTAGGGATCCCTTATTAAGAAATCAATAGTAGGACGCATGGCTTGAAAAATGTAGTAGTATGTGGTTTCAGTTGGATGTATAGAATCCCAAAATACGTACTTGGAAGCATCAGGACATACAAACGATTCTGGATTGCACAATATTCCTGCTTCTAGGTAACCCGTCCCGCAGCACCCAATGTTTACCTCATCAAATGCTTCAAAAGAAAAAAAAAAAAAAAATTACAGCTGCTCAATTATATATTAATTTAAAATAATAATATAATTATGATAATTAAATTTATAAGTTTACCAGATCTGCCGTCCCCTTGGATCACGTCCTTCAACGGTCCATACGTAGCCAAGATACTGATCTTTAAGCCGAGATTTAGTAATCGATTTTGCATGAGATTTAATTCATTTCGAAGCATTTGATTGAGGTTTATTCCAATGGAGGAATAGGAATCAATACAATTGCGTTCTAAAATTGCATTTGTTGCATTTTTAGAGAAAATGGTGATAACAGCTGGTATACAACCCATTGGAGGTAACTCTGCAATTGATATTCTTCGTGCTCCTTCATCAACCAAATCCTGTACTTATAATTGTCGAAACATAAGTTTTTTTTTTTCCTTAAAAAAAATTGAAACTTAGTAGTACTCGATAATGAGAAATTGGATGGCAACTGACGGAAAGTATCTCTATAGCTCAAAAGGAGAAAACAATGGAAAATGAACGTGCTTGCATTTATTATAGTTAACCGTGTTTCAAAACCTATATTGGGAACTCGTATTAATGAGTTGAGCTTCTCTAGAATCTACAATTATTTTCTTTGCTCTTCTAAACTCGTATTAATGTACTGTTTGAATACATATGCCCATGCATTACATGTCCTACGTACGTCAATAAGCAGATCACAATATATTAGCAAGCTGTAATAAATACAAGAGCATGTACAGGATTTTAAATCATGAAATTAGCCAAGTTACTTGTTACTCTGGCCAATGCAGTGACTTTAATAAACTAAAAATAAGAAAGTGGAGTCAAACCTGTACGAATTGCAGAGATTTATGCAAGATGAACTGCTGGTACGCTGAAATAGTGAAGGTCTTTCGTCGAATAGGTATAGTTAGATAATTAACAATAAAGTCATTAGTGCCACAACTAATGATAAACAAAGCTTTATTTATATGGTTTTCTGCTCTTTTCTTTCCAATTGCAGACTCCAGCCTTTTCTTGTACTCTTTAAAATACTCCATTTGCGTTTCGGTGGAAATCACGTTCTGTTAAAAAATTAAACAGTGAGTGAATTCAACAAAGGGATTTGAGCCATTAAATTGTCTTTTTCTTTTAGCTGTTCTGTACATCTTTTTGTTTTACCTGTGTTTTTTTACCTTCAAGTAAAATATGCGGTATTAATGAACGATAAAAGCCATTACCCTTTGAATATATATTACCTTATCATATTACACGTGAAACAGTAAATTCTAATATGGATACTTACATTTTGTTTTAAAAATTATGGAGGAAACTAGTAAATTTTAACTAACAAATGAATAAATTGAACAAACTGAAGATTGTGAATGAGGGTGAAGAGAGAAAGGAAGAGACGCTGATTTGGGGGGTGAGAGGATCAAATCCACTGCCAGCAGACGCAAAACTCACTCCTGTCATAAGCTCTTCAATAGTAAGAGTTGGGTCCAAATATGGAGGCACATACTCTTTTACACCAATATAAGAAGCTGTACCAAGTTCAACCAAAATACATATATATATTACTTTTCAATCATATATCAATATAAGAAGCTGTAACCAAGTTCAAAAACCAAAATACATATATATATTACTTTCAATCATAATATATATATTATATATATATATATATATATATATATTTAAATACACTAGTGATAGTGTTATAAACCAGACGAACGAAATTACAACAAACAAAAATCAGTAGCAGGCCGTCCATTGCTAAACCTTCCTGTTTGGGATGTGCTTAGGAAAACCTTTTCCATAAGGTGAAAGTTTCCCTTGGAAAATAGTTGCGATAAAATATTATTTCCAGGGTCTACGGTGGAATCTCCACAACACTAGAATAGCCGTGACCGAAATTGTTCGAGCCTTTATATTTATATACACTGATAGTAGTTAAACCAGAGACGAAAATTACCAACAAAATCAGTAGCCAGGCGTCCATTGCTAAACCTTCCTGTTGGGATGTGATTAGGAAAATCTTTTCCATAAGGTGGAAAGTTTCCCTTGAAAATAGTTGCGATAAAATTATTATTTCCAGGGTCTACGGTGGAATCTCCAAACACTAGAATAGCCGTGACCGAATTGTTCGAAGCCTTTGGAAATGCTAGAGCTTCTTCAATGGCGATCATAAAATGAAGAAGAAGAAGAAGAAGAAAGTAGTTGGGGCGTGTTTCCATATAGCTAAAAGCCTAATATTATCTCTCTCTGTCTATTGGCTTACTTCAGTGCTGAATGCAGGAATATGGAATGGAAACTCCCATTTTATAGTTAGGTAGGTTTCAAACTCAAACGTGACATGAGATTGAAAATTATACTTCTACCCTCCCATGCATTTTCACATTCTTTACTGGATTTTCAATTAGGCCCAATGACTATAAACACGAAATGTCCAACTTGGGCCATTTAGACAATATGTAGCTAGAGGCCCAAAAAACCAGAAGAAAGGTTTCTAAATCCAATTAATATTATTTTAATATCTCTTCCAGCTGTTCTTCAGAGGCATCTTCATCCCTCTGTTTCTTTCTTTAATCAATAAGAGAAGCAAAACAGAGTTGATTAAAAAGACATTCTTGATATGACAGACTCTACGTTTCTATTGTGAAATCCAATGCACTGAATCAAGAATTCAAGATCACCGCATTTGACATAATATATGTCTTTGCTTGCTGCCATTTCAAGTATACAAACTTACCTTTTGAATTTGAATTTGAAGTTTTATTCCCAAGCGTGTGCCTCTATTTTATTTGCTCACCTATTATTAAACTATCTCCCTTAATCAAGGGCGCAATGCTTGTTAACCAAGATAATGACCAAAAAAGATTACTGTTTTTACGGTTTAGAGTAGCTTCAAGAATTTGAAAAACATGCATGAATTGATAGACTAATTGTAGGCATACTTGCTTGTTCTTATTTGTGTATCTTACAAGTTTTCCAATTAAATCCGCGTTGCAATGCAAGAACTCTCATGGAATTAAAACTCTCCTTTCGATGGAATTACTTGCTTTTTAAAAATGTTTATTATAGTAAAATACAGAAACGATAGAACTAGCTATATTGCAGAGAACATCTCTATTCTGATTTCTAGTTCCGTCTCTGAATATATTTTTCTAAACTTAAGATAGCGCTAGAATTTATAACTTTATGTATAATTCTTTAGTCGACACCAAATATTTTAAGATATTATTTGAAGTTACAATTTCATAGTTCTTTGAATGGTTCCAAATATCATTCAATTAAAATCCATTAATAAGAAAATGGAAATATTAATACTAGAGAGGATGTAACAAAGAAATGTTCAAGTGCTGAACATGCTTGCATTTGACATTTTGAAGCATGTATTTATACATCATAAACTTACTGCATGCATGTTCTCAGATGCCCCCAAAAGTCCTTGATGGTACTATTGACTTTTGTGGGGGAAATTTCGAAGGACGATAGAGTTATTCTATTAAAATTTTTGACTTTTTTCTATTTTAAAAAAAAAGGTCTATAATAATAAATTCTATAGTAATATTTTAAATTGGTGTTTTGAAGGTGTATTTTAGAAACGCTGAGTTGGAAATTTTGTAATGTATAAGGATATATCTAATCATGCAAGGTTAATATTATCCATATGTGTCTGGATTTGCACATATATCTTAATTTGGAGAAATTTATATATATAGAAAGTGCTAAGACATGCCAAAATCCACCAATGCAACAGCACCACAAGACCAAGTAGATTCTCTAGCCAGCTTTCAATTCCTTATAAATTTCCTCTTCCTCTATCTCTTATGATGTTGAATTGCACGAAGGTCTTCTAATAAAATAAAATATATATCAAAAAGAAAAAAGAATTACTCCTTATCTCCATATATAAATTAAATTAATTAAATTTACTACCAACAAATGATTAGAGGATATGTACACAAGTCAACGAAGAAGCCTTAAAATGCACAAATCCACCTCTTTTTTAGTGTCCAAATTCTAATATCCTCCATAACTTTAGCTGGTATCACATTATAATAATTTCTGGATTAAACCACAAGCTTTCCAACTGGAATTTTTTCATTCATATGTGGAGTAGGATAAGCATTAGCTTAGCTGTTAATGATGACATATACACACCATTTAATCTAATTATTACTATTATATATTTATAGCTCCATCCTTCTTTCTCAACTTCCCTCTTAATTTATTTTTTTTCCATGTAATGCAAAGAACAGAATGAATACACAAAATGATCATCAACTTCTAGAGAATGTATGGGCGAGTTTTATCCGAGGCGAAGAAGAAGCAGACAAGAAAAGAAGTGAAACCCAAGAGATTTCAAAATCATGGCAAGAGCTACCTGGTCTTGATGGTAGAGAAGGATCAATGGATGTCCTTCAAAGACTACCAAGTCTAGGCAGGTGGTTTTCAATGGGAGCTGAGGCATGGGAAGAACTTCTTTCAGGACTAGACGACGACGTTTCAAGAAGTCACGATAATGTACAACTTTCTTGCAATTTTGATAGTTCAGATAACAAGAACTTAAAAGTCAATGCTATGAAAGTAGACAACGTGACCCAAAGACATTACAGAGGAGTAAGGAGACGACCTTGGGGTAAATATGCGGCGGAGATAAGAGATTCGACAAGAAAAGGAGCTCGTGTTTGGCTTGGAACTTTCGATACAGCTGAAGAAGCAGCTTTAGCTTACGATAAAGCTGCTTTGAGAATTAGAGGTCCTAAAGCATATCTTAATTTTCCCCTTGACACAGTAGCTAAGGCTATGGGCAATGGTTACGCTATTGATCACGGCTACAAGAGAAGCAGTGATAGTTCTTGCACTTTTCTTGAAGGTAACTATGAAAATAATAATTCAAGAACTCGAAAAAGGGTATCAAGAGACTGGGAATCAGAGAAGAGTGATGTAGAATTGATTATTGAACAGCCAGAATTTAAGAGAATGTTTAGTGTGGAAGAGAAAATTGGAAGTGACTTCGATGTTGTAGAATTTCAGGACCTGGGCAGTGATTACTTAGAGAGTTTGCTTTCCTCTTTATGATCAAATATATTTAAAGGGTTACAATTACATAGTGTTTCACAGGCATAATTTGTTTTGTTTTGTATAAATTCTTTAGCTATATATATGGAGAAATTCACTGGGGTCGGTATTGATTTATTTGTAGAAAGGTATATATTTTTGTTTGTAAAATGTTATTTCTTTACTAGTATATGAGTGGCATAGGATGAGTTACTTAATATATTATTAAGTTTAAAAGATACTTTATACTATGTGTTCAAACTCGAGAAATTGGGTTAAAGAAGAAAAAACTTCGATCATCTCATCTCACCCTTTATAATTTTTTTTTTTAAATATTGGAGAAATGAAATTTGAAATTAAATATATCAGACTATGCGTTGGTGCACTTATAAAAAGATTTTCTTAATAATTAACAAAAAAAAAAAGAGTAGATACATATTTAATTTGTTTTGCACTGTAAAAGTCTAATAAAGTTTGGGATTGGCCAACATCCATCACCATATATAAGTCACAGCAATCTCTTTCCACCGCATGCAGTTGACGATCCCACATGGATCTAAACTTTGTGCCTAATACGACGAGGTATCAACGTGCAAATCGACACGACAAATGGGACATGTCATAGCCTCCTGTTAGATGACTAGCATTTCATTATCAATAATGTCTGATTAATCCACATAAAGATGACATAGACAAATGTTGTGACAGAAAAAAACATAAATGCTTTTCTTTTCTAGTATTGAGACGAGAAATTCAACCTTAAAATAAAAATTAAACCATGAAATTCACTTTCAAAAATCATCTTACTTGCCACAAGGGTAAAACATTTTAATTAAAAATAAATATTCCTCGCTCAAACATTAATTGTAAAAAAGAAATTTCAGACCCAATAAAAGAATTAAAAAGAAAAAAAAAAGTTAGACAACAGTGAGGTAACTATGCATATATATTGGATCGACCAATTGAAAGTGGGAGCAGGTGGGATTTGTGACCATTAATAGCAGCAAGTTGATACATGCGGTTCTAATTTGGTAACCTTAAAGTCAAATTTTATTCCTACAATTAATCAATATTTTAGGTATTCGTACACGTCAACTTCTTTTCTTTGACCATTTGACAAGTATAATTGAAAAATATACAGTCATAACTTGGGAGGAGACAAGTCCTGAGCACGTGTACTTTGTTTGGTTTGCTCTTCTTTTCGATAATGAGCTGTAATCTCGCATATTAAAAAACATTTATTAGGTAATAGTTTCTGTTTCAAACTATTGAATGGGACACAGAGAATAGCACATTTTTCTTTTTCTTTTTTTTTTCAATTTTAATATATATTTTATATTCATGTCACGGTAATATTCATATAAAATATTCAATTAGTGTCGATTCTAAATTTCAAATAAATTCACCTATATTCTTTTTCATCAACAAAATTAGTAATTTTTTCAACAAAGTATTATTTACAATTATTCATAATCTTTCTAAAATTTAATTAAGACTAAATTGGGTTTATAGCCTATAAGCTGTCATCTCATTTCCATATGACTGCTATTGGCCTCTCTGGCAAACTTAATTACAACAGAAAAAAAAAAAAACATTCTTTCAAGCATTAAATTTAACTAATTTTGCAAATTTATATATATATTTTTTTGTTTAGCAATTGAACTGCATGATAACCTAACCGTCTTCCTTATGTATTTTTGCAAAAAAGATTATATCTAACTGGAACAAAAACAAAAATTAGGTAACATAAAACAAAGAACAAAAATTAACATGTGGGAAGCTCTAATATAACGTTTTCCATGTGTAGATTAAATTTAAATATTACAACAACCAATCCCTCTGACAGACTCTAAGCAACTTGTCCAAATAATCTGGTTCTGGCCAGTGGCCCCACATCCCGTGACTCCTCCGTTACAGTACTACTCTCCGATTCCGATTGGGAAACATTGCTTGAGCCGCCGCTATTTTCCGAATTCGGCTTAAACTTTTGCGGACTATTGTTTGTTGCAGCAGCTGCAGCCACCACTTCAGCTGGAAAATTAAGGAGCGCCTTGGAACCGCGCATTCTAAAAGCCGCCCTATCATAGGCCAAAGCAGCCTCCTCCGCCGTCTGGAACGTGCCTAGCCATACACGAGCACCGTGTCGAGTTGAATCGCGAATTTCCGCCGCAAATTTGCCCCACGGCCGACGCCTGACGCCTCTGTAGTGTTTCTTGGCCACGGTCTTGGTTGGTTGCAGTTGGAACCTGTTTGATGTGTTAATCTGGTTTCTTGGTAGCATATTAGAGGTATTGAAGGAAATGGATTCATTTATCATTTGGTAAACGACCATGTCTTGTGAGTCATTCTCATTAAATGGAAGCTCAGATTGAGAGGTGAAAACCATATTTGTGTTCTTGATTCTTTATGTGGAAATGGGCGGAGGATTCTTGGTCTTGGATATAATAAACATTGGAATGTGAAATGGTTATTTATTGTGGAATCTTGGAATTTTATTTTTAGGAACTTAGGAGGAAGGTGAGATTAAAGAGATTACTAGAAGTGTTTTTTATTTGGCTGGTCATTGGTGACTTGGTGGGTTCTACTAATGCTTTTTTGCCCCTAATTTCTTCTCATTTTACAAGAATGCACTTTTAACATTTAGAAAGAATCATTAGCTAATTACATTTTTGAACTTGAATTATGGTCTGTTTAACATTATTGTTTGAGTTGTTATTATAAAAAAATTAATTACATATTATAGCATACCAATCTCAATAACATTTAAAATATTTATCAAAAAAAAATAAATTAAAATATTGATTCTTTTGAAAATAATTTCAATTTCTACTCTAAACAAATTTTAAATACGGTATCCAGTTCAGAAAATTAAAATATTTTATTTTTATGTTTTCAAAATTAAAACTGTTTCTTTTCTTTTTTTTTTCTATTTATTCGAATAAATGAATTTCATAAAGTTTATTTATAAATTCAATTTTTTTATTTTATATGAAAAAAATGAAAAGCTAAATTCCACGTGTTGAATTCTACGAATATTGCATTAATATAAATCTTGCACATAATTTTACTAAATCACCTTATTTTTGTCATTGAATTAGTAATTTAATAATTTTATAACGCATGAGGCGAAGAATACATGCATTGATTGATCACAGGGGCATTTAAGCAATTCAGGAACCAAACAATGGCAAGTTTGGGTTGGATGGATAAGATGATCTGGCTAGCAATGAACACAATGGATCCCATGGAACACGAGGACAGGTAGACCTTTCTAGAAGCAATGACCTAAGCGCATACATGAGCTCATCAGAGTCGTCCATTATTTTTTGCTTTAACGTGATCGATCACAAAAGCTGTTTTTATCTTTGACTCTTCCATTGATCTCTTTAATTAGATGTTTATCAACGGACCATATTCATTTGTCAATAAATAATAACATTCACGTCAAATGATAAAAATAGAAAATTAATTAAAATTATAACTATAAATAAATCAGTATTGACTTGATTACTTTTAATTTATACCCACGTGGTTTGAATGAAGAAGTAAATGTAAATATACCTATCAATAAAAAAAGTAAGCTGCTTACTTAACTGATTGGCTCATCTCCTACAATGTATTTTGTCGGTCTTTTAGCTCAGACATAATAAAAAGACCCGTACATTTCAAGTTCACATGTTATTTTGACATTGAAAGGTAGAAAACTGATATTTTTTTTTTTTTCTAGATTTTCATGTTCATATGTATCTATTCCATTTTTTTTTTTGAAATTTATAACATTTAAGCCAACAAAATTATGAATGAATTTCATTTGAATTTAAATTTATATTCACAAATATTTAGCAAAAAAAAAAAAAATATGCTATTTCCATTTTTTTTTTTGAAATTTTATAACATTTAAGCCAACAAAATTAGAACTGTTTCATTTGAATTTAAATTTATATTCACAAATATTTAGCAAAAAAAAAAAAGTAATAAAGTACTATGTTTGACAATTTCAAAAAAAAAAAAAAAAGTAATAAGTAACATGTTTTGCCAATTTCAACTAATAAAAAGAAACATTGTCAAAAAAAAAAAAAACTAACAAAAAGAAAACCATTCTTATATATTAATTCCTATATGATAAATCACATTTTTTATAATTTTTTTTGGAAAATTATCACTTATTATACTTAAAACTTCAAATCCTTATTCTATAATAATAATAATAATTTGAAATCGTTGTCCAAATATTTGGTTGGGCCTGGCCCTAGGAAATAAAATAACATTCCAATGTAGGCCCACACATTAGTACCAAGAGCCCCAGTACATAAGGCCCTTTAAGTTAAATTTTCTTTTTTTTCTTTTAATTATACTTCACGTGGAATTACAAATAATCTGATCAATCCCACCCCTGCTGTACAATCACCACCTAAATGAAGAAATTGAAATAAGAAATAAATATAGAAATGAATACTAATAAGAAGTCATAATACAAATAATTAATAAAGATGATATATAGATTAATTATAATTATGTTAGCAACATGTAGAAATACTGGCTGTATACTCCTCTTCCTAGCTAGTCATAAATGAAAAGAGGGATTAAAAGTAGTATTTGTGCCGTATACTAATGACATGTTAAAAAAACAAGATTAACAACTACTACTACATCAACGCTGTTGTTGACTGGAGTGTTAAACTACTAAGCGACCTCAATCTCAGTGAGAGTGAGAATACAAATTTTATTTTTGGAAAATAGCAAAAAATCTTTCCGTTCAAGGAGATTACACTCCCTGGTTATACCTAAAACACAATTACTACTACTGTTGGGGAGTGAGTAGTCCTTTATCTGTCGGCTTTTCTAAAGGTGGATCTTCCATCTTCGAAGAATGAGCTTGGCTAATCAATTCACCTGCTATTAAAGAAGAATAATAATTACGTAATAACTTCATCCTCAACATTCACAAATCTACAAGCATCGATACATATACATCATAAATATCTGTAATAGAAGAAATGAAAATCAATATCTAAATCCTGCCAATTTTATTTCTTTTTTCAAATATTCATATAATAATCTTACAAAATATATTTAAAATTAAGTAGATATGCCATGTGTAGATAAATTCAAGTTCTTTAAATTCAAATAAAAAGCATGGAAATAAAAGTTTATTTGAAGAATTGAACTCCATTCATATATTCTCCCATGGTAGTGAATAAGTACCATTCCTTATAAATATGGCAGATTTTCCATGTGCAAAAATTTTTTTTGGTGCTAGCCATAAGGGCAGCATGATCAAGATTTGTGCAACACATGCAGGCCAATTTCGCAACAGCTTTTGATCTAAATTTAGTGCTATCTCTATATTTATCGCTGAGGAACTGACCCATAATGAAATGGATTTGTACTAAAAACGAATTGCAAAGGTATCGATAAGAAATAAATAAACAAAGGTCAATATTTTAATTACCTTCAATGCCATTCAACTGTTGGCTAGGGTTTGGCAGCTGTTGGACATGTTGGACATTAAGATTATTTTCACTCCGCCGCATTATATCATGCTTTTGTATGTTAAATTGACTATTATGAAGATAAGGAGCATAGCGAACGTCTCTTCCTTTAATCCTGTGTAGTTTTGTTGCAGCTTTACCAAGAACTAAATCTCCTGTCTGGTTTAATATGTTCTTTGACTGCACAAAATTAGGATTATCCAAGTTCCCTTGACCATGCTCGTACAAGAAGCCTCTCCCTTGGTTATTACAAGCTATTTGACTGCTTGTTTGTAGAAGAGAAGGTACTCGCAAGCCTATAGGACCATTAATAGGGCTTAAAGCTTCTTGTTTTGACGAAAAATTGTTGGCCTGTAGAATGGGTATATTTCTTCCTAGGGTTGTGTTGTCTTGTCCTTGCAGATAACTTGACCATAAATTACTAACAGCAGAAAAATTATTCATGGGTAAGTCCGTTCCTATATTTTCATCATAACTATAACTATAACTATAATTTGCAGGAAAATCACAATTTTGCTGTATCACTCCATTGTTAAATCCTTGTAACCCTAACCGGCCAGGATAGGACATGATTTGCTTTTGCTGCTGCTGAATTAGCTGATTTTTCAAGAACTGATTTTCCTGCTCTAGCTTTCTATATTGCCCTAAAGGCCCATTGATAGGGTCCTTCTTCCATATCGATGCTTCCCATATTACAGATTCAATGGCTTTGTGTCTGTCTTGAGCTTGAAGGCTCTTTATCATCTTGTTTAAGTTGCTTATACCAAAAACCCTTTGAGCCGCTTGAAATTCTTCTATTCTTTCTAACCCAAAACAGGGTTTTAGAAGACAGTTATCATTGCACTTTCTTCTTTGATGTTTGCAGGCTGCGCATCCATGTCTGTTGCTCGATTCTCCTGCACCGCTTTCTCCGGACATTAATTTTAAGTTTTCTTTTCCCCCCGATTCCTCGGAAAACAACTCAAAAAAGCAAATTCCTTTTTCTCTTTAATATTTTTTAACAATATTCTTCAAGACTGTAGCGATGTTAGAATTCAAGATGGCTACGATAAAATCGAGTGACCAAATTAGGGGAAATACGTCTGGAATTTAGGGTTTTACATGGTTTGCATACAGCATATACCCCTTATATCTAGATTAGGAATATAGTTTTCGAAGGGTGTAAAATCTCAATTTTATCCTCTCCCTCTAATAATGTACGATCCAATCCAATAAAGTTATTATTTTGGCACAAACGAAAATATCAGTATCAATTAACTACGATTGATATTTAGAGTCCGATTAATTTAGTTGATTCATGCTATTGCTAACTAATAGCGATGGATAGTTGTTACTGTTAAAATATAAAATAAATATTAATAGTATAATTGTTTTTATATATTATAATGAATCGGTGTATATAATTTTTAATATTTTTAAGATAAATATATTATTTTTTATTTTAAGTTGTGATATAAATAAAATATATAAATAATATATATTAATCAATTTAAAATAAATATTTAATGAAAAATTATTATTTTTAAATAACTATAAATAATATGATAAAAAAATATTAAAATGAAAATATTTTTATTATTAATAATATTTGTTAAGAGGTTAATAAAGTTTAAATATAATACAAATACGAAACATAGTTAGTAGGATTAGCAGCTGATTGAATTCCATTAATAAACTACAAAACGCTGCGGGGTAGTAGATTGAAAAGGAATATGAGAAGCAGCAGCTGTTTGTTGACTATTTCACTCATCTCTTTACGCATAATGCCATGAATTTTCAGCCCATTTTGAGATTGGTACACAGTACAATAAGCGATGAAGATAATTGCATGTTGATAGCTCCCATCTCACTTGACGAAGCAAAAGTAGTAGTTTTTCAAATGGGTACTGATAAAGCACCCGGCCCGGATGGTTTGAACCCTACTTTCTATCAGAAATTTGGCCTTTAATTGGTGGGGATTTGGTAACTGCCTGTAACCATTAGCTTCAACAAGGTATTTTCCCAGACTCTCTCAATGATACCTTAATTGTTTTGATCCCTAAGAAAGATAGACCAGAATTTGTTACTGATTTTAGACCTATTTCATTGTGTAACGTGCTCTACAAGATTGTGTCTAAAATCCTAGTGAACCGATTAAAATTTGTGTTACCAAATATTATCTCTTGCTATTAGTCTGCTTTTATACTTGGACGGCTTATCACTGATAATATTTTAATCTCCTTTGAAATGATGCATCATCTTTAAGAAGCCAAGTAAAAGTAGATGTGGAAATTGTGCACTGAAAATTGACATCAATAAAGCCTATGACAAAGTTTGATGGGCGTATATTTATGCCATGCTCGAGAAAATGGGGTTCTGTGCTATGTGGGTAAATTGGATGAAGATGTGTATGACTTCTGTAAAATATTCAGTTATTGTTAATGGGAATACTGTTGGATCTATTGCCCCCGGAAGAGGTTTACGGCAGGGAGATCCTATATCGCCCTACTTATTTTTGGTATGTGCAGAAGGTTTGTCACTACTCTTCTCAGAAGCAGAAAGGTGTGGTAAGATTCATGGTGGTAAAGCTGGTCGAGGGTGTCCCAAAATCTCCCATTTATTTTTCGCAGATGACTCACTTTTCTTCTTCAAAGGATCCAATACTAAAGCCATTAATGTTAAAGGGATCTTAGCTACATATGAGAGTGCTTCTGGTCAATCGATTAATTTTCAGAAGTCTGGCATTACGTTCAGTCTGAATACTAGCATGACTGTGAAAGCCGATATCAGCCATATTCTGGGCGTGTTTAACCCCTTTGAGGGTGGCTTACCTGGGGTTACCTTCTCTGATTGGCAGGAATAAAAGACAAGTTCTTGGTTTTCTCAAAGACAGAATGTGGAAGCATATAAATAGCTGGTCTAACAGATTTCTTTCCAAAACGGTCCAAAGCGGGGAGAGAGATACTTATTAAGTCCGTGATTCAAGCATTGCCGGCTTATTGCATGAGTGTCTTTGAATTGCCTCTATGTCTATGTGATGAGTTGGAGAAATGATGAATAGTTTTTGGTGGGGTTCGAAGGGTAGTGAGAAGAAGCTCCATTCGTTAGCTTGGAATCGAATGAGTGGGAGTAAAAACGATGGGGGCATGGGTTTTAAGGATCTTCATTGTTTCAATATGGCTATGTTAGCGAAACAGGGGTGGCGTCTTTTGACTTCGCCTAATACTTTCCTTTATAGAGTTTTCAAATCTAAATATTAGGTTGCTTGATGCACAAATGGGTCATCACCCTAGTTTTGTCTGGAGGGGTATAATGTCTTCTAACATGGTCTTGAAACATGGAGTTAGGAGGAGGGTTGGCAATGGTAGGCGTATTTCTGTTGTGAAGGACCCTTGGTTACCCATTGATGGAGCCTTTTATGTGGAGGATGATAGTCTCTTTATTATGATAAGTCTCTTTAATTGACCAATAATCTCCTGGTGAAAGATCTTTTGGGTGGAGGGGGAGAGCAAAATGGATGTGGTATTAATCTTTTTTCTTTGAGGGATATCCACACTATTCTTGATATTCCCCTTAGTGTAAGAGATTTGGAGATGAGCTGATTTGGCATTACGATAAGAAGGGTAATTTTAGTGTTAAATCTTGTTATTATCTTGCCTTGAGGGTGTTGGGGAGAGGTGATGAGAGCATAGAAGGTGAGGGGTGGGGGAGTATCCGGAAGTTGAATGTTGCACCAAAAGTTAGAGATTTCATTTGGAGAACCTTGCGTAACTTATTGCCTACTCGTCGGGGATTGAGCAGGCGGGGTGTGAATGTGGACACTACATGCCCTTATTGTAATTTGGAGGAGGATATTAATCATGCATTATTAATCATCATTTATTATTGGTGCACAAAAGGTGTTGGAGGTTTGGAGGGTGTGTAGGGTAGAGGAAAGCTTTTACTAACCTTTTTCTTTTAAATCCCTTTATTTGCAGGTCTTGAAAGCAAAACAAATAACGAAATTTAGCTTTTATCTCTTATGTTCGCATGGACGTGTGTGGGATGCTCGGAACAAATTTCTTTGGCAACAACAAACAAATGGATTGGACTCCCTTGAATGTTAGTGCTACTGCTTCTATTCTTTTTCAAGACTTCAAGAATGCCTTGGTGAAGCCGCAAATACCCCAGATACAAATTTTGCACGTAACACCTGCTATTACCGATTTGGGAGAGTGGACTTGCCAGGTGGATGCAGCTATTTTTTCTAATATACGATCGCGGGTATAGGGGCTGTTTTTGAAGACAATGAAGGCCATTTTTTGCGTGCTATTTCCAGCTTCTATGAAGGGCAACCCTCTCCACTTATGGCAGAAGGTTTGGCTCTGCGTTTCACTTTACAGTTTATAACTCGGCATATTCAAAGTGCAGGTACTATCCTCACAGATTCTCAAAGTATTTTTAATGCTCTTTTGTCTAAGACTAGAGATATGAGTGAGTTGGGTATTGTTATTTCTGATTGTATATTGTTATTAGCCTCCATTTCACTAGTCAAAGTTCATTGGATTAGAAGACACGATAATATAGGTGCTCATTGTCTAGATTGGATTAGAAGACACGATAATATAGGTGCTCATTGTCTAGCTAGAGCATCCTATTGTTTTAATCGTGTTCATGTTTGGGACTCAGTGCCTGACTATTTGGTGGATTATTTTTCCTTGAGATAATATATGATACTTTTCCTCTTTCAAAAAAAAAAAAATATGTGTGCGGTAGGTGTAGTTATTTATTTGCAGCCATCTCAATGCATATCCCCTCTCTCTGTCTCTATATTGGACTTTGCATGGGCAAAACAACAGCGGGCCCAGGCTAATTAACATGAGCTCAGCCCAGATAAGCAGAGAACCACCTGCTGATGGTGAAAATGACAACCACAAACACTCTTTTGTTGACTTTTGTTAATGATAGTGAACTTATTACTTCCCTTCAACTTCCATTATTAGTTAATAAGGCAATTCTTTCCTTTTCATTATCATTCATTCCCTCCCTTCTCCAACACTTAAACCAACTAACAACCAGCACCAAACCGACTACTTTGTTACCACCAATGTCTATCTATCTAGGTTTGGCCTTGCACTTAAAGAAAAGAAAAGCTCTGTTGCAATCATTTCATTTTTGATACATTTAGATATAGTGGGTGATGTTAGGCTTATATGGGTTGTTAAAACCCAATATCTTCCTTTCATTTATTCTCATACTTCAAAACTACTTCTTCTATTATCAATTTTAGTAGTTATATGTATAATATGTATAAGTAGAGAAAGAACAAAATTAAAATACATATATAAAGATTAGAAGGAAGTTCTAGCTAGCTTAAGAAGCTAGAAAAAAATGAGTACAGCTAGATTTATCAAGTGTGTGACTGTAGGAGATGGGGCTGTGGGAAAGACTTGCATGCTCATTTCCTACACTAGCAATACCTTTCCACCGGTAATTATATGATTTTCTTTTATGGTTATGGAGTACTTCATCAACTCTGAATTGAAAATACCATACTGTTCAGAAATTAAGGAGTTGAAATTTTCCTTTCTTGTTCTTTTCTCTCTTTCTTTCTTTCTTCTTCTTTTTTTTTTTTTTTTTTTTTTTTTTTTTTTTTTTTAAGATAACCATACTGTTTTCAGAAATTTAAGGAGTCTGAAAAATTTTCCTTCTTGTTCTTTTCTCTCTTCTCCTTCTTCTTCTTCGTCTATTCATTTTTATTTTTTTTATTATTTTATGGTTTTATTTTTTTGTTTGGATATAGGACTTAATAGTTCGCGAGATCAGAGTGTTTGAGCACAATTTCAGTGCATAATGTTGGTGGTAGAATGAGTAGTATAGCGTTAAATCTCGGATTATGGGACACAGCTGGTAAGTTCATGTCAATGTGCTTATTAACATAATTGAAGTTTCTTTCTTAAATTTTATATAGATTTAAATTACACGTGTATTAGTTGAGTAGATATTACCCTGGACCACGTCCGCTTGATTATTAAGAATTAGATATTGCATATCACATCTAGATCAATTATTCAAAAAATAGAAATGATTTAACAGATCATATAATAATATATTTTAGTTATTATTTTGGGCTGAGGTTAGTAATTTATAGACAGTATTTTTGTAGTAGTGATGTGTCTCTACTTATATACATCTGTGTACATTTACTTTTGATTGTCAGGGCACAGAGAGAAGAAATAGTGAAAATATCAGAACACTCAAGGTTTTTTTTTTTTTTTTTTTTTTTTTTTTTTTTTTTGAATAGGACTATGTTCCGACAGTGTTTGACAATTTCAGTGCTAATGTGGTGGTAGATGGTAGTATAGTTAATCTCGGATTATGGGACACAGCTGGTAAGTTCATGTCATTTGCTTATTACATAATTGAGTTTCTTCTAAATTTTCATATAGATTAATTAAGTGGTAATTAGTTGAGTAGAGCTGGGTAGAATAAGAATATATCTATACTCTGTTTTTCTTTTTTGAATTGCAGGGCAGGAAGATTATAACAGGCTCAGGCCACTGAGTTACAGAGGAGCTGATGTGTTTTTATTAGCTTTTTCTCTTGTAAGCAAGGCCAGTTATGAGAACACCTACAAAAAGGTCTTTTCTAATTTCTTGTCCAAGCATATTTTTTATTTTCTGCAACATTTTCTTTCTTGGGTTATCAGTTATCATCCTCAATTTGTTAAATCTTTTTTTTTTTAATCTTTTGGGTAACCTCTAACAGTGGATTCCTGAGCTAAAACATTATGCTCCAACTGTGCCAATTGTGCTTGTAGGAACCAAGTTAGGTAAGCAATTTACATTTTGGTTAGTCCTTTTAGAAGATAATGTAATATATTAAAGATATTAATAAATAACATTATTTCGGTTAAGCTATGAAAATATACTCATTATAGACGATTTTGTCATGATATTTGGACAAAATTAAATGTAGATTTGAGAGAAGACAAGCAATACTTGATTGATCATCCAGGAGCAACACCAATAACAACAGCTCAGGCATGTTAATCAATCAGATGCAAGATTAATCAAATTAAATTAAAATATGCTAAAATTTTATTTGAGTTAATTATGTAATTAATGAACAGGGCGAGGAACTGAAGAAAATGATCGGTGCGGTAACTTACATAGAGTGCAGTTCCAAAACTCAACAGGTATTATACATTTGAACCCGAAACATTCCGTTAAGTGATGAACAGAGAAACTTTAAGAACAAACCAGAAATGGTTTAGATTAAAAATTATTTTTCTTGTTTCGTTTTTCAGAATGTGAAGGCTGTGTTTGATTCTGCAATAAAAGTAGTTTTGCGACCACCAAAACCAAAGAAGAAGAAGCCACGCAAGGAAAGAACATGCACTTTCCTGTAGTTGACTGAAATTGCAAAAAAGTACAAGACTTTGTCAAAAATATACAGTTTTTTCCTTCTTGAAATAACATTTTCAATACGAATTTCCCTTTTGGAGCCATGGAGATACATATAACTTCAATTGTCTGTAGACTAAGTGTAATTTATTTCGTGCAACTAATATAAGATCACTTATATTTGCAAAACAGGTAATCGTATCTGCTGGTTAAATAATAAAATACCTACATGTTTATGGTAAGACGACATCTCGTATACTGTCAAGAAAAGAATGAGTTTTTCACTAGTACTTTCCTATGTTTCTGATAACCTGCCATCATCAAATTATTATCCTGGAAATGACAAGCTCTATCTTGCAACTAATAATCACAGTTAGCTGATTGGTAAACAAGGTCTTCTTCCCCCACTAGTGCTTTTACATTTAGAGGTGGGCGACTCAAAAATAATATTTAGATTTCAAACTCTCCTAATAATGCGGAATTCAGATTTCAAAATTTGATTTTATAATTAAAGTTCGATTAAAGATACTGTATATTTTTACTCAATCAATCATATTTACGAAAATAAACAAGCCTTCCAAATAAAAGGAACATTAATTTCCACTCAAAAGATTATATTTTAAACTAAATAAGAGATCGACATATTTGACTATATCAACAATCAATTTAAACTTTCAGATTATTATTGAAATAACAAAAAATAGAGCCCCAAAATGGGAGCGAACAACATTCGAAATAAAATGCATTATGCACACACATATATATATATATATATATATATAATCGCCTGCTCTCTCTTCTTCCTCTCAAAATTTTCAGTGCCAAAAATGTATATATAAAATAGAAGTAGAAACATTTGCAATATTATATATTTGGTTGCAAGTGCACCCAAATAGATGCATTTAATCTTAGCATGTTTGGGTATTTACTACATGCACGTTTGCATTTAGTGACTGTTGTTTAGCGCATTTCTAGCTTAGCCACACACAAATACCCATTTCATAAATAATTAAATACCCTACATTTATTGTAATCATGTGCTACTTCTGTTATTAAATTAAAAAAAAGGATCTGTAATTTTCATTTTTTTAGTATTTTTAAAGCTAAGTGATACATATTCTCAACCCTACAACATTCCTGATGATTACTGCTATGCTATTTGCTTAATCTAATGGTAAATTAATTAATTTAATTTAAGGCATGTTTGTACTGGTTATCAAGATTTACTGAATTGATTTTAAACTAATTTAAAATTTGATTTGATGATGAATGGTAGGTGGAATGGCATTCTTTTAAGAAATCAAACCAATCCAATCTTGAGGGCTTCATTATCTGAAAACATGACATGTGTAAGTAAAAGTTGCAACCATTCATAGGTAGAGTCTATAGATTGATGACCACAAAACCCATAAAAAATAAATCATGAAGAAGGAGGCAAATATTGGTGAAGGTTGACCATAGTAGAAATGTCAATAAGAATGAAAAATCAAATAATCATTCCCTTTATCAATCATACAGAGTGAAACGCAAAATTAAAAAGCAGCAGTAAGATTTAATGTATTTTTTCAACATTTCTCCAGACAAATTGATAGGAAGGGGAAAGCTAAAAAATGATTAGAAAAGGAAAAAAGACACAAAAATAGGAAAAAAAGGCAATTAATATTTGTTTTGTACAGAGAAGCAGAAGATCCAATTCAAGACCGGACTGGTTAGGTTAAAAAGTGAGGGTATGGAACTCTTCTTCTGGTTCAGTGAGATGACAAGTTTGCAAAAACAAGTGATCATTAAAGCCAAAGCGCCAAGAAACTACTCTTTACTACTACTACTACACCACTAGATAGTACTTAAGGGTTAACTTCAGTTTCCTTAAGACCTTTGATGGGATCTTTTCTCCACACTTTCTGCTTAGTTTCTTGGCGGTCAGGACACAAACAACTGATAACGTCTAAAGAGTACTTCTTGGTCCCATGTTACTTGTGTCAGACTTTGGGATAGGAGGGGCCATAACTTTACATATCGATATATAATTCTATTTCTCGATTGTAAAATTAAGATGCAAGATTTATATACGCCATTTCTTGCAACAAAATGTCTGGATCTTGTTTGTTAGACCTTCATTATTAAAAATGGAAATTTAAAGCTTTACACTTAAGAAAGGTTAGAAGTTTTCATTTTTTATTGGAAGGTGGAATGAGTGTAAATGGATTACACAATAAAGTAACATTTCTTAAATTCATAAAATTAGTCAAATTTTTATGATCTAACCTTAACGTTTACAGAGAAAATAAAAAATTTACACGTGATTAGCAAAAAATTGAAAATCTATGAAATGTAGTGTGAAATGTTGGTTGGAAGGAGTAGATTAGAGAATGAACAAATTAAGTTGGCTCCCAAGTCTCAACCTTGATTGTCGGATTGGGACCGACACACCAAACCATTGCTCTTCTTTGGGTTTTGCGTTGGGGGAAGAGAGTGGGAGATAAGATAATTTAAAGATTCCCTTTGGTCATCTTAGACTCAGTAGTAATTAATTTCTTTCAATCCAAATTGAAACTCCATAGATCAATGAGTTTTGACTCACTTTAATGAAATCATCTTTGAGATTATGATGTTGAGTTGGACTGCTTGTCTTATGATATCGTGATAAATAGAACTGAACGTTCTGTGATGTGAAAGCATTTGTTAAAAATATTCTTTTATTATTCTTTTCTTTAATATTAAAAAAATGCTCAAAAAGAAGAGAAATGTCAATGGCAATTCAATTATTTATTGACTTTTAACACTTAACTTAAAATTAAGGCAATGTTTCTTTTAGAAAATAATTTACTACCTTTTAAAAATATTTTTGCACTAATTCATTTTCTATTATTTATCTGCAATATTAAAATTTATAAATTAATGAGAAGAGATTTATAAATTTTATCTTTGAAAGAAGGAAATTAATTTTCCTTTTGAAGTGCATGCCAATTAAGTTATTTCTAAAAATAAACCAACACTGAGTTTCTTTTTTGTACATTGAAATTTTTTATTTTTCTACAAGTTTCCATCCAATTTAATTTGCAAGATTCAAATTTCTTTGTAGAAAATACAAGTCTCTATGTATAGTCCGGTGGGTGGTGAATACATTAAAAGCGGATAAAAATACAAGTTGAAACTCCCTTCATCCAATACTCAAAAAAAAAAAAAAAAAATACATAAAAAGCGGATAAAAATACAAGTTTGAAACTCCGCTTCATGCCATAACTCAAAAAAAAAAAAAAAAGTCCAATTAAACTAAACCTGATGAATCTTAAAAAAATTCGCACTGTCCTTGATTAGTGTTAAAAGGAACAGGAATGGCTAATTAAATTAGCAAAGGTTATTCTGATTTTCCATTTCCATTCTTGGAAATAGTTTTTCCTAACTAAATGGCATTTCAACTGTCTTGACTTTTTCTCATTGGGGGGAACTATATATCTTCCCACTAGAAATGGGGAAAATATGAAAGCTTAAAAACGTGAAGTAGACCGCGAAATAATTGGTATTTTAGCAAAAGTAAAAAAAAAAAAAAAAAAGTCCAATTAACTAACCTGATGAATTTAAAAAAATTCGCACTGTCTTGATTAGTGTTAAAGGAACAGGATGGTAATTAAATTACAAAGGTTATTCTGATTTTCCAATTTCCATTCTTGGTATTAGTTTTCTAACTATGCATTCAACTGTCTTGACTTTTTCTCATTGGGGGGAACTATATATCTTCCATAGAAATGGAAATATGAAAGCTTAAAAACGTGGAAGTAGACGCGAAATAATGGTATTTTACAAAATAAAAGAGATGAAAATGTTAGAGAAATATATAAATATAAAAAATAAATTACAAGATGTTCAATAATAAGTAAAGTCCAATCAAAATATTTTACCACTTCCAAAAGAAAAAAAAATCATTTATAAGTTTCATATATTCATAAAAAAAGCATGTTTTGTGGAATTATACTTGTTCATATATTTATTTTAATTAGAAAAATGTGTTTCCGAAAGCGGAAACGCATTTCCAGATTATTCAATTTACAAAAACAGGCCTCAAAATATTTTTGATGAATTTCTAAATATTTCCATGTGAAAAATGTTTTTGGAACGTGAAAGAATAGTTAGAGAGAGAAAGTTTATTTTGGTTTTTAGATATATAGTTTGGAAAATCCAATTTGATCCAAAGAGAACGACTGAAATATGATCCACATCCAACTTACCCTTAATATTAATGAGAGAAATTAGAACTATATTAATTTGATAATTAAAAATAATTATGGTGAAATAAGAATAAATTAATATAATAAATAAATTAAGGCCCTCGAGTCAATCCAAAGCCCACCTTACTTTGCCCAAGCAATTACTATACCACCACCGCTTTCCTTCCAATCAAACCCCTTTGATACCACCCATTTCTTGACTTTCAAACGCTACAAACACATACACTACTCATCCCCTCTTCCTCCCCCCCTATTTATTCCTGCAACAACCGCTTCCATTAGAATAATCCCACACTTTATTATTTACTCCTTCGACTCTCACCATTAATACTCTCTGCAATCAAAACAAAGCCAAGCAAGAGAATCCTTTTCATTGAAATCTGAAAAAAGAAAAAAAAAAGAAAGTATATCCAGAAAAGAAAGAGACAAACTGATCAGAACTACCCATTTCTTTAAAGCTACAAAGAAAAAAAAAATAAATAAAAAACTTCTCCTTCTCTTCTCTCTCTCTTTTCATTTAAGAGCTTCTGTATCAACTCTGATGAAGATTCTAATAAAGCACCAAGCACGTATTCTTTTCCTCATCTCGTTTGCTTCTCGTCCGGGGGGAATTGGCTTGTACCTTGAGTAGACCACAACCCATTTCAGTTTTAATGCTAAACTGTAAGGGAAGGGATGGGAGTGTACTTTCTCTCTTCCCCTTTTTATTTATTTTGATTTCCTTTCTTGTTGATCTTGTCACAGGCGATTCCTGTTGAGGGTTTTGTCTATTTTATACATTTCGTTTCTTAATTTATTTTACATATTTATTTTTATATTAATTTTGGAAGATGGCAAAGAAGTATACTGTTTATTAATTGAGATAAAAATGAACGCAGGGTAGGTGAAGAGGCTATAAGAAGGGATTTTGTGTTTGCCTAGAGGGTTCAGTACTAAAATCTAGGGCAACAAAAGGGTTTTATCTCTTCTTTCTTCTCCTTCTGCTGTTTACTAAGGTATCTCTATTAGTTTTATTGGCCTTTATTGTCATTATCATGGCTTCGTCAAACAGACACTGGCCTAGCATGTTCAAGTCTAAGCCTTGCACCTCCCACCACCATCAATGGCAGCACGAAATTAACTCCTCATCTCTTGTATCATCTGGTTGCCACAAATCACCTTATACTTCAGGTAATTTTATCACACAATTGCTGCACTCATAGTTTTGCTCTTAATTATTGTAACTAACAATTGTTGACACTTGACAATTAAGTGGGTGTTTGGCCTTCTGTTTTTTTAATTTCATTTTATGAAACAGTTCCTGGATGTGAAGAGCGAAGTCCAGAGCCAAAGCCAAGATGGAACCCAAAACCTGAGCAAATTCGCATACTGGAAGCAATTTTCAATTCTGGAATGGTAAATCCACCAAGAGATGAGATAAGAAGGATTAGAGCTCAATTACAAGAGTATGGTCAAGTTGGCGACGCAAATGTCTTTTATTGGTTCCAAAACAGAAAATCAAGAAGCAAACACAAATTAAGACATCTCCAAAACTCAAAACAGCAAACATATCAAAATCCGTCAGTTTCTTCTTCCACCTCTGCTCTTACAATCCCTACGTCTTCTTCATCTTCGTCTGAAAAATCCTCTCCGAAAGGCTCTAGAAGGACTCTTTCTTTAACCTCTCCAAATGTCGTTGACGTGTCCAACTCTCCAACCGGTTCAGTTAACCAGACCTATTTTCAAGCCCATAATGAATTTATGACCGAACCTTTCTTCTTCCCGGCTCAACAGACTGGAGGAACAGGAACCGGATCTTTTACGCAAGGGTTTTGTTTCTCTGATCTCTCCAATGTGGCTCAAGTTCAAGATAATACAGTTGGGCCTTGCACTAGTCTTTTACTCAGTGAAATGATGAGTTCAAAAAAAGATCTTGACCATGAAAACAAGAACATCAAGATGCAACCAAACCTTAGTTATCCTGTCACCGCCCCAATTACACACACCATTGGTCTTTCTCCACCTTTCCCTCTCAACCCTAACAGTGTCACTGTTCCATCTACTGTGAACCAAATTCAAGGTAAATTTGTTTTTTTCTCATTGATGCCCTAATTGCATGAGCGTGAAATGCACGCGCAGAATTTGTTACTGGAAATGTAATGTGTGAGGTAAAGATTCAAAAGTAGGGTAAACTAGGTTTGAGAATATATGTTTGTCCGTTTTGATACCAAATTTACTAAGTATATGTTTGAAAGTAGATTCACTTCAAGATTCCACAGACATGATTGATGTGTATTTCAAACCATTTTTGGTTTATTATACCATAAAGAGGGGGAAAGGGTACACTAGTCATTTACAATTAACAGTGAGGATAGATTTGTCTTTTAGATACACCATTTGTTAACGTGTGCATGGCTTTGGCTCTCGGTTATGGTTTACAAAATCACATGTCCTCTCCCTCTCTTTCAACTCGCATTTGACCATTTGCACCAACTTTTACATGCGTTTTGAGAAAAAAGAAAAAAAAAATATTGCGTGGTTGCAGGCGTAGGAGAATCCAGTCCTGCGGGTTCGAGTGTAGCAGCAAGATCAACAGTCTTTATTAATGATGTTGCAATCGAAGTGGGAGTGGGACCGTTCAATCTGAGAGAAGCTTTTGGTGATGATTTTCTGTTGATTCACTCTTCTGGTCAGCCTGTTCTGACCAATGAATGGGGTCTCACTCTCCATTCTCTCCAGCATGGAGCTTCCTATTATTTGGTACCTCTCTCAGTCACTGAAAGTGTAAGTTCTTTTTCTTTCATATATATATATATATATATTTCTTTTTCTCTTTTAAAGAATCGGAATTTTAGCATGTGCATCAATATGGGCTCTGTTAATTTCTCGTGTGTGAACAGTGAAGCTTTTGCTTATTATGAAACTGATTATTATTGAGTGTTTCTTGAATTGCAGATTTGAAGATGTGAAATCAAGCTTTTTTAAGGTTATGGGGCTACCTATAGTTTCTCTGCTTTTCTTTGTTTCATATCTCTAGGGTTTGAACTCTCTGCCTAGTTATTAGTTATTGCTACTGTTTAATGTACCCTATATATATATAATATTAGAACTCCTGGACCAATCTGCATTTTGTTTTTATTATTTTATTAAAGCAATATATATCTGCTAGGGTTATGAAACACCATCTTGCCATAGTTATTAGTATTATTGCTATATTCTGTTTAATAGTACCCACTACTATATCATATAATATTAGAACTCCTGGAACCATAATCTGAACAGTTTTTGTTTCCTTATTATTTTTATTAAAGCAAATTATATATTTATATCCAATATTATATAGTAATATAATATTATATATGAGTTATAATATAGAGATATGCTTATCAGATCTACATTTTTTTTATAAAATTTGTTCTCTTATGTTTGGAAATCTTAAAGAGAGGTAACACTCTATATATATGGAATATGCTTATCAGATCTACATTTTTTTTTAAAATTTTGTTCTCTTATGTTGGAAAATTTTAAAGAGAGGAACACTTAATCACTGAGTTTATAAAATAATAACTTTATCATCTGCTCTTTTTATTTGTAACATGTATACGTTAGTAATTAATATGGGATATGTGTATACAGTGAAAGTTTGCGGTTAAAATTGTAGTATATATATATATAGCCATCCGGTTTAGTCCAAGTGAGATGATATCATTCTCATATGCATAGTGTTTGCCAGCTTTTAGGTTTAACTTATTATTGAAGGAAAGCTTGCTGGTCTTATGGCATTTATGTGATTCGCCTGAAATTAGGTTGAGCCTGCCACCTTGTAGCTCCTCGAATTGTCACATATATTGGATTGTTACCTTATATAGTTATGTATGATAGATATCAGAAGCTACAGTATATGTGCCAAAAGCTGTTCATGTCAAATTCAAAACTTGCTTGATGAATTATTTGAATTTGATTAACAAAAGAAAAAAAAAAAAGAAATAGAATTTGGACTTTTATTTCACTTAACAAAATTTAAAGCATAATCACGTATTAATTAGATATGTTAATATATATTAACCTTATCGATCCCTACACATAATTTGCAAGTTATGTAAATGAAAAGTTTATAATAAATTAATTAATTCCATGTCCACGAGGAGGTTTAGCTAGGGTTCATAGAACTCATCCTGCAAAGGGTACAACATACTACGTACATAGACAGACAAGCGGAGAAACTGAATAGGTCTTTTACTTGCACGAATCAGAAGAAAACTCTGACCAAAATGGGTTGGATTTGCATATGAACTACTACTGTTTAACAATATATCAACAGAAATTAAAAAAGAAAAGAAAAGAAAAGGAGAAGGGAAGAGAAGAGTGGGTATTGACGGATGGGTCAACCCATTGATTTGAGTGGTTCAGATTAGTTACGTGTACAATAGTGAGAACAGTGTTAATATTCACCCCATCGATTTGACTAAGCGATTTTGATTTTGATATATCAATTCTCAACTCTAACTCCACCACGTCACCGACACAACCCAATGAACATAACCACTACTATTACTATATAGCTATGAGTGCTGTTTTTTGCATGAACCATCACGTATGATGGATTTATAATCATCACAGCCAAAACTCTTTAACTTTCTCCTCTCCTCTGCCATTCTGTGCATTACAATACTTTCCTGGAGAGAAGAATCACAGAATTGCTTACTATTTACACGTGCCAGGTGGGGAGTGGTGCATGACATGATCACTTTCTTTAATACTCCAACGATGGAGTGGATTAGGTGTATGGGAACTACTGTAGTCTCATTGATGGGATTGTTCTTCCATATAGCCCATCATCAGATACAGTAATATTAACTACTGACTTCAGAATATACGCTTTTGGCTTTGTTTCTGTGTAATTTTAGTTTATATATGAAAAAAAGAAAAAGAGAAAACAAAATTGTAATATGATTTTCATAATTCATATGTGCATTTGGGTAATAGCTGTTTTCAAATTCTTAATTAATATCGCAATGGGGCATATCAGCAATTTAAGATCATAGAGGTTGAAGCACTTTTTCTATAGTTCTCGGATTAGAACAAGAAAATTTTTTATATCTAGTTTCACCTTATCAAGAATAATTTACACGTTAGAAAAAGCAAATAAATTGGTTCATATATCAAATTAATATATAAAAAATCTCTAAAAGGATTGAAATATTAATCGAATAATACTTTTGAGACTTTATAATTAATTTGATCATAATTTAACGATTAATTTTTTAGTCAATTGATGATGAAAATAGATTATTTTAGAGAAAATGATCAAAGTATTAAATTATAAATTTGGACATCATAATTACTTTTGAAAATGAAAATCCTCGTATGTTAAATTAATTATAATTAGATATCAATTTATATTTTTTTTTCTCATATTTAAACTCCGGTTTCGTTATCCAACTATTTAACACTGGGGATTGGGCTATAGGATTTTATTTAAATTTTTTTTAATTTAAATTCTTCTAATTCAAAAATATAGGTTTTGTTTGGTTGTTAAAAAAATGTTATGAAAAAAATAAGATTTCAATATAGGACGTGTATTTTTTTTTCAGAGAGGCAGAGTCTTCAACTATAAGAATGTAACACAAAATTGAAAATAAGAAAAATAGGGGAGAAAAAGGAAATAATAGCAATATACAGTTTTGTTTTAATTAAGAAATTGGTTAATGCCATCTTAATCTTTCTATTTTAGGAGATAAAAAACTGAAAAAGTGTGTGGGGTTGGGGTAATTACTAATTAGATTCAATATCTAAAATTAAATTAGTCCCTTAATCTCTCATTTACCATTTTTTTTCTTCTGAAATAAAACAAAGAAAAGAAAAACACAGTTGGATTTCCATCTACTAATCTGTGTTTCTCAATCGCTCTTTCGGTTGTCTCTCAGAAATCATGCTCCCTTTAATCGGTTAATCCCAGACCTCAAAATTTAATAAGCTCTAGCAATAATAAGAGAAGAACGACAATAAACAGAATATTAGGAAAAAAAAAAAAAAAGAAAAGAAAATCGGAAAATGGGAGCATACAGAGCGGACGACGATTACGATTACTTATTCAAGGTGGTGTTGATCGGAGACTCAGGCGTCGGGAAATCCAATCTCTTGTCTCGTTTTACGAGAAATGAATTCAGCCTGGAATCCAAATCCACCATTGGCGTAGAGTTCGCAACCCGCAGCATCCATGTCGATGATAAGGTCGTTAAGGCCCAGATTTGGGATACCGCCGGCCAAGAAAGGTTTCTCCTTTCCTTTACTTTCCTTTCCTTTCATATGTACATATAGGCATGTTTTTAGATCTCAATCGCATTGATCTTTATTGAACCTTTATTATTATTATTATTATTATTATTTTCTGGTGGTCTCTTGCATGTAGAATTCAATCAATTTCCTTTTTTATTCTGATCATCTTAGTCAAAAAAAGGGTGCTTTAACATGTCCGCAAAAGGGAAATAATTGAATTATAGCGAGGATGATACAGCAATGGAAATCAATTGCAGAAATGACCATGGCAAAACAGCTCAATTATCCAATGCAGGGTGATTTAAAGGTGATCAAGGGAGGATTAAGATAATTAGGGTTTTAACGATGAGATTAATAGAGTGCTTGAGGAATGATTTGAACCTGGAAATTAAACCAAGAAACCATTATTGAAATGTAATGCAAATTTTTGTTGTTAGAATGATGAGGCTAATTGCAATTATAATTTCTTTGGTAAAGATATCGAGCCATAACAAGTGCGTATTATAGAGGTGCTGTAGGAGCGTTACTAGTATATGATGTGACTAGACATGTAACATTTGAAAACGTTGAGAGATGGCTAAAGGAGCTTAGGGATCACACAGACGCCAACATTGTGATCATGCTGGTAGGAAACAAGGCAGACCTGCGTCACCTTCGAGCTGTTTCCACCGACGACGCCAAGGGATTTGCAGAACGAGAGAACACGTTCTTCATGGAGACATCTGCGCTCGAGTCTTTGAACGTCGAGAATGCATTCACAGAAGTGCTGACTCAGATTTATCGAGTCGTAAGCAGGAAGACACTCGACATTGGAGATGACCCTGCAGCTCTGCCTAGGGGACAGACAATCAATGTTGGAGGCAAAGATGATGTTTCAGCAGTTAAGAAGGCTGGATGCTGCTCGGCTTAAGCAAGGAAAAATTGCCTCAACCTCTCAAGAATGTTACTTTGAGCATATTCAAGATTATCAAACTTGAGATTCTTTGCCCTGTTTATATCATAGAGGTTTGCCTGACATAATTTATTAACCTTTCTATAACATTGTGTCCTAGAAACCCAGAAATGTAGGATTTAAAGATTGAAATTGCACTCCTTTTATTTTCTTCTGTAATTCAAGTTGTGAACTACCTAATACTCAATTGCTTCATTTTTACCTACAGTTTGGTGTCATATAAAATACATAATGTGGAATTGTAGATCAATTATATGACTGCTAAAACAGCTGTAGCTTCCAACAAGCACCACATTCTTTTCAAATTCGGCGATATATACATGTGATAAGCAGGGGAGGAATTAGGCCTGACTTCACAGAAGAAATTTCCTCAGAAAAACAATCAGATTGCATGCATCTCACAAACCAAATATATCTAAATACCAAATTATCAAATTGAGCACAAAATTTAGCTGTAGATCCACTGATGCAGACTGATTTTAACCAGCGTAAAACAGGTCCAGCACAAACCAATAATATAACCAGGGAAAAGCCTCGCAATGCCTTGTGCAAATTTGATCAATATCAAGAGTAATTCGAAGTAAATTTATGCTAGCTGAAGAATTCAATCAAATATCAATCAATGAAAGAATATGAGACTGCAAAATGTTTAAATGTTTTGCAGCAAATATTTGAGGATCAAGAATAGTCACCTCTACCTAACAAACAAAGCTCAAATATGCTAATCGCAAATAAAACATGAATAAGCAAACAGCAGTTAACGCGGAACACAAAACAAGCGAGGAGCCACAACCATAAGAAGTAGCTTCAGCATTCACCTAGTTTCTAATGCTAATGAATCCAAAGATCATAACCATTGGTGGATGAAAGAATAATAGACACATTTTATAGGTCTATTCATCAGATTTCCAGCTAATTATCAAAATTCCTTTCCAAACTCCAACAACAAAATTCCTTCTCATGCCCCTAAGCCACTCAATTTCAGGTTGCATTCACAGCAAAATAATGCAGCAATTGCTTTTTACTCTCTTCGAATTTCTGAAGTTCTTAGATATCAGTAACATATGTGCTTTTTGATATTGATCTCAAGTGATCCAGATTAATGATTCATCATCAACGCTTATGATATACAATACAGCCACTAAACATCAAAGAAAGCACCAACTTGGGACAGAATGATCAAAATCACTGTCGTTATTGACATTCAAATTGGCAAAGCTATACACAAGAATTTCTTGTTTGCGAGATATCATTTATTGACGAGCCAAGTTTTTACTCCTTGCATCATCATTTATCATAAATCTAACAAAAACGGCCTCTAGATTGCATTATTCATGTTCTTTCTGAAGAATCATAATCATAATCAACTAAAGATAGCTTTAACAAAAATAGAATTATAATTTTTTATTGTTGAAAAGAGTTAGGACGTTGTTTGAACTCGAAAACCCCAAGGTTCCAAATTAAACCCACAAAAAGACCAAATCACCAATCAAAACCAGAGAGTAAAAAATAAATAAATAAATAAAAACCACAGATAATATCACTCACATATTAACGGCGAGCTTTATCGGCATCATTAGTCGAAGAAGAGGATTCAGAAGAAGAATTCTCTTTCCTGAAAGAGGGCAGAGGGTTCGAGCCCTTTATAATCCAACCCAGAGCGAAGAACGAGAGACCCGCCAGAATTGCTGTGCCCCAAGCGTGGGAGTACCATCTGCTGTACTGCTTGATTGCGAACCTCCACTGCTCCCTTAGCGTCGCCGGGTCCGGGTTTGTCGCATCGGGTGGGTTCGGCCAGTGGGCCTTTTGCCCAGAAAAATTGGCGCTAGTGTTTGAGTTGGAGCTACCGTTTCTGATTTCTGAAGGAATTTTAGAATTAGGAGGAGAAGGAAGGTTTTGAGATGTATTGGGGTTTTTGGATTCAGCCATTATCGGTTTTTTTACAGTGACAAAATGCACTGGTTCAGTGCTTAAAGCGTTGCGTTTGCAATTTAAGCTGTTTGGCTTACGTGTCTATCTTCATAAATTGCCACCTGGTGCTCATTTCAATGTTACAAAGTGAAAAGTGGCAGCTGTAGTTTTGTTTTGTTTTGTTTTTTTTTTTCTCCTTCTTTTAAGATGAAATGAAATTATTGAATTTTTATTCATAAATAACTAAATACATAATCATATACAGAACTGATCAAGCAATATCAAGTTAGTTTAACATTAGACAGTAAGAAATAATATCCTTCAATAATCAACTAATACAAAATTATCTTTCTCGCTTACTGTTGATGATTCTTCTATGTTTCTGAAAATTTTTATTCCTGTATATAATACCGTATATGATTGTGGTCAATTCTAATTGCAATCTATGTATATTCTAAATCAATGCTTGACTTTTAATTGCAATCTATGTATATCCTAAACCAAATTACAATCTAAATGCTCTTAAGTAACCAAAAATAGTTCACATGGTGAAATTAATTCCATCAAGAACAACGCAGGGCCTTCGTGGACCAAACAGGAGAACTTCTCATCAGCATATGAAACGAGGTACAAGTTAATTACTTATCTTCTCCCTGATATAAAAGAGAACTAGACCTGTAAAACATAACATACATGGCAGTTCGGGAGGCATAACTTGATTTCAAATGCTCCTCCAACACATTCAAATACAAGTAATCATATGTGTATAAGTATTCCAACAAGGCACATAAAATCTATTTTCTTTCAAGTTATGACAATAATGAATTGTGTAATGGAAGCAAGAAATTTTAGTTGGCACGATAACAAACAAGAACAGCAATTATAAACCAACAATTATCTAAGTATTGAGGATCATCTAAGTATTAAGGATGGCATTGCTTGTTCGGATTGAAATTCTCCAGGAAAATCATTTCCGTGCTTCTGCCTTCTTCTGCTCTTTGGCTGAAAAAACAGAGAACTTTGTCAATGTTAAGACATCAGATGTGAGGAACATTGCAATTCATAAGGATGTCCAAGTATTACCAGCCTTCTCTTCTTCTCGCTTTTTAGCTGCTTCTGCCCTTTGCTGACGTATGAGGTTCAAGCGCTCTGCATTGAGAAAAACAAGGGAGTCAAGTTACAGAATTGGAGAAACGAGACTACAAGATGCATAAATTGACCATCACCGATAGAAGGAAACATTGAATTGAAGCCATTCCAATGAGCCAATAAAGAAAAGATGAAACACAAAAAATCATTACAGGTTTAAGGTCAATGTTGGTGAGATAAGTGCATTAATGTAAAAAAACACAAACAGGCATGCTACCTATTACCCATATATAGTATCTCTATGGGTGTTGCTTGCTTTTAAGGTTAATGTCTTCCCTTGAATAATTCCTTCCATTTGACTATCAAGTGACCGAATGCTAACTGTAAAGAGAAAAGAATGAGAGGTAGAAAATTCAGAAAACTTACCCAAGTCTTTTCTTGCTTGCTCTGTTTTTCCTTGTTCTTGGAGCCTCATGTACCGCTCATGAGCTCTTTGTTTCTCTAACTCCTCCCTGTCAAGAAAGGTATAAGTTTTACTCAAATAAAACTTCTTCAGACAGACAACCAATAACTACTATTTGCAGGATACTATTTCTTCCAGCAAAGGTATCAGAACTGGGTAAAGTTGATAATTCATTCCATGTACAACAATGAAAGAAATCTTTCCCTGCTTGGGTTGAAGCAATGAACAGTTACCAACCTTTCACGCCTTGAAAGCTCTGTTGTTTTCCCAATCTGCAAAACACAAATGACAAACATTACTTCCAGTTGAAATATAAACACAATTGAAGTAAAGGTAGAATAACACGTATGTAACTTACATCAATGTCTCTAGCTTTAACATTCTTTGGCTTCACCAGATTAGGATTTTCAATCTGTATAAGACCTTGAGTTCCTTTCCTCTTTTGCTATCATTCAAAAAAAAAAAAAAACATTAGTGCTTTCCAAATTAAAGAGTCATTCCTATAAAAAAATCTTCTAGAAAGATGCCAAAAAAAAAATGTTACTAACATCAAGTTCATCATCAGATTCTTGTTCAGAGTCTTCTCCAGATTCTTCTTTATCATGTTCCTTTTCATATTCAGCTTCTTCCTGAGAATAAGCTAGATTTGCTAAATGGCAACAGAGATATTCAATTGCACAAAACAAAACTCAAAACATTAACTGCAAGAACAGAGACAGAGAGAGAGAGAGAGACCCTTCTAAATGTACGAGGGCGAGTGGAGGTGCCAGCAACTGCAATTATGCATCACAAAATGAAAAGTTAGGCTTAAGTCGCCTTTTATATGATTGGAATTCATATTAAAAACAAAATCAATAACAGGTAGAATCCAAAGGTTAGAAAACTGAAATAAAACTTCCATGGTAAACCATTTTTATTCTCCTACTATGGTGAAGCCACTGTGAACTTGTAAGTCTTAATATATAATTCTGGACTTCCTTTCTAAACTTTTTCTCTTTGCCATAGCAAACCAAAATAAAATGGCTAGTGAGAATGTTTGATGCACCATATCAATAAGTAACCTCCATTTTTAACATGTATATTTCTGCAGTCTTCTGATTTCATGAAGCTCAAAAGTTATGATATTATTGAAAATCTAATTAAAGAAAAATAGTAATGGTAACCAGTTTAATAGATATCAAAAGCAGCCATGAAATCTGACAGCAACTTTTTTTTTCCTTGCAAAAAGAAATTGAAACCAATATCGAAGCCACATAAACATCAATTCCTCAATCAATAAATATTCAAGGGGAAAAAAAAGCATAAAAGCATAATTTAAAAATAAATGAATCCTAATAATCTAGTATAACTTATTCAATTATGAATTTCGACTGGAATTTTCGCAATTTAAGAGCAGAAACCTTGAATTACCATCATATATTTAAATTTCCTAACAGAGTTAATTAATTTCTCGGGAGACAAACGGCAAGAACAAAAGAAAGAAGTTCTCAAAGCAGCTTACGCATCTCTTCGGGAGTGGAGAATTGGCGGTGACCGGTGGGCTTGCCCTTGAACTTTCCTCTTCCCATCGTGACTACAAAGAGTAGATTGGATTTGATTGTTTGACTCCAATGAGAAGCCGATCTGATTGTGTGGTTTTTTTTTGTTTTAAAAGAAAGACTTTGATTATCGATCCAAAACCCTAGTGGAGAATCGGCTTGGACAGTTGCACTAGCGAGCGTGTGGTGGAGGGACACAATCTGGTGTGTTTGTATATTGGAAAAATTAGAATGTACGGGATCTAAAGGCTAATACGTGTTTATTCACAGATCGAACGGTCCAATTCAACCTAACCAAACTTTTGTTTTAAGTAAAACAAAAATGCTCTTTTTTTGTAAATTTGAAATTATTTTACCAAATTTATTTTGTCCTAAATTAGGAAATTTCTTGCCAATGCGTCAAGCCAGTTAATAAAACTTTTTAGAAGAAAACTTTGTTACCATTTATTGCTATTTTATTTATTTTTTCATTTACGGCAACAAATTTACAAATGCTCAAATTTTCTAAAAAAAATCTTGGTAGCACCTCAAATTTTTAGATTAATTTCTAACACTTCAGCTTATAAAATTTCAATTATTAAATACTTCAACTTATAAAAATAATTTTTATATATTAGGATTTGTAGGTTAATAGGCACGTTATGTATTTGTCCTACAATATTTTTCTTTTTATTATTACTATTTATAATATCCTTTATAAATTATTATGAAAAAATATTAATTAGCAGGTAATCTATATTAATCCATATCCAACGAAATTAACTAGGAAAATCACAAGCTATAATGTCTATATTTATAGGTGTGTTGAATGAAATTAAATAGGAGAAATTAAAACTATAGAAATTAGAAAATGATTTCTGTTTTAGTAGTATCCAATGACATTAAAGAAGAAAAATGACAAACTGTGGAAAAAACTCTTTGAAACCCTAATTTATGTGCCTCACAGCCTCTCTCGATTTTGTATATAGAATCAGTGCAACACTAGCCATTAATCGTTGCTTCCTCTCTTTCTTTAATTTTGATATCCTAATAAAAAATAATATTACTCAATTAGAAATATTCAGGATTAATATTTTATTATGATAATAAAATACTGATATTACAACAAATACGTAATGCAAAATAAAAAATTTTAATTCCACCTAAAAATTTAAAAATCATTTGATATTATCATACATGTATTTTAATTACACCTATTTAAAATACATATTTTCCTTTCAAAAAAAGAATATATAATACATATTTAGCACGTTCCTAAAAGTGCAATCACAGTAACATTTCATGCAATTTCTGGACAAAACCATCAATATAAGAGTCCTCCAACCCTTGGCTTAACAAAAATTCTCTCCATTTTGTATGGTTTTGTTTCACTTCTTCCTTTACCTCACTATCATTGTTCATTACAGCTTTCACTGCCTTGCAAACGCCATTTTTAGAGAACAACCCATCTTCTTCACCTTTCTCAACTTCTACTCCAACTTTCAGATCTCCACCCATTAGTCTTGCATTAATTATTTGATCTCCTACATTTGGCAACAATACTAATTGACATTTAGTTACCATAGCTTCTGATAATGAACCAGATCCACAATGGGTCACAAAACACCCAACAGAAGGGTGTTGCAGTATTAGTTGTTGCTGAACCCAATCTCCATAAACAAATCCTCTTCCTTTAACTCTCTCTTGAAACCCTTCTGGTAATGCTGACTCAATTTTTTCAACTCCAATTGGTGGCTTCAGGGCAGCAAAAAAGGGCAATCCTGTAGATTCAAGACCCAATAACAGTTCCTGAAACTGATCTTTATTAAGAAGACATTCAGTTCCAAATGCACAGAATATAACGCTTCCTTCTTCAAAATTATCCAAGATTCTCTCAATTTCTTGATCCAAAACCAAACTAGGTGGTTCTGGAACAACAGGACCTGCCAAAATAACTTTCTTACAGAATTGCTTCTCAATGTAGTTACAATAAGGGCCTTCCATTTCTGTACATGTTTTGAAGCTAACGGCATCACATTCGCTAAAACAAATCCACTGGCGTTGAGAAAATGAAATTCCACTGCCAAACTCTCTCTTAGCTCCAGCAGCGAGGTGACGAGCTTCATGGGCACGTAGCTTTATTGACGAGCGAGGGAAACTAGGCGGCGGGTTCATTAGATCAACTTCTGTTCGGATTTTATTATCAGCGATTTTTATTTCAGGTCTTAAAAGGTAACCAACGGTGGCGGGGCTAATAGTGTAGTAATGCACAGATTTGATATTTAGTTTTCTTGACAAAGCAGGTAACCAGTGTGTAAAATCAAAAAAAACAAAATGGGGTTTCAGGTTTCGGAGATGAAACTCAATGGTAGGTTGTGTTAAATCCATAGCAGTCATTATAAGAGGATGTAGAGGGAAAGGAACATCTGCCGTTGTTTCGGAGCCTGGAGGGAGACCATCTACATGAGGAATATCGATCGGAATTAAAGTAATGAGGTTTGGATATAGATTGAAAGGTTCAAAGTTTGATTTGGTTTTTGGCGGCAAGAGAAATGAGATTTTATGGCCTCTCTCCGCAAGTTTATTGGAGAGATGGAGAAATGATGTAAGATGACCTAAAGCAAACCATGGATACATCGCTATGTGGAAAGTGTTGTCAGCCATTGTTCCTGTATCGGAGCTCATATGATATTGGAACCCTAAAAGAAATAAAAAAAGAAAAGTTTCCTGATGGCAATGACAAGAAGAAGAAGATTTTGATTTAGTATGAAATGTAACGGAGAAAGCTGAGTTTATTTTGTATCCGAGCTCATGTAGAATTGAAACCCTAAAAGAAGGGAAAAGAAAACTAGGTTTCCTGATGACAATGGCAAGAAAACTGAGTTTACCTAACAATGTAATGGAGAAAACTGAGTTCCTCCAGGTAATCTAACTATTTTACGTGTTTTAATTTATACTGGTTGGTTGGTTAGCTGATTATTTTTCCTTATCTGGAATTTAACCATAACCACCCAAAGCAATGAGCCATCTAACAATTTTGGAATAGGAAATTACTTGCCACTAAATTAGCTTAGAAAAACCTAAGCCATCCATAGCACAACCACAGGTAGAAAATAAAGATTTTAAACAGAATTATATAGGGAGCTGTTATCTTTGGAGATTGAACTTCTATCTTTAATCATGCAGGGGAACTCTGTTTTCTCCATTACATTGCATATTAAAATAAAATCTTCTTTCTTCTTGCCAACAAGAAACCTAGTTTTTCCTTAAATTGCTTCAAGAATTACTAATTTTCCTATGACACCAATCTTGAACGGCAGTACAGACTTCTAATCCTGTTTAACAGAGGGGTTTCGGACGTTAATATTACAAACAATAGAAAGGAAAAAATTAGTTTTATTGAGCTTAACCAACATTATTGTTATACCACGGAACCATAATTTAGTTTTTTTTTTTTATAATTCCACTCCTTAAAAACTTACAATTTACTAAGAAAATAGATAAAAAGTAAAAAAAGCATCATAATCTACTAATCAGTATAAATTTTATTGTTGTCGTTGTCTTTGATGCTTACGACAAAAAAAAAAAAAAAAAAAAAAAAAAAAAAAAAAAAAAAAAAAAAAAAAAAAAAAAAAAAAATCAAACTACTTCCGCGTCCGGAAGCAAAACTGCATCTCATTTTTGTGATTCACATAAAATTCCTTATAATATGCTTCATGTAATTATTCTTGATCTCGCCAATCTGGAATTTTCTCCTTCTTGACCTAAACAAAAAAAAAAAAAAAAAAAAAAAAAAAAAAAAAAAAAAATCAAACTACTTCCGGTCGGGAAGCAAAACTGCATCTCATTTTGTGATTCACATAAAATTCTTATAATATGCTCATGTAATTATCTGATCTCGCAATCTGAATTTCTCCTTCTTGACCTAACTTGATGGAGTGTCAAAAGCAGCGCAAAAGAGATGTATACATGCAAAGAGCAATGGAGTGTCATCGAGCTGGCCTTGCCAATACAAAGCAGGCATCAAAATTAGCTGACATCAATAGCTCTATTACAACTATCTCCTTTGGAAGTCGGATCTTGTGGCCAGGTTCGAAGATACCTGCTTACCAAAAGTTCAAATGGAGAACAATCATTCTCCAAGTGTTGCAAAATAAAATTCCATAAGACAGCAAAACAACTAATGCTTACCAGGGGATAGCTTTCGTCCACCATACAGCTCCTTTGCTAATGGATTGGACGCCCAATGATTCACACCTATTCGGCTTGTCGGTTGGAACCCAATTATTTTACCATCAGTTGACAAAACAACCTAAATTCAAATTACAAATACAAGCAAATCAAGGGTGTCAAACAGCAGGACAAGAGTGATAAATACTCAAGAAAATAACAAGACAAGAGTCATGTATTAACACACACCCCTTTTAGCATTGAGGGGGAGTTGAAGGAGGGTCCCAAAATACTCTAAATCAAAAGAATTGCCAAAGTACTTTACTTCGACCATTTCTTAACAATAATGTAACGCAAAACAAGATGATGGAGCTGATTTGCATTAGAGTGCACAAAGATAAGATGCAAAATTGACTGGGATTTAACTGAACAAACTGTTTACCTGATAACTAGCAATATCTTGTGCAGCTGATTTTATATCTTCATCTATTTTCTCTGAGGAAGCAGAAGTTGAATTTTCTTCGATATTGGAATCAGATTTGTCCATCATTTTCAAGTATTTTGGAACTTCACCAATCCAAGCACCATTATTCTCTTCTGTTATTACATCACCAGGCCAGCCACATCCATCCTTAATCTTTTTGACAACCAGAACGCAAAATTCTTGCAACTATCCTCATATGAAGCACAGGTATTAGTTTAGTTCCATAAAACAGAAAGAAATTGAATAGGAAAAACAAAACATTCAAAAACCAAGTAAATGTCGATAAGAACTATAAAATAATGCCTTCAAAATAAAACAAGGTAATCAACACCATGTTGCCTGAACACATTTCAAGGCATCAGTGCCACATGCGAGCAGCACCAAACTTTTCATACCAAGAACATGCATTCGTATACACAGAGATGCACATGTTTTCAAGTGTATAATAAATCTGGAATGGACAAGCATAATGTTATAAAATATCTATCCCACACACATGTACCTTTTCATTGTCCAGAGATTCATTTATTGCATACTCAATTTCAGATGATGGAGGAGAACCCAACTGTTGAGTGTAAATTTCTCCTTTACGTAGAAGAGGGAAAAAAATATGACCCAGGGCACTGATGGCAACAAGAAAAATTCCAGTTGCAAGGCCAACTGACAAGATTTTGAGCAAAGAAGATCTCACCTGTAAGGAGTGCAATGAATTAGGATCTGGTCTCAAAAGATTTATCATAAACTCGACAAAAATGTTCAACTCACTCTTTCCAAGTGAAAATTTAATTCCTACCCTGGCCCTCTTATACAAAATGGGGGAAAACACATAAGAAAACACTGAAAATTAAAAACTGATTTAAGAGAGAACATAAGAAGAAACCACATTCTGTTCACAAACTCATTGAACTCAGCATATTGATTCTCTTTGTATTTCACAACTTAAAATTAAAAATGCAGAGTTCAAATTGGGAAACAGTTTTGAACTGAAAGCAACACAAATAGAATATTCATAGAGGAATTCTCAAAAAATGCACCTCTCTCCAAAAATAATACTATAGTGTTATTATTTCTGGCCTTCCTCTTATAATTCTTTTTTCGTTTTTCTCCGATATATCCACATATACCATGGTTGAACCTTTAGACAAAAATCTTCACCTAACAAAACTAGGAAAAAGAAGGTACAACAACAAGATGCGATTGCATACCTTTTTGCTGGAAAAGTTGGTAAATTTTGTAGTGGAATGACATGATAGCTCTTTATCAGGCAATGAGTAAATATCCTCATAGTACATATCTAGTGTTTCAGCCAATCCAGCCTACAAAATAAGATAAGCTAAACTCAGAAAGAAAAGTCATTGATCCCATCGAACAGGGTAATGCAAAGAAAACACAATGAAGCACATCCATCAATAAGGCTTATTCAAATATTGAAGGTCATACAAGACCAGAAACCAGGGAGGGAAAAACTTGTCTAACATGAATATCAATTATGCTTTATCTATTTCCGTACAATTATGTTTTTCTTTCTTTCAATACCTTTATGCTTCTCATTTTTCTTTTTCAATTTTAATGTTTATTTTCTTTTCTTCTTACCATAAAGAAAGAAAGAAAAGTGATGGAGAGGAAGGGAAAGAATGGCTAACATGGATTCATATTTCAAACCAAAGGAATAATGGGAAAGATTGATTAAGAAAAGGATATGAAACATTTATGGAAATAAAAAGCGAAAAAGAAGAGTAAAAACTGTTTAATTCAATGGAAAAGGTTTTCTTCCTTAATTTCAATAGTAAAACAATGGGCATAATTAAGTAACAGCCATTCACAGTTAAAAGTCAAAGACAAAAGGAAAGACAGTGCATCACTGAAACTAAAAGCCTAAAACAAAGGAAAAAATAGAGTACCATTTGGGAGTGGGTCAAAAGAACTTCCCACCTATTGTCTGCAGATCTTCTCCAGCCTTCAAATTTTATATCCTTAAGTTTATCAGTATTAATTTGTAGCTTGTAAGATGGTACATACTCACTTGTCCAAGCACAGAACTCAGGGCCACCAATTTTTTTCAACTTTGAGTGTGCGACTGGTGTCCACCAATTGTATTTGGACCTCATTTTTGTTCCCTTAAAGCTTTCCTTGGCTGAATTAAAATTTTCCAGCAAACTCTTCGCATTTTCTACTATTTCATCTTCAAAGAACTTGTAAATGATAACAGAAGAGTCGTTGGACATAATCTTTTTTGGCTTCTGAAACCAACTGAAGACACCACTAGAATTTTTCCCAAAAAAATCATCAAGAAAATGCTTTTCAGTGTGTTGAAGAGCAGCTACGCAAACAGCTTCTGCAAGCACAGAGATAACTTGTTCATCTGACGAGCTGATAAAGAAAGATGCAGGAACCTGCTGATACGAAATGCATAAGAGAACTGAACCTATCAGTATCAAGTGGCACCTGCAGGACAGACATATTAATATGATATCACACAACAGAGAGATGCAGATACCAAAATAAAAAAATAAAAAAATAAAAAAAAATAAAAAAAAAAGGCATAAGAAATAACATAGGTGCCCAACCTCTCTGGGGTTTTCAAGATCCTCTATATTTCTTTCTGTGCCAGGCCTAAACACAACGAGTTCAAAGTTCCACAGCTTTTGTAGAACAACTTGTCTAAATGTCATGGCCAGTATGTTTTGCGATGTAGTCCCAGATAGAATGTCTTTAGCGTAAGATTTTTTCAGTCTCCCCGCTTTCTCTTTAACTTTCTTAGCAGGTAAAAACTGTTGAAAGCAACCACCTTTCATCAGAAAGACTTCACATTGAAGAAAAAAAAAGTTGAAAGTTCATAACTTTTATTTGACATTATCACTAATTGCATAAAATAGCAACCGAATCAAATGCTGGAAAATTAAAACAGACCAGTCGGGTAGAGATGGTGGCGTGCTCGTCCCCTGGGCCAGGGAACACTGTCTCAACGACCATGGCACTGATGCCGGAATTGATATGTTCAGCAGCCGCTTGTCCTCCATCGGCTGCAGCTGCAGTTAGAGCTTGCTCGAAGCCGACGCCGCCAACTAAGCTGAGACGAGCCAAGTCGTTCTCGAAGGTTCTCACGCAAGGGAGGGTCTTTTCATTAGACTCCGCTATCAACTGCAGAATTTCTTCTTCTTGTTGCTGTCGCTGAGTGGATTTAGGAGAAGCGCAGAAGAGAACCGGAAAGGGATTTCTGAAATGGGTTAGTGGCAATTTGGGAAATGTAAAAATTGTTGTTTTGGAGGACAGGAAACTAGATCGCGGAGATAGAAGAAGAGTAGGTGATGAGAGGGAGATGGATTGAGTAGGCATATTGATTTTGAGATTTTGATGATGGTGGCAAGGGTTTTTGTTGGGGGGGGTTGGTGGTTTGAGATTTTATACAGGCGCACGTTAGCAACTGTGTAGTGTGTGTGTGTGTAGTTTAAATAGTTTAATTTATTGTAATTTGATTATTATCTCAAAAAAATTTATTACATTTTCTCTTAAAAATAAATTAAATATTTTTTTCGTAATATACTTTTATTATAGACTGACTCTATATTGGAAAATTTCATTTTATTTTTGAAAAGGTTTTTTTAAAAAGAAAAATTTCATCATTAACAAAAATAATTGTCTAAGACATGAACAAGTAAGCATAATGGTTGTATTATCCAATTTGGAACGATATTTAAAAAGAAAATAAAAACTTTTTTTCCAAAACAACAAAATTTCAATATATTACCATCTCCATGTTACTGATCTACAAACAAGTCCCTCTCAATCTCTCATCTTTCTGTTTCTCTCTAGAAAATCAAAAGGTTAGGGTTTCAACTTTGCTTGCCAACCAGAATCGATCACAGGTAAATTGAAAATTTATTTTTCACTTAAATTTCCTAAACTTATGCTATTTTTATCTAAATTTGCTTGAAATTTGTGATTTTAATTGCAGATCTTAAATTAATTTTTTTTCGTTTTTAAGTTCGTTTCTCGCCGATATCTATTTATTTTATTTTGATTCATGTTGGTAATGAACTCATATTTTTATTTTTGATATTTTAGAGGTGATTGAATCATGCATCTTGTTCTTTAATAAGATATAATCTTAAGAAAGGCAGGAATTTTTCAACCTTAGTTTGGTTTTATCAGATAGGCGATTTTAATTGAGATTTTGTTGTTTTGGAAGCTGATTAGGTGGAGGAAAGTGATATTATGCTGCAGTAATTTCTTGTAAGCTGATAATATTGTTATTATAGGACTTGAGCTATGGGAAAGAGGAAGTCAAGAGCGAAGCCTCCTCCTAAGAAGAGAATGGACAAGCTTGATACTGTCTTCAGTTGCCCCTTCTGCAACCATGGAACAAGTGTCGAATGTCGAATGTAAGCATTCTTTCAAGTCAAATATGAATGTTTGTATTATGAGTTCTACATGTAAAGGAATGCATTAACCCAATTGAAATTTTTGTGTATTGTTGTAATTAAATTGAATAGGCGCGTTGATTTTAATAATTCATAAAGAGACAACTCGGTTTGATATTTGCTTATTTTTTAATTTAGTCAATACCATTGTAGCAGCATCTGCGTCCCTTGGTCTACTTTGGTTTTTTTCAGAAACAGAATTCTGATGAATACAAGACTTCCGAGTATTATGGATCAATTAGTTGCATTAACAGCTTTTGTCATATTTTTGAATTCAGTGATATGAAGAATCTAATTGGTGAGGCAGCATGTGCAATATGCCAAGAAAGTTTTAGCACTACCATCACAGGTAAGTTGTAAAGCATATGTTGTTTAGAGCCGTGTAGGGCAATTTGATATTCCGATACAACAGTGGTATCTGGTAGAATATTCATGTGTTGTTAAGGAGCATCTTTATATGAAATGGTGGGAGTGAGAGGATTGGAGTTTATTCAAATTGGTGGCATATGAAACCAGTCAATTTGTCATTATTTGTTCATATTTTTTAGATTATAATTTATCAAACCACAAGACCTAAAGAATATGTTTACTGATTCATTTTTGTTTTCTCTTTGTTCTGGCAGCTTTAACTGAACCAATAGATGTGTAAGTGGAACCATCTGGAACTATTATCATCTCCCTGTATGCCTCTTTTCTCTTTACCCTGTCATTTATCTAAATTTTGTGATTGCAGATACAGTGAATGGATTGATGAGTGTGAACGGGTTAACACCATTGATGATGATGGTGCCTGAAGGCTCGGTCTGAAGTTTGGATTCCAGTCCCAGAATAGAATGTCTAGTATATTTTAGCTTTCTAAAGGTAGTATAGCTTTGAGCTTTCTCAAGTTTGTAATATTGGTAGTCTTGGGCTGTCCGATTAAGTGCAGATAAATAAATATGGGATTGGTAGTGTTTAGTAACTGATAAAAATAGTAGTTTGTAATAGAATGTTGGTATGAGAGCTTCAATATTATGGAAAGGAAGCAGCTACCAATTCTAGATGCATTGTTGCATTTTGTCTTGTAATATTAATAATCAAATACCTTTATGCTATTTAATGAATTGCTTGATGCGGCTCTTCATTATTATTTATTCTTTTTTTCTTAAATTAATGTCAGATGAATTGGTCAGGGTTTTATGATCATATCAGAAAATAGAAAGGGTGAAATTGAACATATAGATAATGGAATAACATTCGGACAAGAAATTACAAGCAAGACCTGCTGAATTCCATATAATAATTATTTACAAATTCCTGAGAAGGTTAACTCAGAAAGTCTGACCATCTAAGCAAATGATATTGTATACTTGGCAGAAGGAAGTTACATATAAAGATTATCTCTCTCATTAGCAAGTTGCTAGAGACAGAATTAGTAGTGTCTTTAAACTGAAAAATACGTCAGTAAAATAATTTTGCTATAATTTGCATCCACAGCCTACTATTCTGGTTAACACGTATTGGTTTCAGTGTTCACCAATCATATAAGTTATGAAATGAACTGACTAAAAACAGCCATTTCAACTCATCTTCAGGTTAGGATATGCTTTGACAACCACCACAGTAGTAAAGGAGGCAGCATTTCCGTGTGAAAATGAACTATGCACAATTCACGACCAAAAAATGGCTTGAATTCCTGTTATTGACAAAGAAAAACTGAAGATCAAACGACCAACAAGACAATGCCTCGGCTAATGTAACTAAGCAATTGTAGCTTGTCCAACTTGAACCAAATTTCTTCAATTAAGTGACATAATAGTCACTTAGATTCTCAACAAGATAATTGTATGGAGGACCTAGCTCATACTCAAATGTTTCATTTGTTGAAGGCACTCTATTTGGAGCTGAATAAACATTTCCAACACCAATCTTAGCATTCACTTTGGTTCTTCCCTTAACAAAGCGTTTGTTATCAGAAGGAAACTCAGCACTGAGTCTCCCCATCTGCTTTTGCAGATCAGCAACTGATTCATTTATTATTTTACCCTTGGCACCCTTTTTTCCATCAACAGCTTTCAATTCCAATCTATACAAAGCACAAGCATCACACTTACTGATCTCATACTCATAAAGATGCCACTCAAAATTATTCAGCGGTTGAGGATCCATATAATAGGATCTCTTCAGCCCTCCAAATTCATTCATCACTTGTTTCCTTGATTCATGCCAACCACGCCCACTGTAATCAGGCAATGACCTTTGCTTTCTATTCCCACTCTCAAATGCTCTACGAGGCTTATCAAAAAAGAGCCATTCCCTTATTGTTTCACCCTCAAGAACTGAAAGATCAAAGAGCTCTGCAATCATCAAGGAAACAGATTGAAGATAAAAATTCAGAGACATTATATGTTGTCAGAGAACATGCCGTCTCAAATATATGGAGAAAAAAAAAAGTTACACATCACCCCCCAAAGATGTAATGCAAGAAAAATTAACTTACCAGGTGCATTCCATGGAGACTTTGCAGTTGCAGCTCCCTCGCATTCTGGGATACCAACATCTTTTCCTTGTGCCTTTGCACTTAGAGCAGCAAAAAGCAGGCCATCTTTTAGGCCAATGCCCCCAGGTCGAAGAACTGGACCCATTCCAGGTGGGCCTTCATTCAATGCTAGAGCATGGTGAAAACTACTGCAATAGTCCTGACACCAGTCCAACCCTCCTTGAGCAGGTCTCGGACAATCCCAAAGTGCGCATTTTGGGCCCAAGAAAGCAGCAGGTGGAGGGCAAATACTGGGGATATAGCTAGAAACATTAGGTATAGCATCCTCTCCACACAAATCTGTGCTATGAAAACCAGCATAGAAGTTCGACTCAAAATTTTGAGACAAATCATACTGATGGTAGTCCAACTGAGCAGCTCCTTCTAAGTTGTTAAGTGCCATGCTGTGGGCTCCTGAAGGAGAGTCTTTGCATTGATCAACAAATGAGAAGTTGTGCTCCTGTTGCACCTGATTCATACCATATCCCTAACATATGTTAAAGCCAGAATCACCGGTGAGCATCATTTCAGTTCTAATGACATGCCGATGCGAATAAAATTACAAACATTAAGAAAATATATCCACATTCTCAAACATGATAAATAAAAATTCTCAAGGCTAAATAAACCGATAAATAATAGAACTAATACGAAAGGACATACAGAATATTACTCAAAATTTTGGACATTTCAATCACTAGGAAAGCAAGACATGTCAACTGAAATACTATGAAACATTAGCATTAAGCGACAGCTTAAGCAAATTATGGTTGATTAAAAATCTTAAGGTGACTGAAGCAAATTTTCTGGAATTATGGAAATTTATGACTTGAATAGCCTATAAACAATCAACTTTATGCAGAGTATAATAAAAAACCTTCAGGTCCAAGCCTATATAGCAATTTCTTAAGATGACAATTTATTTCAAGCTACAACAAAGTGTTAAGCACTGAAACCAAAAAATCAGCCCCACTCTAACTAGAAATGCAACGCAAACTAGATAGAACAAAAATGAAGAATTAAACGTTAGCAACCCAGAACTTTTAGAGAATCTCAACTGGTTCTATCAACCATCCACCATATCCCTAGTAAAGTATGGAAATAGCTAAATAGCTTTATATAGTTCTATTTTGGAGCAATTGCTATCACCCACATCCTGTACCTACACCATCTAAATACTTCCCAAACCATTAGACTTTTACTGACAATAATGATTAGGGTGGAAAAATCAAGCATTGCTAATCGTGGGGAATGGCTCTGGTCATCCATCACAGCGAAAAATGTAATATCCATGCTGTAGGCCCTGTAGCACTTCTCAACTATCCAGTAACTTCTGGTCATAACTGAGCAACAAGTTCAGTATTTTCAGGTTCCTACATTTAGCGCAAATTTTTTACACCAAGCTCAAACTAAAGATGTTTCATCGACAGAGTGACTTAAACTCAATCCTCTTCTACTGCCATTTCTTGATTTAAATCAGTCACATGCTGAAGTTCAACAGGATGGCCTCATCCAGTGGTCTCCTATACAATCACCGAGGAAGCAAGGAATCCATATTAACAAAATTAGTATGAAACAGATAACAAAGTACAGCACATAACCACATCTTGACATCTAATATCAGAGGAATAAAGTGCGAACTTTCTGCTCCAATGCATCATCAATAAAGAACAATGAAACACAAGAAACCTACATAAATCCCAAAAAAGAAACAAGACTAAAAGACCCACCTCGTGAAATATCACACTATCCCCAACTTGCAAACTTTGATCATTTGGCTCGGGCTTTGGTGCAGCTAATGCACTAGTAGCATCATCTTCCTCCTCACAAAGCTGCAACAACCTGCATATATCTGATGAGAACGACCCAAGACTTCCACCCTACAATTGCACAAAGATCATAGTTCAAATGCCAACTCTTAATAAAAACATGTGTCACAAACTTATGCATTCTAATTACAATAAGCACACAGCCTATAAACATATTTTCACATACACACATGACACATGTAAAGATATAGTAATATACATGTGCTCAAAATGGGATTAAAATATTCGATTCTAACTTGTTGCAAAGAAGTAGCTGGAGAGGGTTCATTGAGCTCTGCTTTCCATTCTCGAAGCATCTGGTGAACTTGCTCCTCGAGGACGGCCACATCAATACTGCGGCTCTCCTTCCTTGCAAACTGCAGATCTATGAACATACCCTGCAGATCATCCACTCGGTTCTTTGCCTTGTCCTTGAAGAGCTTATGAGATACTGACTTGCAATTGATCTTTGAACCCTTCCCCATTTCAACCACAAACCTCCCTTTCACCCTCTATAAACCCTGCAAATATAGAACCAAATTTCAGTACAATTACCACAAAAAAAAAAAAAGAGCTTGACCATATAAGTAGAAATTTAAACGAATGAAAAAATGAATCAGAGAAATGAAAGAATCAGCACAATAGACCTTCAAAAAGAAAATCCAAATGTCTAAAAAACCTTAAAAGAAGCATAAGAACTTAACAGAACAACTGAAACTAAGATAAAATATACTACAATAACACGAATTTTTCAGCAGTTCAACTTAAAAATAATCAATTAAAGACGATCAACAACAAATCAACAAATCAGTACAACTCATATATTCACTCAAATTTACTTTTTTTCCTCCTGAAAATAATCACTCAAAATTACATAAACAAACGCAATTGCAAAATAGGAAATTGAGATTCAAAAAAAAATCCACCAGATAGGGATGCTAAATTTTTACCTAATTTAGTCTAAGATAAATTGTGCATCCTTAGAAAAAATAAAAAAAATAAATAAAAAAAGACTCGACTTTAGAACTTACAGAGGTTTCTACTTTCAATCTCAAGCTCCAAAGAGAGAGATAGAGCGAAGGAAAGTGCGGCGAGATTGCAAGTAGAGAAATAAAGTAAATATTCGAGAACCAAAAAGCAGAGATGCCTGTTACCTCTCAAAGCTTTTCTTTTCTTTTCTTTTCATATTTTTTTTAATTTCTAATTTCCAAACAGTACTTTCTTTTTGGTAAAAAGAAAAATCGAAAAAAATAAAAATAAAAATAAAAATTGAGATACAGAGACTGTTGAGTGTTTTATTACGGTTCAGGCACGCCGGGCGTTCTATCTTACCGACTTAATGAGAGAGAGTTCTTTTTTTCGGAAATTCCTTTAAATTCCTCTCTCTCTTCTCCGCTGTGCTGTTCTCTCAGCGTAAGCAATTGTGTATGTGTACGCGGCAAAAGCTAATAGGTGGAAATTATAGTGGGAATATTTTTCTTTTACCATTTGCCCTCTCTTTTCATATATATTACTTGCAGTTACAATCTTTGTTCTGTATTTAGTCGATTAGGCCCGAAGTTGCAATCAAGCCCAAGCAGCAAGATTCACGCCCGTTTAACGTGATTGTTTTTTTTTTTTTTTTTTTTTTTAAATGTTCTAAATTTCCCAAACAGTACTAATTCTTTTTGGTAAAAAGAAAAATCGAGACAAAAATAAAAATATAAAAATAAAAAATTGGTAGATATCATGAACTGTTGAGTGGTTTATTTAACGGTTCAGATGCACGCCGGGGCGTTTCTATTCTTACCGACTTAATGAGAGAGAGTTCTTTTTTTCGGAAAATGAATTCCTTTAAATTCCTCCTCTCTCCTTCTCCGCTGGTGCTGTTCTCTCCGCGTAAGCAATTGGTGTATGTGTTACGCGGCAAAAGGCTACATAAGGTGGAATTATAGTGGGAATGATTTTTCTTTTAATCCCATTTGCCCTCTCTTTTCATATATTTGACTTGGCAGTTACAACTTTGTTCTGTATTTGTCGAATTAAGGCCGAAGTGTGCAATCAAAGCCCATAGCAAAGCAAGATTCACGCCGTTTTTCAACGTGATTGTTTTTTTTTTTTTTTTTTTTTTCTTTTTCCGTTTTTTTGTTTTAAAGATTTCTGTTCTTCACAATTTTAAGTAAATGGAACCTTAGCAAATAGTTTCCAATCTATAACTGGATTCATTGCTATGAAAAACAAACGAGAATTTTCTAGTCCCAAACACAAAAATGAATAGACTGTGTCAAAAATACTTCCGGTGCTTCATTGAAAAAGTGACAATTAAAAAAAAAATAAAATTGTTTTGGAAACATACTTCATTTGAATATTGTAAAAAATTTTTACTTATAAATCGGCAACTAAAAGAGTCTTAATAAATTTTAATGTATTAAATAAATGTATTCTTGCCTATCTATAAAAAGTGAGTTCCGTTTCACCTATTACAAGTGCCACTTCAAAATTGTAAATAAGAATTAAAAAAAAATAGTTATAATAACTTCAAATTTATATAAAAAAAATTATGTTCATCCTCTTCTTTTTCATATTGTTTGTTGTTTTTTTTTTTTTTTTATTTTTCTTAAACATGGGTTTTTTTTTTTTTTTTTTTTTTTTCTTTTTCCTTTTTTGTTTTAAGATTTTGTTCTTTTCACATTTAAGTAAATGGAAGCAAATAGTTCAATCTATACTTGATTCATGCAATGAAAAACAACGAGAAATTTTCAGTCCCACACAAAAATAATAGACTGTGGTCAAAAATACTTCCGTGCTTCATTGAAAGTGACAATTTAAAAAAAAAAATTTTTTTGGACCTACTTCATTTGATATTTTAAAAAATTTTACTTATAAAAACTAAAAGAGTTTAAATTTTATGTATAAATAAATGTATTCTTCCTATCTCATAAAAGTGAGTTCCGTTTCTATTAAAAGTGACTTCAAATTGTATAAGAATTAAAAAAATATTAAAAACTTCAATTTATATAAAAAAAATTTATTTCATCCTCTCTTTTTCCTTATTTTTGTTGTTTTTTTTTTTTTTTTATTTTCTTAACATGGTATGTACAACTTTGGCCAATCCACTACGTGTTTACCATAAACGTTCACAGAAAAATAAAATAATAAATAAAATGAGGGGAAGAAGAAACAATCATAGCATTCCTCAACAAGTCCTTGTCGAAGAATTGCCCAAGAAATGGTATTGGGCCTCGCTGAGATGACTTTTATCAATATCTTTTTGAGCACATAACAATATCCAGTAGCACAACAAAATGACAATTGATAGGCACAAAATTCAACATTGACAATTTTGACAAGCCAAACTTTATTAGTCAGTTATACCACAAACACAAAGTCACAAAGCAACCACCACAGCCCTAAGGATTATTTATTTATTTATTTACAAAGAAAATCTTGAGTTTAATTTTTGAGATGATGAGAAGGAGAGAGTAGTAGACTAAGAAAGGCATAAAGGGCAAGTCTCCACTATCACCCATGAGATTCCTATCTTGATGCCTGTTCGAGATTGGAGAACTTTAGGTAGGTGCTGCCACAATTTCACACTACTTTGTAATCGACAATTGTAGACAGCCAGCATCTTATATGGCTTAGGTCGGTCCAATGCTTGAAGATAGCTTAATCCAAAATGAAATTATAAGAAATGCATAGTCTCTAACTTGATCAGTGATTTAGGGTCTAATTAAAGATGAAGCATATAGATAATCACAAGTTAAAGTGATCTACATACGTGGATCACTTAGAAATGGTTAGATTTAGCTAAAACCCTAAAGAGGAAAGTAGAACAGATTTCTGTCTTAAAACAAAAGAAAGGAAAAAGGATCGATTTATAAACAAAAGAGCCTTTAATCCTGTTTTATCCTAAAAAATGGGGACAAGATGACAATCGTTTCTGCTATAAAGTCCTGAAGTGTCCCTTTAGCTCATAAGCGTAAACTTTTATTTAGGGGGAAAAGAGGAAGAAAAATAGGTCAAAACCGAGTAAAAGAAAAAAATCTGTGTTCTTGCATTTTCACATGCTACATTTGCTAAACTTGTCATCCTAAAAGAGAAGTTTCAGCAAATGTCCAACTCCCACAAGAAAAGGATTAGAATTAATTCCTTTTCATCCAATTGGAACATCAAAGATTCAAATCCAACATACACAGAAGAGGTGTTTCTGTTGCAATGTATTTACTCCTAACCCAAACAACAACAACTTTGGTAAAAGAGTTTGAAACGAGATTCAATAATAAAATGAGCAAATTCATAAAGCTACGCCATAAAGGAAAACTTGGGATGAGAATGCATGTTTGTTTGTACAAGCATGTATATCTGAGAGAGACAAAAGATCAAGAGACAGCACAGATAATAAGGGAAAGTACATTGGTCAAGAAAAATGAGTTCACATGAAGAAAGTTAGATTTTATCGTCAGATCACAACCTAGAAACATTTTATACATGTGAAATACTGCACATTTCAACAATTAAGCTTCCATCAGGATGATGATACTTGGCATTAACATTTTTCTTTCACAGGTAGAATGCATACCTCAATCGATAATCATCTATACATGACTTACTTTCATCTTATTCCTACAAACAGAACGTTAGTTGAATAATAAATTTTATGAATGAAGCTGTTGAAGCCAGAATTCAATCTGAGAACGAACTCAAAAAGAATCAAAGGAAAGAAAAACTTCATATTTGGTGAAATTGAGCTCTTTGATGAATAATAAATTTTATTCTGTTCTATTGACAAATTGCATGGCTATGTTATGATGGTTTTTCCACCTTTCCTGCTTCTGCAGTAGCATGTTTCAAGTTGAAAATACCACCAAGACCTCGTCCCTTGGCAAGCTGCTCAATTTCTTCAAGTTTGCGTCTGAGAGTTTCAACTTCTTTTTCTAGTTTTTCGTCTCTTTGCCTCATTTCCTAAAAACATGTGATTTATGGGATCCATGAGGAATATTTAATAAATGAATGGTAAATAACTTATAAATATGCAAAGAGTGGTAGTTACTGGAAGGTGTAATTCGGACCAACAAGCCTCACCATGAAAAAGAAGTCATCAAAACAATTTCTAGACCACTGTAAAGCCACTTTCTTTTTCTCATTAACAGTCAAGTATACATATATTCCTTTTGAAAAAAAGAAGATCCAACTCTTGCATCTATTAAGACAAGTATAGTTATAAGAGGCAAGAATGCACAGAGGTAAAAGTGCCCAGCCAGCAACCACTTTTTCTGTGTTGGGGTAAGATATAGCCATGTTAGGCGTAGAGCAGGAAACAACAACCAGAAAAAAGAAAAGTCATACCTAAGTTATTAAATTTATGATTACATTAGCTGCCAGTGGTACAGTTCTTTTTCATAATAATTGATTACCGAAGTGACCTTCACAGCACTCATTAGTCATTACTGCTCTATAAAGTTGCCAGGCTGCCAGCGTGGTTACCACCAAGCGCAACTTAATAGAATGAGAAGTGAGGAAACAAAAATATTTTGTACTGGTGATCTCTCGTCATTTTGAAGATATAACTGCCCCAAGTCCAAGTACCATTTCATAGATTGAAATGTGAAGCAATAGAATTATGCATGCTCCTGAATCCTGATGTCTCATCTTAGGGGTTAAAAGAAAAACCAACAGAAGACCCTGCAACAGGGTGGAAAAATAAAGCCAAAAGACCTGCAGCTTAGCCCCCCTTCTTATATATCATTAGTAATAAATTCTAAATCAAAAACACTTTATTTACAGGACCCGTTTCTAGAACAGATCCATATCTACCCCTAGTTTGTCAAACTACTTCCATATGAAGATGTGCCCAAGCTTAAAAAAAAAAAAAAAAATCTAGACACTACTATCACAGACATAAAGGACACCTCCACCATTTAGCATGTCAATGCTTCCTTAAGGAAGCATTTAAAGTTAGTAACAAGAAAAGAAATTGCCCGTTACCTCCAATTCACGGCGACGAGTTTCCTCCTTTCTGGCTTCTGATTTAGCACTTCTTTGCACCTCAAAGATCACAACAGCTCCTGCCACCTATACATGTAGAAGAAAGAGGCACTTCAGTCACTGTAGAACAGATTTCTTTTGAGTACAGTTGACACGAAAAAACATGCTTACTCCTCACTTTCTTGTTCATGTATGAAACACATAAGCATATAGATGATGCATCAAACTCATTGTTGCATATATCCCACCTATAAAAGGCCCTAATATTGTAGAATAATTGTTATTGCAAGTTGTAGGCAGTCAACAATACTACATTTGTGCTTTTGTTGCGTTTCATTGCTATCATCATCCTAATGATGTTAGACCAAGGAAATTTCAGCTGAAACAAAGAGTATACTCTTTGATATACTATGCCTTCGTAATCTCTTTTTCTTTTCCCTATGAAGGTATTCACATTCCATTTAGTAAAAACAGTGAGCTCCAATTTAAACAATGTACTTCTGGATTTGGAACCTCAGGAGTCCATGTTGCAAGCTGAACTAATATTCTCTAGCTCAAAACTTCACGTATTGCTGTACAAAATATCTTCTTATTGGTCCAACTGTGAAAAAATAAAAAAAAAAAAGGTTCGAGATAGAACTAAAAAAAGGGATAGCTATTTTGGAATTCTATCCCATAGATCAATTAAACTCAAGGAGCAATTACCAATTTTCTGGTCTAACTTAATGATACTAGAAATGGTAGCTTTCGCGCCCTTCTTGCCTGCTGAAATTGATTAGATGAGCATGACGTGACAGCTCTTCAAATCCTATTTGGTCTATAGGCTCACCTCTATAGAAGATTCCAAGCCAGACATCAGTCTTTCACCACAAATGACAATGTGAAGCCCAATTCAAAGTTCATCCACACTAAGGCTAAACAATGTTATGAGGAATTAAGCCCTTTGAAGAGTAATTAAATGTCACAATCTAAAATCAGTTGTATTTTTGCTTCATATTAATTTCTTATATTCTAAAATTCCACAGGATTACTTATTTATTAGTTATTACTTAAAGATACTTTACTTTTGCACACGTTAACTCTAGTTTACTCACCTATTCCATTCAGTCTAGTAAAATGCTCAATGCTCCGATTTTACTTAGCAGTCTCGTGTTTCTTTCTGCAACTATATTCGGCAGACGAAAGGGATAACACATTTATCGCCTACATCAACTAGCATATAACAGAGAAATGCACAGAAACACACAGGAAACACACTGAAAGAACACAAGTTATGCAGGCACAAATTACATGATAAAAAAGGGCAAGCAAATAGTTTCCTCCCGCTCATCATAAAGTCAGTCAAATCAAATAGAAAAGAAAATAGAAAAAAGCGAATTACCGTGAAAACAAAGAGTTCTCCAATGAGATCAACAGCAGCCTGGACGGCTTTCTCTTCATTCAAAGGGCGTATCTCGACATCCGTCGCATGACTATAGAGTCGCCTTTGCATTGTCGTCGTTAATCTGTGGTTTGCCTGATTCCAATAATCACAGCATTACTGGTGATTAGAGATTAACCTTTTATATTTTAAATTAATTCACGAATCGAACTGGCAAAATGTGATCAATGGAAATGTAGATATAACTACCTGAGCGAAATTGACGATGAACTGACGGAACTTAGGGTGATAAGCGGCCTGTTGCTTGAGCTTACTAGCGAGTGGTTTGCTTAGCGTTTTAACGGCTAATGTTCCGAGCTTCAACAGCGGAAGCACCATAATAACCTTTTTCCTGAAGAATTTGAGATCTGATTCTGCGATTTTAGGTAGTGACTGGAGCGAACAACAAATCGGCCTTGACAGTGGATCGCATCGAAGAAATTAACAGTTATAATGGCGCGTTTTCAAGAATATGTTCCTTGATGAAAAAGAAAAAATGTCTGCTACTACCCCAAACAACAAAAGTCCGGTCTGCGTGAAATGTTTTTTTTTTTTCTCTCTCTGTCATCGGTCAACAATAAATAAAAATGGTTAGTTTGTTCATTGATGATAATCTGAATATTATTTGCAACTCGGCCTCTTAACTTAACAACCATCGGCTCAGAGACTTCTGGCCCTAAATTATACTCAGTGAAGTGATTATTACAATAAAAATATTTTTCTAATATCCTTTGCAACTTGTTTTTATAGAATAATGTAAAATAAAAAAAGTATTCATATTAGATATTTCTCCTTTAATTATTTTCTTTCCCATCTTTACGAACAAAGCATTAAATATGATACTATTAATCAATTAACTCAATGACTACAATTGTCAATATTCAAAGAAAATAAAAAAGGGAAGGCAGAAGAATAAGCCCGTCCAGTCCGGCCCATCCTGGCCCATCCCAGCCCAGCCCAATATTTGTCTGGCACTATTTCAGACATCTAACAATTTTTAGGACGAAAGAGAAATGGTTATGGGTTATGATGGTAATATAAACTCGATTTTAATAGCAAAAAAGGAGCCCATTAAAGATCTTGTAGCCTATAACCTTTTAATGGGCTTTCTCTGCAATCGGCTCCATACGATGCTGAATTTTCATTTCCCGCTTTTAATAGCGCTCAAATTTTTAACGTAATGCAAATTTGCAGTACGCCATGTCATCGATCCGCAACAATATACTCAAATGCAATCATGACCGTCCATAATAACAAAGGAACCGCCATAATCCATGATTCCCCGCGCCACTATTTTTTGAAACCCCTCGAATCTACTTTACCATGTCATCGATCCACCTTGGAATCAATGCCCACCGTAGATAACCCCATATGATCCAGTGGTCACGAAATGTCCTCTCCTCCGTATAAATTGAACCCAATTCCTCTAGGCGAATCTCATCACATCAATTCCAAACCAGAGTTCTAAGTATCAATCCATTCCTTCCCTCCCAAGAGATTTAATTGCCATGGCCCGAACTAAACAAACAGCTAGAAAGTCCACTGGAGGAAAAGCACCAAGAAAGCAGCTTGCAACCAAAGCGGCCAGAAAGTCTGCCCCAGCGACAGGCGGAGTCAAGAAACCGCACAGGTTCAGACCCGGAACCGTCGCACTTCGTGAGATCCGAAAGTACCAGAAGAGTACTGAGCTTCTGATCAGAAAGCTTCCCTTCCAGCGCTTGGTTCGCGAAATCGCTCAAGACTTCAAGACCGATCTGAGATTTCAGAGCTCAGCCGTGGCGGCTCTTCAAGAGGCTGCGGAGGCTTACCTTGTTGGACTTTTTGAGGATACAAATCTTTGTGCTATTCATGCCAAGAGAGTTACTATTATGCCGAAGGATATTCAGCTCGCGAGGAGAATTAGAGGCGAGCGTGCTTAAGGGTGGTGACTGTGTAGTATTGTCTATTGGCTACTGTCTTTATTTTTAGTTTAGTTGGTACTTTAGGTTTATGGCCTTTCTTTTATGTGAATGAAATCTGATATTTTTCCATTGTAGTTTCTCCACTTGATTCAGTATTTGCTTATGTTTTTGACTTTTTAGTAATTGGTTCATAGACAAGTTAATTAGTGTGATTGAATTGTTCTATTTCTTTTGCCGCTGGAAATTGATTGGCCCTAGTTTGAAACTGAAATTCTAATCAGCTCTTTAACAGTTATTGGTTTTCCCATATTCTAAATCTGGGGAACAGAATTTGCTGCGTTTTGTGCATTGCTTAATGTGTTTTAGCAATCCTGATTTGGTGCAACCATTTAGCTATGAAGTCCCCAAAATACTTGGTCAGTATGGTGCACTGGACTTGTTCCAGTGGAGCAATTATGGCCGTTGTGTGATGGGGCCAATTTTTTTGAAGGTTTGGATTACTTGATTGATGTAGATTTGTGTGCGTTCGATCGCCTTTAATCCTTCATTTGCTTGCTACTCTTATTACTTAATTCAGGCTTAGTCTAGCACATGCAGGCAACACAATTGTTATAATATAATCCCATTGATTTGAGTCTGAATTTCAAAATGAAGGGCTCGATGCTCTGCCACAAGATGTAGAAACAGAGGATACTCGAGAGAAGTACCTAATTTGATCCGGAGAATAAATTGCATTTGCTGCGAACTGCAATAGAGATCCCGAACTTCGATCTAAAGTTATCGAGACTACATGTTTGGTCCAATTAACTATATGGAGGCTGATGTGGATATACCCGTATTTACCATGTGTAATTCTGATGATATGGCTCTATGTGATGTGTAATCCATTTCTGACGTGTCCTATGATTACATGGTAAGTGCCGTGATGTTTTCTGTTCCGGCTTTTGGAAAAGTAGGCTGCCTGCAAGTACAACTACTATTTTACAACCGTAAACGGCTATGTTACCTAAAACAGAACATGATCAGAAGTAGCTGTTGATGAGGCGGTAGCAAGGAAATTAACTTACAGAAAGGCATGAATTTGAGCACCAAAAAATGAGATTAGATACGTAGAGAATATCGGATGGATAAGATTATTGATTATTATTCTTCGCGTTTCTTCGTTTTACTAGTTGCTATAAGCCTGTCACCTACCAACCGTAGAAAAGAATGGATAAAGCAAGTTGCACATAACAACCGCGAAAAAGGACAGAGCAAGTTATCCAAGCCATTGAATGTTGGTTAGAAAAGTCTTATGGTGAGCAAAGATTTTCGATTAGTCAAAGGCCAACGTCCTTGTATAAGTTGTCTATCTTTAGGGCCGTCTCTTTTCTCAGACCTCATTTGTTTCCACCAAAAGAGACGTGTTCTTTCCATTTCATCGATCTCTAAGGATAGAGGGAACTGAAAGTTATGGATTCTACTCATAGCCAGAAAGCGAGTGAAATTTTGCAAGCCCAAGTTCATTTGATTAATCATATGCTTAACTACATGAATTCCATGGCACTTAAGTGTGCAGTTCAGCTAGGCATACCGGACATACTTCACAGCCATGGCAAACCCATCACCCTTCCTGAGTTATTGTCAGCTCTTCACATCCCTCCAACCAAACTGAGTAATATGTACCGGCTCATGCGAATGCTGGTATTCTCAGGCTTCTTTTCTACTACTAAGGTTCTTAATGGTCAAGGAGATGGACAAGAAGCTTATGTTCTAACACCATCTTCTAGGCTTCTTGTTAAGGGTAACCCTAATTGCTTGGCACCCTTTGTTAATTCATTGCTTAAGGCGGAATTTGTATCTCCAGGGCATCTTTTGGGAGATTGGTTTCAAGGAAATGAGCTCACCGTGTTTGAAAAGGCACATGGAATGGCATTTTGGGAATATAATGAAAGAAAACCTGAATTTAACCAGCTTTTTAATGAAGCAATGGCTTGTGATTCTCGGATGATGAACTTGGTCATTAGAGACTGCAAGCAAATTTTTGAAGGAGTAAATTCACTGGTTGATGTGGGAGGCGGAAATGGATCGCTTGCGAGGATCATATCCGAGGCATTCCCTGATATGAAATGCACTGTCCTTGATCTTCCACAAGTTATTGCTAACTTAGAAGGCACTAAGAACTTGAGTTATGTTGGAGGTGATATGTTTAAGCATATCCCTTCAGGAGACTGCATCATACTTAAGGTATGCTTCTCTCTGCCCTCAAGAATTAAGTTTCCCATCTTAATTGTTTCTACGAGCTGGTTTCCTGTATACGTTCCATATAGAATTAATTTGTTTCTTAATTCACTCCTCTTTCTCTATTTGTTTTAAGACCAGGCATTTATTTATGAATTTTGCATACTTTCTTTCCATTCCCTTTTGCCTTTTTCACTAACCGAAAGTTCTTTATATTAGTATCAGTCATTTGATCTAAGCAAACAATTTTCTGCCATTTCTATAACTTGACAAAAAGAACATACAGCAGCTTATTTCTGATACCCATTTTGATAACTTTTATACTTTATATTGGACATGTAGTTAGCTATAACGACATGTGACTGTTGGACAACGTTTTCTGTTAATTGATGTGAAAGTGATTGTTCCTCAGTTAATTTTGCATGGTTGGAGTGATGATGAATGCTTGACAATATTGAAGAAATGCAAAGAAGCAATTTCAAGCAAAGGGAAGGGAGGAAAGTTGGTCGTTATAGATTTGGTGATCAATGAGAAGAAAGATGAGCCTGAATTAACTGAAACAAAGCTCCTTTTTGACATGCTGATGATGTCTGTGACTTGTGGAAGAGAGAGAACCGAGAGAGAATGGGAAGGACTATTCTTGAAGGCCGGTTTCAGTCACTTCAAGATAACACCCTTGCTTGGTTTAAGGTCCCTGATTGAGGTTTATCCTTGAGACTGAAGTAAAGTTTAGTAATCTTAATATGAATGTTGAAAAAAAAAAAAATTATCCTCTGTAAGGCAAGACATGACTATGATTTCATAAGCCAAATTGCCAAATTGCCAAATTTGTATGCTTGTTGAATTTTCTTCTTCTTAACCATTAAGCATAAACTAATGGTTCAGAGTGTATTGTCTTGGATTCAGAATTAATAATTGTATTCTAACATATACCAATATTGGTTTTTTTTTTTTTTTTTTTTGGACTATATTCTTGAAGGCCGGTTCAGTCACTTCATAGATTATCACACCCTTGCTTGTAAGTCCCCTGATGAGGTATCCTTGAGACTGAAGTAAGTTTAAGTAAATCTAAAATATGATGTTGAAAAAAAAAAAATTATCGCTCTGTAGGCAAGAACATGACCTAGTGATTTCATAAGCCAAATTGCCAAATTGCCAAATTTGTAAATGCTTGTTGGAATTTTCTTCTTTTCTTAACCATAAGCATAAACTAATGGTTCAGAGTGTATTGTCTTGGATTTCAGAATAATAAATTGGTATTCAACATATACCAATATTGTTTTTTTTTTTTTTTTTTTTTTTTTTATCAGCAAAATGAATTTATTTTATTAAAAATTCAAGAAAAACTTATCAAACTCCAGCAATAATCCTAAGTCAATAGACTTCCTCAAAACACCCCTTAATTTCCATTCAAGATTACCTGCATAACCATTTAAGACGCAGAAATTAATGGCAAACATTTCTCTAGCAATAATTTCTGTTGAAGAAAACGAGGTGAAAACGGGCACAACATCACATGTCTTTCTTTATTTGATATCTTTAGGTTAGCTTAAAGGAAACAACCTCTATGGAGGAAAAGAAAGAAAAGAAAGAAAGAAAAAGGCCATGACAGTTGACTTGGTCAAGAGTTTTAGTCGTGGAAACAACCTTTTACTGAAAAAACAGCGGTCACAAGGAACCTTCAATTTGATTTTTCTGCTTTACTTGGACTATTTCTTCCTGGCATTTAAGCATGGTTCATGTGACTTGGAATTCCAAACTGCAATGTGTCTCTGCAGTCAAGTAATGCTGCTTCAAGAAATCAACTATATGAACATTTTGTAATAACTTCCAACAGCAAAAGAGTAAGAAACATGCTTTGTAAATTATTGCAATCTCTTGTCAGCTGCAAGTTAGGTGGATGTTTATTGGTTTCTTTCTTCAACATTTTCTCCCTGTCAATGTTAGTTTTCTTCTAATCAGATTATATAAAAGAAGTTGTTCAAGCCAATTCAACAGGTGCGACCGTGACCAAGGGAATAAACATATTCTTGCCCAACCATTCTGCTTTCTTAAGTCAGGCACACGTCATTTTCAAAGAATCACTTACTCCAGAATAACGAAACCTCTCAATTTTAATTCAAAATCTTTCTTTTGATCAGTCAGCACAAAAGAAGTATTCATTTTCCAATGGCGGTCAGAATTTCTAATGCAAGGAAACTTCCTCGTTAACCATCAAATAATAGATGTGCAGTTCAAGATTGTACTATAAAAACAGAAACTGCAAAGCCCTTTTTTTAAGCTAATAAGGTTGAGAGTGGAGAAAATACCAATAGAACATGGAATTAGATCAAGAGCTTGAAGCTAATGAGTTGTTTCAAGCTCAGTGTCACATATATAAACACATGTACCACTATATGGAATCCATGTCACTGAAATGTGTTGTTCATTTAGGAATTCCTGACATAATCCACAAATATAAGCGACCTGTTACCCTTCCAGAGTTAGTTTCAGCACTGCAAATTCCACCAACAAAAGAAAATTGTCTGCAGCGTGTTATGCGCATACTAGTCCACTCTGGCTTCTTTGCTGCGAAAAAAATCCATGATAATCAAGAAGAAGGTTATGTTCTCACACCTTCTTCCAGTCTCTTGCTCAAAGAAAGCCCTACCAGCTTATCAACATTTGTTGTAGCAATGGTAGATCCTGCACTGATAACTCCATGGTTTTCCCTTGCTGAGAATTTCAAAGGGAATGAACTCACACCGTTTGAAACTTGTCATGGAAATAATTTTTGGGATTATGGGAAGAAAAATCCTGAATTTATCAGTTCCTTGAACGAGGCCATGGCATGTGATTCTCGATTAGTGAGCTTGATTGTTAAGGAACATAAAGAAATGTTCAAGGGAGTTGCTTCTTTGGTTGATGTAGGCGGTGGGACAGGAACTCTAGCGAGGTCAATTGCTGATGCATATCCTGATATGAAGTGCACAGTCTTGGATCTCCCACAAGTTGTTGCAAACTTACCAGAGAGTAAAAACTTGAAATTTGTTGCGGGTGACATGTTTCGATCTGTTCCTTCTGCACAGGCAGTTATGATAAAGGTAATATATCTCCATTTGTGTTTTTATTATTGGAAAAAAAACTGTAAGACTATATAAATAAGCTCTCTTTTGCAGTCTGTTCTGCATAACTGGAGTGATCAAGCCTGCATAAAGATTTTGAAGCTGTGCAGGGAATCTATTCCAAATAAAGATGAGGGAGGAAAAGTGATAATTATAGAAATGGTGATTAATGAAAAGAAAGATGAATATCAACTGGCAGAAACAAAGCTATTTGCTGACATGCAAATGATGCTTTTATGTCCCGGAGGAAGAGAGAGAAACGAGCAAGAATGGGCAAGACTGTTCTTGGAGGCTGGATTTAATCACTACAAAATAACTAATACCTGTGGATTAAATTCTATAATTGAGGCTTATCCATAGATGAATTGCATTCCAGTCTAAAGCAATTGCAGATTGTTAAAAGGGCTATTCATGTAATTTTCTTGTTTTTTTTTTCCGGTTTCAATGTGATTGCTGAGAAAATCACATTCATCTTGTTCCTAATGTCATTAAGCAACTTACTATGGTTGTCTGATTTTACTCTCACTATCATCGCATCAGCTTCTTTCTCCTTTACTCAGAAATGTAAATGTTATTATATAAGACGACATTGCGTTTACGTCATGTGATACGTCAAGAAAAGAACAATTCCTCGACACAGATAAACACTTGGTGTTCAATTGAATTCCCCAACTTCAGAATATTAACTTTGTATTAGGTAAGTAGTAGGATTATATAATGTCACTCTTTCCTTATCACATAGAATTGCCAGCAAAGATTTGCATTTATCAACTTGCAAGTAAAGAAAATATAAAAAATCCCAATTGCAAACTCAATGCTCTTATTATTCTCAATCATTCATAAAACCATACAAATCCCAATTGCGTCATAAATAAAATAATACACGTTTTCTCCACAATCGCATCCATTAATAAATTAAGCATAAACCTTAAAGTGAGTTCTTCTTCTGTAGGAACTCAGATACAATACAAAAGTTCAAGACCTTAAAAACCTCTTAAAAAACTCCATTGCAGTTGCATTAAACAACAAATAAAGTTAAAAAAGAAAATGGGTTTCGACAAGGAGTATCTTGATCTAGTGTTGGTCCCTAGTGGGGCATTGATCCTTTTTGCATATCATGTGTTCCTTCTTTACAAACACCGAATTGATGCTGACTCTACTGCTATTGGCCTAGAGAACAGGGACAAGAAAGAATGGGTTCAGAGTGTTGTGGTGGGCAAAATTGTTTCCTAACTGAAAAAAAAAAATTGTTTGGCTTTGATTTTGCTTATCTATATCAGTTAATGTTTGCAGGGTGACTCAGACGCTTATGACAGAGCTATAAATGTTATCTCAAGCAACACAACAGCAGCAACGTACTTGGCTATGGTCTCTTTAACTCTCTGCTCAGTTATGGGAACTTGGCTTATTGGAAACACTACAATCAGTAATATGTTTCAAAGCAAAAGAATTTATGGCGACACAAGGCCACATACCATTATCATCAAGGACATGATCCTTCTTGTCTGTTTCCTCGTTGCTTTTTCAGGGTTTGTTCAAGCTGCAAGACATTTTGTTCATGCAAACTATCTAATGAGTTCACCAGATAACAAAAATTATGTGAAAAAGCTGGAGTTTGCACTTATAAAAGGAAGCGATTTCTGGTTGTTTGCTCTTAGAGCACTTTATTTCTCTCTTATTGTAGTTTTTTGGTTTTTTGGTCCAATACCCATGTTTGTCTCCTCCATTCTCATGGTTCTAATCTTGTATTACCATGACATTTATACTGTTACATTGCGTAACAAGTATATTGAGCCAAATGGTCAAGAGGGTTCAAAGCTGATTTAGCTATTGAGAACAATTTCCGATGAAGGTTTGCTCAAGATGACAAATTTTGCTCATTTCATGTCTTTTGTAATTACATATTCAAGATAAGTTGATCATTATTTATTATTAAATTAATACTAAATTATTCCCCACCTACTCCATTTATATGAACTGCAAATAAATTAAAGATCGCAAGTTGTCATTGCTGTCCAACTAAAGCAACCCAAATTTCCATAAAAAAATGACACTAACAAAACCTCTTTTAGAATGAATTTATAATATTATGAAGCCAGAATTCAAGAACCCACTATTCTTGACTACTTAAAAGGTGAATTTAGCAAAGAAAGAAAATCATGGCCTTCCAAAAAGAATACCTTGATTTGATATTGGTGCCTAGTGGTTTGTTAATCGTGTTTGCTTACCATCTGTTCCTTCTTTACAGATACCTTAATCTCCCTCACACCACAGTCATGGGCTTTGAAAACAATGACAAAAGAGCTTGGGTGGAGAGAATTATGCAGGCCAGTGTCTTTCTGTTCTCTTTTTTTTTTCTTGGAATATATATACAAATTTTAATTGTAATAACATATATATAACTTGGTATTTGACTTGCAGGCAGATAAAAGAGATATTGGTATGGCTCTAACAGTGATAACTTCAAATACATCAGCAGCAACTTTTCTAGCTTCAATTTCTTTAACTTTCAGTTCACTGATAGGAGCTTGGCTGGGAAACTCCTCTAATAGCGTTTTCCAAAGTGAATTAATTTATGGTGATACAAGATCATTCACTATTTCGATTAAGTACATAAGCCTTCTCACTTGTTTTCTTTTAGCTTTTTCGTTCTTTATTCAATCTGCAAGGCATTTTGTGCATGCTAACTATCTAATAAGCACACCAGACAGTGACATACCTGTGAAAAATGTTGAGGTGGCTGTCATAAGAGGAAGTGATTTTTGGTCACTTGGACTCAGAGCATTATATTTTGCTCTTAATTTGTTACTTTGGTTTTTTGGTCCCATACCCATGTTTATTTCTTCTATTATTATAGTCATTGTCCTCCATTACCTTGATACCAATTCGACTCCCTTGCACCGGCATAGGTTTCCGGCGAGCCAGATTATCAAAAGGGCTGGTGATAGATTAACTGAGGTAGCTGTTGACACTCAGCATCTTGTATAAAGTTAATAATTAATTCATTTAAGTTGTAATTTTTAAATATAATCTTAAGGTGGTTCAATTGTTCAAGTTAGAACCAAATCCACTACTAGTCAATTCAAATGTATATATGGATATACCATGAATTTAATTTGGTAACCAATTTAATTATATTGACATTGGTGAACCTTATGCCCAATCTATTGTTCATAATCAGCTTGCACTTAAGAATCAGAATCCAACTGGCCTCTCTTACTAAGGGTTTCCCAAACCGTTGATCATCCTAATCCTAAATTTAGGGCATGATCGAGAAGATTAGCATGTGTTAACTGTTATCTGTTTTAACAGTGTTTATATGTACCTGTTTGAGTAATTCTTCATAAAACATTATATTACGGTGATTAACTTTTTTATAAAAGGTCATTTTCAAAAAAAACAAAATGTAAAAAATTATTTTAACTTCTAAAAATTAGTCCAAACTTTATATTACCGAACAGTATCAAAAATATTAAAAACTACCTAAAAAATAGTTGTGTAACACACTTTGGAAGTTTCCTTGAAGCAACCAAAAGCGTGAAAGTGTGCACGATTAACCAAATTCAAGTCAACCTGACTTGATCATATACAGAGTGATCAATAATTATTTTTAGCGGTAATGTGAAGCATTCTTTTAGAAAGACTGCTAGTTTCCAAATAACATACTACTGCCTGATTAAATTTCAATTCTTTGGCAAGAAATTAATAACACTATTGGTAATTTGGCTCTTAAGGATAACGTTTCTAATTAAACTAAAAATTATTTTAATAAATTACTCCCCAATTGTCTAAATCAAAGCTTGCAAGTTGTCGTTGCAGACCTAGTAAAGCAACTCAAAATTTTCATAAACAAATGACACTAACAAATCTTCTTTTAGCAAGAATTTATAATGTACTTAACCAGAATTCAAGAACTCAAAACTCTTGAATTGTTTTGTTATCATTTTAGTCAAGAAAGAAAATCATGGCCTTCCAAAAAGAATACCTTGATTTGATATTGGTTCCTGGTGGTTTGTTAATCATGTTTGCTTATCATCTCTTCCTTCTATACAGATACCTTAATCTCCCCCACACCACAGTCAAAGGCTTCGAAAACAATGACAAAAGAGCTTGGGTTGATAGGATTATGCAGGCGAGTCTCTCTATCTTTATCTTTTTTTTTTTCTTGGAAAATATATATATACAAATTTTAATTTTACTAACATAAATAGATTTTGGTATTTGATTTACAGGCAGATAAAACAGATATTGGTATGGCTCTAACAGTAATATCTACCAATATATCAGCAGCAACTTTTCTAGCTTCAATTTCTTTAACTCTCAGTTCACTTATCGGAGCTTGGCTTGGAAATTCCTCTAATAATGTTTTTGAAAGTGAACTAATTTACGGTGATACAAGACAATCCACCATGTCCATAAAGTACATAAGCCTTCTCACTTGTTTTCTTTTAGCATTTTCATTCTTTGTTCAATCTGCAGGGCATTTTGTGCATGCCAATTATCTAATAAGCACACCAGACAGTGACATACCTGTGAAGAATGTTGAGATGGCTGTTATAAGAGGAGGTGATTTTTGGTCACTTGGTCTTAGAGCATTATATTTTGCTCTTGATTTGTTACTTTGGTTTTTTGGTCCGATACCCATGTTTATTTCTTCTATTATTATGGTCATTATCCTCCATTACCTCGATTACAATTCGACGCCGCTGCACCGGCATAGGTCTCCGGCGAGCCAGACTACGAAAGGGGTTGGTATATAGCTTTAAGTTGTAATTTTAAAATAATAATCTTCAGGTGGTTCAACTGTTCATGTTAGAACCAAATCCTCTACTAGCCCATTCAAAGGTATATAGCATGAATTTAATTTTGTAAGGAACAAAGAAATTCATATAAATTAATGTATTTTTAAAAAGAAATTGATATTTGCTGAGTTGGAAAATATACATATTTGAATTTGCTTGCTTTTTGTCTTTCAGTATATTATTTTGTTTCGGTTATAATCTTTTATTTTATAAATTATTAATTTTTAGATTATAATTTGAACTGTGTCAGGATATTCGAACTTGTAGTGTTTTCTGTCATTGAAGATTAATTTTTTATTTTTATTTTTTATTTTTTTTTGAAGGAGTTTATTATTTAAATTGTGATTGTGGCATTTTCGACATTAAATTTCTCCCAAACAATGGTAGTAAACAATGGGCCATATGGCCCATATCAAATGCATTCATGGACTATGCGATTGGTGTTAGGCCACTTTATATAAACAAGTCCAGAATACGGGTCCACTGGGACGAGTGGTCAAAGCTAATATTGAATGTTTGATTTTTTTTTTTTTAATATTTATTCCATAAATGTAATAATATTTTAATATCAAAAAATCCTAATGAAATTGTTTTTAATTATTTAATCATAAACCACCTGTCAATTGTATTTGATTGTTGATAGCAACTGCTAATAAAAAAGCCTCATAAAATGTATAAATTTGTCATATGTAAACTGAGCTAATTATGGAAAAGAAAATTTGAAAAAAAATGAGAATTTAAAAAAAAAAAAAAAAAATTATTCCATAAATGTAATATATATTTAATATCAAAAAATTCCTAATGAAATTGTTTTAATTATTAATCATAAACCACCTGTCAATTGTATTTGATTGGTTGATAGCAACTGCTAATAAAAAAGCTTCATAAAATGTTATAAATTTGTCATATGTAAACTGAGCTAATTATGGAAAAGAAAATTTGAAAAAAAAACTGAGGAATTAAAAAAAAAAAAAAAAAGCAAGTACATAATAATTTGAAAATTTTTTATCTTTAGGAAAAAGGAAAACACCTGATAAGCGTGTTGATAAATAAAAAAAAAAAAAAAAAAGCAAGTACATAATAATTTGAAAATTTTTTATCTTTTAGAAAAAGGAAACACCTGTAAGCGTGATTAAAGAGCCCGGAAAGAGCTCAGCAAGCTGACACAGTAATTAAAGTTTTGGCCCCTTCGTAGCCGTACGATGACTGACGACTTAACCTTATAAATAGCGGACAGCCTCTGATCGGACAAGGACCGGTCTAGTTCCTTTTGGCAAATCCTACTCTGGGTCCTACTTACATCACCACGTCTTGACACGTGTCCCCGTAAATCTTGGGATGGGAGTACTTTAATCCTATGAAACATTGGAGCAGTTTTCGAGATCAAGTATTAAGTACGTATAAAACACAAATGCGTACAAAATCATGTTACTGTTACCCAAATACGACACCTTCCCGTTCAGCGATGCCTTGAATGGACTTTTTCTTTTTCCTTCTTTTATTTATTTAAATTAAAAAAAAAAAATCATTTCAATTGATAAGCCCAATGGGCTTGGACGCTGGTTCATTCAAAACTCTAACTCTAACTAGAAGCAATCTGTTCCATTCAGGAAGCAGATTGCTGGTCTTTTTGTGGCTATTTATAAGCTTATCCAGAGAAACCAAAAATGTACATTCAGAGAAGATAATCAATGAACAAAAATTATCCTGTCAGCTTGGTCATTACTCATCAAATAAATCAGTATCTTCTACCATTTCACTTCTTTTGATATCTGGTATTTACTATCATGGGAAACTAATATCTAACTTGGGAAATCAGGTTGTAATATTTATATAAAAATGTGTTTAGCATGGAGTAATATTTAGAGTGTGAAGTTTGCAGGCAAACGCGAGTAGCAATATTGAAGAGATAGCCCTCTGATATCATAATATAAGATCAACCGGATCTAATTTATTCTTTAGAAGCAGCTCAAGGAGAAGAAGGTTGCTCAAATACCAAAACAACGCGACATTAAAAGCTAATTTTGCCCAAATGTTAAAAACTTAAGAGGAAAATTTTTGGATTACACGTGTATGGTTAGGAGAGCGTCAGGGAAGAGAGGTAAGTAGAAAACCACGAGCATCGAGGCGCGTGTATAGAGCGAGGGCAAAGATGATTGACACGGCTAAAAGTACGATGAAAGGCTGAGACAGTGGCAGAAAGAGAGCAGCAGGCACCCGCGTAAAAGTGGAGGGTCGCTCTGCAAAAAGCCAATTGCTTTACTCACTGTAGGGGACTGCCATTTTTTACATCTTACTAGCAATTAACGTCAATCCACGCTTGCTGGTGCTACATAGGATCGGGATTATTGGTGTACGATGCTGGGGTGAGTAATACGCGCGTTTAAGAGAGTGAGTGAGAGCAGGGTTTGTGAGATCCTTGGTCGGCGTTGGGTTGGGGGGGGATCGTAGTTACGTTGTGAAACTGTGAGTACCTTTGGCTGCATTCGATCGTTAGTTAGGAAAATTTGAGGTATTTATCATCATTTAAATGAAAAATGAAAAAGTTAAGATATCATTAACATTAATAACTTTGTATAAATAAAATTAATGCAATTGATATGATAACCAAACATTAATAACAACACGGAAGTCTCAAGTCTCAACTTCTAACCATTGTAAGCAAACGTTAAATAATTTAAGTTTATGAAAAGTATTAATGATCATCATGTCCACCAACCATAGTACATAATTGTCTTGATGAAATAGACAGAACACTCCATAAAAGCGAAGTTATAAAATTATTTTAATGGAGACAAAAGAAGCCATAAAAGAGAATATAGTTTTCTCTTCTTTTTTTTTTTTTTTAATTTTTCCTTCAAAGATTCTAGGTAGATAGTAATTATCAAATTTCAAATTGACATAATTAATATTGCAGAAAGCATTAGGACAAGGAAGAGAAAGACAGACAGGGCGTTGTAATAAGGGGCCCTAGTAGTCTTCTTCTTCGGCTAATTTCAACAAAGTAGATATGTCCATTGGTTTGAAACAAATCGAGAATTCGTTTGTGTGAATCTTAAGAGTAACTTTTTTAGTACTCTGGTTTGCTATTTTAGGAGCAATTATTAATTAGGTTAACTCGTGCATTATGTAATAATTTAAGATTTTATTAGTAATGCTAAAACTAATCATCGCAACCATTTTCCACATGCGACAAACTAACCGACTGTCCTAATTGAAATTTGGTCAAAGGACATCATAAATAAGATTTGGTTAATTAGATAAAGGATTAATACATACTTAATCATCATTAGCCAAACAATATGATTATCAATTTCATCTATGTGTTTTACCTCACGTGAGATCTCACCATCATTCCATTTTGTCATTCATTACTTGCTCGAAAGTTTCACCTTTTTCATCTTTTTTAGATCTTTTATTTCTTCTCTTTTTTTCAAATATTTAAAAAAAAAAAAAGAGAATAAAGTTCCAAATTTCCTGTTTAAATTTTATATACCCTTCTTGATTGATTGCTTTGAATTTCAAAATGTATTTAAGGAAAATATTTTTATTACCTTTTAACAGCTAAACACTGCTAAAATAACCGACAATTATTAAAATAATTAATTTTATTAAATAAAACTTTTATCTTTTATTTTTAATAAGTAATCAAAAATATTTTCATTATAATTAAAATTTTATTTTTAATTAATTTAGTATACTGAGTCGGTAATATAGAGATTAAGGAAGTGAATCCTTTTTTATAAATAAAAAGGAAACTCCTCCATTACTTATTCCATGGTTTCCATGTGAAAAGAAAAGAGAGTACAATTGCCATAAAAAGATGCAAGTGTGAGTACAGAATAGGAAGCCCCATTTGTGCATGCAGGCATGGTGAAAAGAGTATGTATTATGTTAATGGTTTCCCAACTAGGTAAACTACCAACATTGCATTTGACCATCAATTTTGGAAATTTGGAATCATGGGAATTGATATGGACACTCCTTTTCTTCACGTTCATTGTTACCCACTTTTACATTTACTGCCCTTTTCTTCTTTTATTAATCGTCAAAAAGCTTTTCGTTTCTTTGCTTTTAATTACCTTCCTTAATTCTTCTGAGCCGCCCCATTTATCAAAAAGTAAGTGGGTGCCCAAATAAACAGGCCATCAAATAATGAAACAATCTTAGTGCGGTTGGTGGGACTGACGCAAAGAGGTAAAGTGAAGGCAAAATGGCAAAAATATATATATATACAGATGCTCCCCACCTTCTCCTTCAGCGCGTTCATTCACTTCCAGCTAAAATGTTGAATCTTCTCATTTTCTATTTTTTCTTTTGGAAATTCATTGTGACAATGATACGTTAATTTGATTTTTTTTTTTTTAAACTTAACTCATTTTTAATTTAAAAAATATAATAAAAAATTATTAAGAATCTATTTTGTTTTTATTATTGATGTTATTTTAATTTGATATATTATTTAAAAGAATTTAAAAATTAAAAATCATTCCATAGCTTGTTTCTTATAGAAAAAAACTTTCGAAACAAAGAAAAATATCCATTGATTCCAAATTCATGATTTAGAATAAGGGATAAGTATACTAAATAAATAAGCATAATCCCTTTCCCAAAAAGGAAGATTCCAATTCTAAGTTGCTTGTTTTGAAACGCTCTTCAACTGAGCGTGGGACAGTAAACTTTCTAATGAAAGATAAAAGCTAAGGCAAAGTCATAACCAATCGGGTATTGAGTTGTAACCCGTTTTGTCCGGGTTATCTGCCTTTAGCCTAGTAGCCCTATGCAGCCTAAAGCCCTAGGCCTGGACGGTTGGGTTCTTTGCAATTGATGGCTCTGATAAGGACCTGCTCCTTTTCATTACTGTGACACATTTGTCTGTACACTTTTCACTTTTACTTTTTTACCCTTTTCTCCTCAAGATTAATCTGGTCATTATTCAGATAATCCCAACCCATTACTGCTAATTATAATTTATTACCATATTACCCATTTTTGGTTCTTAGGATCATTTCCATTCTCTGTTCTCCATACCAATAGTTCCCAGAAATTATGGATTCCAACAGAGTATTCATTTGTAGACTGTGCTTTCAATTAATATATTATCAATGAAAATAAGATGTGTTTTGAT